CGCGATCTCGGCTCACTGCAAGCTCCGCCTCCCGGGTTCACGCCATTCTCCTGCCTCAGCCTCCCGAGTAGCTGGGACTACAGGCGCCCACAACCGCGCCCGGCTAATTTTTTGTATTTTTAGTAGAGACGGGGTTTCACCGTGGTCTCGATCTCCTGACCTTGTGATCCGCCCGCCTCGGCCTCCCAAAGTGCTGGGATTACAGGCGTGAGCCACCGCGCCCAGCCTTATTTTATTTTTTGAGACAGGGTCTCATTCTGTCACCCAGACTAGAGTGCAGTGGCACAATCTTAGCTCCCTGCAACCTCTGCTTCCTGGGTTCTACCAATTCTCATGCCTCAGCCTCCCGAGTAGATGGGATTACAAGTGTGAGATACCACATCTGGCTAATTTTTGTATTTTAAGTAGAGACGAGCTGGGCATGGTGGCTCATGCCTGTAATCCCAGCACTTTGGGAGGCCGAGGCGGGCAGATCATCTGAGGTCGAGAGTTCGAGACCAGCCTGACCAACATGGAGAAAACCTGTCTCTATTAAAATACAAAATATTAGCCAGGCATGGTGGCGCATGCCTGTAATCCCAGCTACTCGGGAGGCTGAGGCAGGAGAATCGCTTGAACCCAGGAAGTGGAGGTTTCGGTGAGCCGAGATCACGCCACTGTACTCCAGCCTGGGCAATAGGAGCGAAACTCTGTCTAAAAAAAAAAACAAACTAACTAAAAACAAAGTAGAGACGAGTTTTCACCACGTTAGCCAGGCTGATCTCAAACTCCTGACCTCAATTAATTAGGAGTTCAAGACCAACCTCAGCCTCCCAAAGCACTAGAATTACAGGCACGAGCCACTGCACCCGGCCTCATTTTCTTCCTTTCCTTCTTCATTTCATTGCTGCTTTTACATTTTTAAAAATAATTATTTTAAAAATTGTTTTTAATGTATTTATGTTTGAGACAGGGTCTCACTCTGTCACCCAAGCTGGAGTGCAGTGACACACTTATGGCTCATGGCTCACTGCAGCTCTATCTCTTTGGGTCAAGCAATCCTCTCAACTCACCCTCCCTAGTAACTGGGAGCACCACAGAGTCTGGCTAATTTTTGTATTTTTTGTAGAGACAGGGTTTCGCCTTGTTGCCTAGGCTGGTGTTGAGCTGCTGGGCTCAAGTAATCTGCCCACCTTGGCCTCCCAAAGTGTCGGAATTACAGGTGTGAGCCACCACACCTGGTCTCTTTTTTTTTTTTGGACAGAGTCTTGCTCTGTCGCCAGGCTGGAGTGCAGTGGTACCATCTCTGCTCACTGCAACCTCTGCCTCCCAGGTTCAGGCGATTCCCCTGCCTCAGCCTCTCGAGCAGCTGGGACTACAGACACGCACCACCATGCCCGGCTAATTTTTTTTTTTTTTTTTGTATTTTAGTAGAGATGGGGTTTCACCATGTTGGTCAGGATGGTCTCAATGTCCTGACCTTGTGATCCGCCTGTCTTACCCTCCCAAAGTGCCGGGATTACAGGCGTAAGCTACTATGCCCAGCCGCACCTGGCCTTTTTTTAGAGACAGGGTCTGACTCTGTCACCTAGGCTGGAGTACAGTGGCACAATCATAGTTCACTACAGCCTCAAACTCCTGAGCTGGAGTGGTTCTCCTGCCTCAGCCTCCCAAGTAACTGGGACTAGAAGAGTGCACTACCATGCCCAGCTATTTTTTTATTTTTTATTTTTTTGTAGAGACGGGGTCTTGGTATGTTACCCAGGCTGGCCTCAAATTCCTGGGCTCAAGTGGTCCTTTTGCCTCAGCCTCCCAAAGTGCTGAAATTATACCATGCCTAGCCCATTTCACTGTTCCTACATCAGGATGTTTTCAGCTGCAGGTAACAGAGACAATATGAATGGCTTTAAATAATAAAGATATTTCATTCTCTCATATAGTGAGTAGTCTGAACACACGTGGTTTCAAGGTTGATTTGGCAGCTCACACATGTCACAGGCTGCCTCTCTCCAATTTTTGGCTGTTCAGTCATGAGATGGCTGCTGCAGCTCCAAATACATTCTCACTTCAGTATCCCAGGCAGGAGAAGGACAACAGCAACAGAGCGCTTTCCATACTTGATCAATTCACGGGTTGAAACTGGGTCACACCTAGCTACAAAAAAGTCTGGAAAGGCAAGAATTAGGCAAAAAAGAACAGAGAGCAGTGATTGACTTATACCAGGGGCTTCATCTTCTGGGGATGGGCATGCTGCTGTCCAAAGCTAAATCAGGGCTCTGTTAGCAAGGGAGGAGTGGGCCATCCTTCTTAAGATTCACCTTCCCAGCAAAGAGAGCCAACGGGCCTGGCTTAGGTCATTGTGTTGGAGTCACTACACATGACTGAAAGGTAATCTTCCAAAAGGGGAAGCAGAATTCTGGGGCTAGAAGAAGAGAGACGGAAGCTGAGTGCACGAAAGATATCTTTACCTCCTTCAACCACTGACCATTTCAGATACTGCGTAGTATCGCGACCCGGCCAGGACAGGCTATATCACCTGTAGGAACCAGTGCAAATAAAATGCAGGACCCGTGGCTCCAAACTTATTCAGAATTTCAAGCACAGAGCGCTTCTGGACACAGAGTCCTATGTGACTGCACAGGACACAAGCCCACGAAGACAGCCCTGGGCCTAGCCCAGAACTGGAGTGATTGCCCCAAGGAGAGTAAGCCTTGCTGGGGTGTTTTAGGGTCTGTTTTGTTATAAAATTGGGTTAAATCATTAATTGATGGTAGGGAAATCTGCGATTTATATTGTTATAATTAACATGTGTCCAGCCCTTTGTACAAACACTGTTAAAGAGTCAAGAAAAGAGGTGATCAAAGCCCTCTGTGTGTATAACCCTAGGCAGAGTCAGAGTTCCGAGAAGACAGAGCTATCCAGAGGCTTCCAGTCTACACCAACTATCAGAGTAAGAGGGGTGGTGCGTTGCTTTTATTCCTCATGCCCACTCAAACTTGGCAATTTCAGTCTATTACTTAATCATCACGGTGGCCCTGTGTGACTCAAAGTATTATATCCATCTTATAGATGAGATCATTGGGGCTCAGAGAGGTCCATGGTGTATGATCAAACTGGGATTGGAAGCCAGGCAGTCTGAATCCTTGCGTCCATGTTTATCAGCACTGTGCGTCATTGAACAAATCTAATGGGCTGGGGAAATTGTAAGTTGTCTTATAATAGATGAGATGGCACAGACATAAAGGGGCTTTTAACTTGAAGGGCTTAGAGTCCTAGAGGCCATGAAGTCTTTTGGGTTTTTTGTTGGTGGTGGTGGTTTTTTTTGAGACTGAGTCTCACTCTGTTGCCCAGGCTGGAGTGCAATGGCACGATCTCAGCTCACTACAACCTCTGCCTCCTGGGTTCAAGTAATTCTCATGCCTCAGTCTCCAGAGTAGCTGGGACTACAGGCGTGAGCCACCATACCTGGCTAATTTTTGTATTTTTAGTAGTGATGGGGTTTCATCATGTTGACCAGGCTGGTCTCGAATTCCTGACCTCAGGTGATCCACCCACCTCAGCTTCCCAAAGTGCTGGGATTACAGGCATGAGTCACCACACCTGGCCCTATTTTTTCTTTTCTTTTTCTTTCTTTTTTTTTTTTTTTTTTTTGAAACGGAGTCTTGCTCTGTCACCCAGGTTGGAGTGCAATGACACGATCTCGGCTCACTGCAGCCTCCGCCTCCCAGTTTCCAGTGATTCTCCTGCCTCAGCCTCACAAGTAGCTGGGATTACAGACACCCGCCACCACACCCGGCTAATTTTTTTGTATTTTTTTTAGTAGAGACGGGGTTTCACCATGTTGGCCAGGCTGGTCTCGAACTCCTGACCTCAGGTGATCCGCCTGCCTCAGCCTCCCAAAATGCTGGGATTACAGGCATGAGCCACTGTACCCAGCCTGTTTTTTCTTTTAATACAGTTGGAGTCTTACTATGTTGCCCAGGCTGGTCTTGAACTCTTGGGCTCAAGCAATCCTCCCACCTCAGCTTCTCAAAGTGGCCATAGAGGTTTGATAAGAATATCATTCCAGCAATAGGAATGCAGGATGGATTAGAACCAGAAGGATGTCCGTAGGACATTTGCTGGAGTGCCTGGGCCAGGAAATTTACATAGTTTTTCTCACAAAGGTGTCTGTCACCCATGGCTGATTTCTGAAATGAATCCTCAAGCCAGGAACGTTTGTCTAAATACTTTAATTAAATGCATTGTAATATGAAAGGCAGAGTGTAAATAAAGTGTTCATGTTTACTAAGAAAACAGACTAAAATATTCCAGGTAACTGAACACACTTTGATAATAAAATTTGAAACAGCTTCTTGGTTTTCATTCTATTTAAAATATTTATGTAGTTAAAAAAATATTGGCTATTTGTTTTCCATCTAAATGCAGGAACTGCTGAGACATTTTAAATAAGTGGAGATTGAACATACATAAATAAGGGTCCTGTTTCAGCTACAGAATTATAATGCTTCTGAGCTGTTCCATTCATACCTCAGCAAACAACCAGTCCAATTCAATTTGGGGAAGAATGCCAGCCTCAAATTCAATTTATGTAATAACTAAGTTTTGTGAAAGTACTGTGTTAAAGGAGTTATCTCAGCGAAATTAAAACACTGCAAATCTCATTTCAAAATCAATTTTCTTTCCAGGACAATTCTTGGGAACCTCAAGAATCTCTTGCTTTATATCATAAGGAGTACATATTCAAGAACTGATATCTAAAAGAATAAGTACATTCGTATAAAAAAGATTCCTTATAAAATAGGATCTCACAGGGAAGGTGCTGTTGAAGCATTTTGCCATTTACTGAAAAGCAATGTGTTTGTTAGCACATCTGAAACACTTGCTAATGGTGGAAGCATTCTCTGTGCTTCGATCTTAGACTATGTGGTACAAATATACAAATAGTAAATGGAGACGAAGGAAAAATAACTGCCTAAACTTGCAGAGTTCCCCCATTTAAAAGATATTTACCAGTGAAATTATGTCTGCACAAGATTGTTTTATTGCAGCATTATTTTTAACAGTGTAAGATTGGAAACAACGCAAATGCCCATCAATGGGAGAGTGGTTTAAATGTTATCATACATCCATACAACAAACTAGATTGCTGTCACCAAAAAAATAAGCATGCTCTTTAAGGATAGGGAACCATCTCCAAAGTAAATTAAGTGAAAAATAACAGTGGTTCTAATATGTGTTACCACTTCTGTTAAAATTAAAAAGGAAGGGAAGAAGCAGTTACATATTTCCTTGTATAAGCATAAAATAACTCTGAAATGATACAGGAGAAACTGTTAACAGTGGTTGCTTCCAGAGAGGGAACCAAGGAAGCTGGGTACCAGGGCAGGATGAAGAATTTTTATTGGATATCCTTTTGTACCCATGTAAATATGTTATTGTCTATTAAAATACATTTTAAAAGCTTTTTTTTTTTTTAAAAAAAAAAAAGGTAAAATAATAAGGTCAATCACTATATTCAATGTGATGATTACCCGGATCATGTGACAAGCCATCAACTAGACAAATCTGTTTGTGACTCTGGGATTTGGAAATGCTTAGACCAGCCTGGGGACTCCCACATTCTTTCAATTTTCTGCAGTGGAAATGAATGTTGTTTTTAGTGGATGGACAAATACATATAGACATTTGCAAACCTTAAAGGCCTCTGAGCAGCTCACGTTTTCCTGTAATTTTATATAAAATGGGCAGGACCTATTGGAATTCCAGGTCCTTTATGTTCACTGTTGCAGGTGGAAACAAATGGCCTAATACTAGAATGCTAGATTTTATTTTTAATCACTCACTCCCCCAAGAGCCATTCAGTATGCAAATAAAATCCTCTCGATAAATATTCATTCCCTGAATGATCCTTTTTTCTTTCTTTCTTTTTTTTTTTTTTTTTTGTCTGAATCATAAAAGCAACATGACATGATCTGGAAAGCTTTAGGGAATGTAAGTGCTGTCATCAGCTGGGAGATTTCATTTTCTAGGATTAATTGAAGTTGCTGCCACCATCTCTACAGCGAGAGTGTCAAAAGTGAGTAACGGACTGATCCCTGCTGGCGAATGGGGTTTCTCAGGATAATAGGCAGAGGATGCTCCTACCGGGCTGTCCTCCTGGCAGAGGCAGAAACGCTAGCAGTCCCTGGCCAGTAAGTCCATTTCCCTTCTATCTGTTCTGAGATAATGGCATTGCACTGGAATTGAATAGAGTCTGAGGAAGATAAGCACTAACTACCCTAATGGGTATCCAGCCCCCTAGTGTGATTGCCCGCAAAAGAAAACAGTGTCCCAAGCTCAGCTCAGAACCAGGCAATTCTCAGCTGAACAGCTCGGCTGCCCTCCTTTCTTTGTTTCTTTGTTTGTGTACGTTGTTGTTTGCTTTTGTTTCTGCTACTGTTTTGTAGAGATGGGGTCTCAACACGTTGCCCAGGCTGATCTTGAACTCCTGGTCTCAAACAATCCTCCCATCTCAGCTTCCCAACGTGCTGGGATTGCAGATGTGAACCACTGTGCCTGGCTATCTTTTAGTTCTTTGAGACAAGGTCTCACTGTGTCCAGCTCACCACAGCCAGAAACTCCTGGGCTCAAGCCATCCTCCTGCCTCAACCTCTCCAGTAGCTGGGACTACAGGTGCACACCACCACACCTGCCTATTTTGTTTTGTTTTGTTTTTGTTTGAGATGGGGTCTCGCTATGTTGCCCAGTCTGCTCTCCAACTCTTGGCCTCCAGTGATCCTCCTCCTTCGACTTCCCAAAGCACTGGGATTATAGGCATGAGCCACCATGCCCGGCCGTGAAGTATTTTCTATCCTTGAAATGTGTTAGACAAATTCCTGAGGGGAAACCCCACACATTCAATAACCCTTTACTTTTTCAACAAAGCTTCCCATATATTGGAGCCTCATTTTATCCCCCACCCATGAACTTTAAAAGTGGAACATCATTTTGTTCTTTAAAAAAGGAACAGTCAGGAAAAGGCAGGGCTCTCAACTGATACTGAGAGCTCAGGGACTGGAACACTTGATGAAATGTGTCGAGCTCAGGCCCAGCCCGCAAGGAGCTGAGTCGGGGCTGGCGTGCTGGCAGGGCGGTCAGAGCTGCAGCCACTGAGGCCACGACTGCGGAAAAACATCTCCTCTTGGGCCGTGGGGGAAGCTGGAGCGCAGGGGCGCAGCGGGCATTGGGGGCACACCTGCCGGAACTGCGCGTGGGAGCCACCTCACCACACCTTACTCCACCTTCTCCTCCTTTTCCTCCGGCATCTCCACCGACAGGATCTGCTCGCCGGGCTCCGGGCCTGGGCTCATGCGGATCCTTACCGAGTGCTCCTCAGGCTGGGCCACCCCCTCCTCTTCTCCCTCGGGCCTCCCAAGGGAGGCAGGCGGTGGAGAGCGCGGTGGAGACCCCAGGGGTTCGGGGGGCGTCTGGGGCGCGGGTGGGTCGGGGGTGGCCTCCTTTGGGGGCGTGGGCCGGTCTAGGGCGGCCGAGCCTTCCTCTCCCTTGGCGTCTTGCGAGCTCTTGGCCTGGAATCCAGAAAGGGTGGCTCGTGAGGCACAGACTCTGGGAGGGGTCTTGGAAGGGTCTTGGACACCTCCCTGTTCCAGCCTTTCTGGGCCCCCAAAGAGGACAGCAGAACACAGAGCGGGTGAAATCTAGTGGGTGGGGTGGAGCCGCATGGGGGTTATTTAGGAGAAACAAAGTACATTATGGGGAAGTGTACAGATTAAAAGTCCCGGTTGGATTTCATGGAAAGTCTTGGCATGTCTTAGATCTAGGCTGTGGGGCTGGAAGCTGGGATGAGGCTGTTGTTTCAAGCACAGGGCCCCTCCCCCGAGCTGCTGAAGCAAGCCAGGCAGTGACTCTGAGGGAGTACCCACAAGGCCTCTGCAAAGGCTGAACCATCTGTTACCAGGGATGGGCACTCCTGGAGTGGATGAAAAGAACTCCAAGCAAACAGGGTAAAAAGTGATGAGGGGAGAGGCTGCTGGGGCTGGGCCCCCTTTCTGGAAGGTCTCAAAGGTTGAGATCTTCAGGGATAGCCTAGGACTGGGTACCCCTGGTATTGGGCTGCGCTGACGCTGTATGTGGAGACTTGATGGATACCTCCAGCCTCCAGCCTGTGCTGCCTCCCACAAGCGATGGCCATGGGCTTCGCATCAGTAGGGGACTGGGTAATTAAACCAAGCCTTTGTGGATACCTGTGGCCCCTCCCACTCTGCCTGATCCCATCTCTGCAAGGAAGGAAACTGGAGAGGGAGCAGCCCCCAGAGGAGGCTGGAATGATCCTCAGCTGCCCAAGACCCGTGTGAAGTGGTGCTTGTGAGTTTCAAGTGAGAGCAGTCAACGTGCTTGTGTGGAGAGACCTGCGCCATTTGCTCAAGTCGTAGGATATTGAAAGAAAAAAATAGAGAGGGGGCAGCCAAAATGCTCCGAGAGCCCAAGGCCTCTTTTGGGATATGCTTCCCCTTCTGTCTCAGTCTTTCTGTATGTTTTTGTGCCCCTGTCCCACCCTTCCCTGTTACCCTAAACTCTATTCCTTTCCTTTCCTTTCTTCCTTCCTTCCTCTCTCCCTCCCTCCCTCTCTCTCTCTTTTTTCCTTCCTTCCTTCTTTCTTTTCTTTTCTTTTCTTTCTTTTTCTTTCTTCTAAGACCGAGTCTTGCTCTGCCACCCAGGATGGAGTGCAGTGGTGTGATCTCAGTTCAGTGCAACCTCTGCCTTTGATCAAGCAATTCTCCTGCCTCAGCCTCCCAAGTAGCTGGGATTACAGGTGCCTGACACCATGCCTGGCTAAGTTTTTGTATCTTTAGTAGAGACCGGGTTTTACCATGTTGGCCAGGCTGGTCTTGAACTCCTGACCTCAAGTGATCTGCCCGCCTCGGCCTCCCAAAGTGCTAGGATTACAGGGGTGAGCCACCTGTGCCCAGCCCACCCTAAACTCTTGACAACGCATTTCCAGGGCAGGATGTTCAGATGGTGAGCACTGTGGGACTTCCTGAAGCATGGCGCTCTGGCTGGAACCAGCAGCATCATGGGAAGTCAGAAAAGTGCTTTGCTGTGTTCAACATGCTTTTCTAAAAGGCCTCCAAGGTATCCTGCTTGATCTTTACGACCTCCTGAGGCAACCCTCAGTAATTCAAGTCTCAAAAAGCTTGAGGGGCTTCCTGGGTCATGGAGCTAGTGGTGACAGAGCTTGGATTTGGACTTGTGTCTCTGGATGTCTAGTTAAGAGCTCCCTGCACTCTGCCATTCTGCCCTGGTTGTTCTGATTTGGAAAGGAAGTGCCTTTTAATGGAACACTCATGCAAGTTTAATTCCCATCTTAAAGCTGCCTTGTTGAAGAGCTACCACTTAGGAGCCACAAGCCCGCCCCAGCTGAAGCTCTCAGTGTGCTGAGGGCACCCTTGGAGTTCCTGTCTAGTCAGCCCTCACAGCAGCCAGCGCTGAAGACCCCCATTTGCCAGCTCCACCTTGACCTTGACAGTTTGTGAGCCAGGCGATCACATCTTTCCTCAGTCTGGGGCCATTGGTGGCTATATCTGGAGAATGTCTTGGTACCCCAGATGGCTTTGATGTCACTCACCAGACTTCTACTGTCAAACAACCTCTGGATGGGTCTCCTGGACTCTGACACCAGGCTGGATTGAGACTGAGTTCACTGGGCTCCTTTGAACTCTGCTGTGTAGACTGTTAACCCCAGTCTGCCTAACCCCAGTCCCTCTCCAGTTCCCCAGCAGCCTTCCTAAGGGACAGCCATGAACAAACATAATTAGTGTAATTGTTCTACTTGGTATTCTTGGCTTTGGTCACAGAAAAAAGTCCCAGAACTAATTTTAATGTCCCCCATAGATTTATGGGGGTGGGAACATTAGGCACTGTGCCTGTGTGAGAGGATTTTACTTTCAAAGTTTTATTTTTCATTTTTTGAGACAGGGTCTCACTCTGTCACCCAGGCTGGAGTGCAATGGTGCAATCATAGCTCACTGCAGTCTTGACTTCCTGGGCTCAAGTGATGCTCCCAACTCAGCCTCCCAAGTAGCTAGGACCACAGGCATGTGCCACTAAGCCTGGCTAATTAAAAACAAAAAAGAAAAAATTTGTAGGGACAAGTTCTCGCTATGTTGTTCAGGCTGGTCTTGAACTCCAGGCCTGAAGAGATCCTCTGCCTTGGTCTCTCAAAGTGCTGAGATTACAAGTGTGAGCTACCATGCCTGACCCAAATATCTTAAATTGCCACAGATACAGTATTAAATATGAGAACACACTGTCTTCTGGGGAGGGACATTTGCTTCTCACACCCTCTCCTCTAACCTCTGCAACAGTATCAAGACTGTCTTTTAGAGATACTGCTCCCAGCCTACTCTCAGTCCAGGGGTGGGTATGTGACCCAGGCCTCTTTAGAACACCACAGTGCCCTGGTCACACCAAATGGCTCAAGAATTGGCATGTGACCCAATTCTGTCCAATGACAGTGAGTCCCGGAACTTTTGCTAGAATGCCTGGGAAAGAGGTGCTTTCTTTCTGTTGGAGTTGCTATGCCAGGAGGATGTCATCCTAGAACTCTTGAGAACCTGCCTGGAGATAAAACCATCGCCGAATAAAGCAGAGATGATACAATGGGAAAACTCGTCCTATTGGCATCATTCAGGCTTTTGGATCCAGGCTTTCCTGAACTTTTCGATTACTTGACCCCTAATTCCCCTTTTTCTCAAGCTGATTTGAGCTTGCACTCTGTCACTGGTAACCAAATGAGTCCTGACTGATAGAAAAAGGACGGGGAAGACCCTAAAACTAAATGTGTGGCCCACTCTTGGAGACCCCTCGGCCTTCTCCCTGGCACATATCCAAAATGGATGTGGTGGCTGGGTTCCCAACCACATTACCTGTTCCAGCAACTCTTGCTGCTTTGCAGCCGCCTCCAGCGCGGCCAGTTCTTTGAGCCGGGCCCGGAGGTGAGCAAGTTTGCCGCCTTTTGCCCCCTTGTCGCCCATCTTTCCTGTCATAGCGAGGGCAGCGCTGAAGAGCTTCGGGGTGCCCGCCCGGGGCGGAAGGATCAGCACGCTCTTCTCCTCCTTGGGCTTGTTGTTGTTTTTCAGCATACGCCTGGAAGAAAGCAGCATCCACTTACATCACAGACGCACGCTGGGGGAAAAGAAAGGCTCGCTTGTGTAGCCTCCTTTAAGCTGGAGCGGTGTGGTGGTGGTGATTTTGGCTGGCGATTGTAGAGAGCCAAGTGTCGTGTTTAGTACTTTATGCACTGCATCTCATTGAAGAATCAGAACAACTGTAATGAGGTGGGTCTTACTGTCTGTTGTACCTTAGAGATGAGGAAAGTGATGCTCAGAGAGGTTCAAGAATAACTTGTCTGAGGTCACACAGCTAGGAAATTCTCTTTCTTTCCTTTCTGTCTCTCTCTCTCTCGCCTCTCTCCTCTCTCTTCTGAATCCTCTCCTCTCCTCTCCTCTCCTCTTCCTCTCTCTCTCTCTTTCTCTCTCTCTCTCTCTCTCTCTCTCTCTCTCTCTCTCTCTCTCTCAGGGTCTGGCTCTGTCACCCAGGCAGGAGTGCAGTGGCGTGATCATGGCTTACTGCAGCCTTGACCTCCATGGCTCAAGCAATCCTCCCACCCGAGTAGCTGGAACTACAGATATGCACCACCACAACCACAATTTTTTATTTTTTTTGTAGAGACAGGGTTTTGCCATGTTGCTCAGGCTGGTCTCAAACTCCTGGGCTCAAGCGATCCGCCTGCCTTGGCCTCCCAAAGTGTTGCAATTATAGGTGTGAGCCACCATGCCTGGCCTCTTTCTTTTTTTTAACCAGCAGAAGAGTTAGGAAATCCTGAAGGACACTTTCACATAGGGAATTGGGAATAAGATGCCCAGGTGGAAAAGGAACCAAAGCTCTTTCCTTCTCCTTCTGCTTCACTGTCATCTCCCCATTGTTACCATCACAATTATCAGCATGTATTGAGTGTCTATATGTGCCAGGCCCTCTGCTCCATCCTTTACAGGCACCCTTCAATGGCCCCTATTACCCCCTTCCTGGTGTTCACGCCTCTGTGTGGTCCCCTTCCCTTGAGGATGAGTGGGGTATGTGTCTTGCTTTTAACCAATAGAATACAACAAGGGCTATCACTGGTGGAATATATCACACAGGATTGTGATAGAGCTCTGTCTTGCAAGGGGACTCTCCCTTGCTGACTTTATTTATTTTTTATTTGATTTTTATTTTAAGTAATAGAGACGGGGTCTCCCTGTGTTGCTCACGCTGGTCTTGAACTCCTGGGCTCAAGCGATCCTCCTGCCATGGCCTCGCAAAGTGTTGGGATTACAGACATAAGCCGCGGTGCCTGGCCTCCCTTGATGACTTTGATGTAGGGAGCAGCCGGCTGTGTTGGAGAAGGTCCACATGGCAAGCACCTGAGGCCAGCCACTGGCCAATTGCTAGTGGGAACTGGAGCCCCAGTCCTACAACCCCAAGGAACTGAATTACACCAACAGCCATGTGATCCTGGAAGTGGGTCCTTCCCCTATCCAGACTTGAGATGAGAGCCTGCTTGGAAGACACCTTGATGACAATCTTGCAGAGGACCTAGCTAAGCCATGTCCAGACTTCTGACCCACAGAAACTGAGATCGCGAATGTGTGTGATTTTAAACGGTTAAATTTGTGGTAATACTGTTATGCTAATACATACTCTCTCATTTAAGTCTCACAACAATCCCCGTAAGTAGGTCTTATTATTCATCCTCATTTCCAAATGAGGGTATAGAAGTTCAGAGGGGGTGAGTAACTTTCCCAAGGCCACACAGCTAAGAAGCAGCAAAGCTAGAATTCAAAGCCACACTTCTGACCCCGGTGCCCCAGATATTAATGATTACAAAGCGACATTACATCATTATCTTCCTGGACACTGACAAATACTCCTGTGATATGGGAAGGGCTGAGATGACTGTGCCTCTGACAGTTGGGGAAATTGAGACTCAGAACAGGGGGAGTGATGTGCCCAAGGTTACCAGGAAGTGGCAGAAGCAGAATTGCCACCCACGTCTAATGGTATGTACCCCCCTGTTTCTCTAGATAAGGGTAGATTTTTCCATCAAAGAGAGCCCTACCTTTTTACCGGGAATTTTTCACACTACAAACATGTGGTAAGCAGTTTGTCTCAAGAACAAATGAATTCTGCCTGCAACCAGCGGGCCTAGACAATGAATTGGCAAATTCATTCATCGGGGCTCCAGCAAAACTTGTTTGTTTAAAAATGAGGCCATTACTGGCTGCTTATCTAATCAGAGGCAATGGGTTTAAATGGTGCATATTGATATTAATTGCCCAAGATTTGCATTTCTAGCTGGAGATCCCCCAGGAGAACACAAACATGATAATTCACCAGACGCCTCTGACACGCGCCAGCTCGGCACCGTCCCCCATGTTATTTGAGTCCATAATTCACGATGTGACAGCCCACAGGAAGGCTGAGGGTGCTGTGAAAATGAACTATCTTTTTCTTTCTAACAAAATAACTATTTATAGGACCTTTGCTGATTGCTAATAGCTGTCTCTGTTTGGAAACATTGAGCTGGCTTCTGGGGCATTTCCAGATTAGGGAAATTTGTCCTCATTTTCTGATAATGTATGCTTCCCTATAACTGAGATTGAGCAATCAGCCTGGAGCAAGTGACCCACATAAGACCTCTTCATTCTCTTTCTTGGAGTGGTCAAGCCAGAGATCTGAGCACTTCACTTCTTTGGGGACTCGGGTCCCCCATCTGCAAAGCAGGGAGCTTGGACAGAATCCCACACGTGGCCCTCACCAACTCAGATGTCCCCAGAACTATGGTTCTCAGATAGTGTATCTCCCCTGATGAGCAGAGCTCACACACAATCCCCTGCCTCTCTGGTCAAGCTGGCCTGGCCAGCAAACAGCCACTCTGATGACTCATGGCTGGGCCCCCCATCCCACGCCCCACCATGTTGCTGTGAGGCCTGTTAGCTCCACTCCTTCGCCTGGCTGCCTCCCACCCACACCTCAGCCTTCTCAGTATGGACACAGGTGCACAGGCACTGTCAGGAATGGGGTCTCTGCACGGCTCTTGGGAGGGCCTTTGGGGTCCCATCTGATTTGCCAAACTCTTGCCTAACCCACCCAGGATGATGGGATAACAGCTAAAAGCATGGCTTTCCTGAGCTTTGTTCCTCCTGGTGGGGGCGGGAGCAAGAAGAGAGGGTGGGGAGACCTGGCACCAGTTTTCAGCCACAAGCAGAGTTGAATCTCATGATTTGTAGTAATTATATCCTATGAGATCTCTGCGAACACCGAATTAGCAAATACGGAAACATTGTTGCTAGGGGAAATACAAGGCTAGATTCCTACAAATCTCTCATCACAACATTCGTCAACCATAATACATAAACTTGGCCAGGCGTGGTGGCTCACACACAGTCCCAGAACACTGGGAGGCCAAGGCGGGAGAGCTCTTGAGCCCAGGAGTTCGAGGTTGCAGTGAGCTATGATCATGTCACTGTACTCCAGCCTGGGTGAAAGAGTGTAACCCTGTCTCTAAAATTAATAATAATAAACTTGTCTTATGTGTGTTTCTTTTTAAAGACATTATTATATTATTATTACTATTATTATTATTATTTTGAGACAGAGTGTCACTCTGTCACCCAGGCTGCAGTACAGTGGCATGATCTCAGCTCACTGCAAACTCTGCCTCCCAGGTTCAAGCCATTCTCCTGCCTCAGCCTCCCGGGTAGCTGGGATTATAGGTGCCCACCACCACGCCTTGCCAATTTTTGTAGTTTTAGTAGAGATGGGGTTTCACCATGTTGGCCAGGCTGGTCTCGAACTCCTGACCTCAGGTGATCCACCTGCCTCAGCCTCCCAAAGTTCTGGGATTACAGGCGTGAGCCACTGTGCTGGCTAAAGACATCTTATTAAATATAGATCATTGTTTTATTAACATTGAACACACAGCCAACAGCACTATAATTCATTCCTGAATGAAACTTATCTAACACACATATTCACTGTGTAAGGCACATCGCAGACTTCTTGTGCTTAGGAACACGAGACGGCACTTCAGCGTTATGCTTGGGGGCCATTTTAAACAGTGCGATCGCCAACAAAAAGCACAAAAATGAAAAAAAAAAGTGGCATTAAATGGACCATAAAAATACACCTGTTTGCAGTACAAGAGCTGAAACCAGAAGGCAGAACTGGGACTTCAGCGGGGAGCGTGCACTTGGGGTGACTCAAGTATTTTGCTGCTCTGGGCATGTCCTTGAATTACCACAAAAGCCTGTTAGTATTGATCTTGGCGTTACGAGCCCATTTCAGTGAGGAGGCGAATTTGCAAATATGGAGTCCATGAATCACAAGGGTCCACTCTACCTCCCTGTCCCTCAGGAGAGGAGGCGCTGGCACGCACCACTGATGTGGTGGGGAACGTGGGGAGATTTGGTGGGAGAAATTCAGATAGACCCGGGTTTTGGAAGGGCCCAGTGGGTTCCTTGAGAGCAACCAGGTGAGTTTTGGGGCAGCTTCCTTCCCCAGGGGACCTCAGTGTCTTGTGTGCATGATGCTTGGACATCAAAACTGCCTCCTTTTACCTTGAAGCTGCTAGAGGGCTCCTGTGAAAACCTAAGGAACTTCAAGTCACTCCTCTGTGTAAAACTCGCCGTGGCTCCCATCTCTCTCTGAGGTCCGACCCAATCTCTTCCCCTACGCTCCTCTGATCCCACACCAAGCTATGCTAATTTTCTCGCTGTTGTGCCACCCACACACTAAGCCTGCTCCTCCTCAGAGCCTCTGCACATGCTGTTCCCTCTGCCCAGAATGCTGTTCCCAGCCATCAGTCTGCCAGCTCACTCCTTTGCTTTGTACAGGTCTTGTTGAAATGCCAACTGCTCAGAGCAGCTTCCCCAACCAGCTTATCTCAGGCAACACTCCGTCACTTCCCGCTCCTCCCGTGGCTTTGTTTCCTCATAGCCAGACACATCACATCATCACTCATCTTTCCATTGTTGGTTCCCTGACTAGAATGTGAGTTTTGTTTGGTCCTTGCTGTGTCCCCAGAACTCAGCACTGTGTACTCGATACATCACTGTGCTGTAGGAATGGATGCTGGTGAGTTTCTTCCCTTTATTATGGCAACTCTCTGTGCAGTTTATTTCTGGTGTCATTGTATAGAATGAAGGGGAAGATAAGAATATGTGATACAAGACAAGGAGGAAAACCCAGATATGTGGATTAAAAAGGTTTTAGCCAATTGAAAAATTGTAAGGTGAATTTGATGGCTACAGAGGAACAATTGCTTATTTATTTTAGAGACAAGGTCTTGCTCTGTCACCCAGGCTGGAGTGCAGTGGCACGATCATAATTCACTTTAACCTTAAATTTCTGGGCTGAAGTGATCCTCCCGCCTCAGCCTCCTAAAGTGCTGCGATTACAATCATGCGCCACTGCACCTGGCCTGAAGTGATCGTTATTAACATGCACTGAGCTCTCTGACATGACAGGCACCCCACCGGAGACATTCCCACACACTATTTGATTTTCACAGCAGCAGGCCAAGCACAGTGGCTCACACCTGTAATCTCAGCACTTTGGGAGGCCGAGGCGGGCGGATCACCTGAGGTCAGGAGTCCCAGACCAGCCTGGTCAACATGGTGAAACCCCGTTTCTACTTAAAATACAAAAATTAGCCGGGTGTGGTGGCACATGCCTGTAGTCCCAGCTACTGGGGAGGCTGAGGCAGGAGAATCGAATCGCTTAAACCCAGAAGGCGGAGGTTACAGTGAGCCAGGATTGTGCCACTGCACTCCAGCCTGGGCAACAGAGCAACAGTCCATCTCAAAAAAAAAAAAAATTACAGCAGCAAAGTAGGGGTTATGACCTTTATTTTACATAGGAGACAACTGAGACCAGAAAAGTTAACAATTTCCTCAAAGTCACACAGCCAGCACCTCACATGGAAGGGACCTGAGCCCCGCCAGCATCCCAGACCTATTGTGGGGTTCCTGCCACACCACGATGCCTGTCGCTCAATTTGAAACCTGATCTTAAGGGTTTGAAAACAAAAACTGGCTTTTCTAAAAAGAATGACGTGTTCCCCAACAATGCAAAATACAGATGCACACAGTTATTCATTGCACCACTGTTTGTAATTGCAAAATTTTGGAAATACCCTAAATGCCCATTTACAGGAATGTTCTGCCACTGTGGAAAGGAATGAGGAAACTGACTCTGCACTGATAGACGATGATTTCCGGGTTTTGTCGTCATGTGGAAACAAAGTAAAGTACAACAAGAATCTACAGCATGCCACATTTTGTGTAAGAAAGAAGAAATAAGAAAATGTTTGGGCTGGGCGTGATGGCTCACACTTGTAATGCCAGAATTTTGGGAGGCAGAGGCAGGCAGATCACCTGAGGTCAGGAGTTCGAGACAAGCCTGGACAACATGGCAAAACTCCATCTCTACTAAAAATACAAAAATTAGCCAGGCATGGTGGTGGATGCCTGTAATCCCAGCTACTCAGGACGCTGAGGCAGGAGAATCGCTTGAAATCTGGGAGGTGGAGGTTGCAGTGAGCCAAGATCAAACCACTGCACTCCAGCCTGGGCTACAGAACGAGACTTGATCTCAAAAAAGAAAAAAGAAAATGTTTGTGGATCTGTCTATTTTTGCAAAAGTAAGCAGAGGAAAGAAAAGGCAGAAATTGATGCAACGAATCACGTAATAACGGGGGTTGCAGTCAGGGGGCAATGGGGACAGGGAGAGTTGGGACGCTTTTCTGAGTGCCCCATTTTGCAGAGTGCTGACCTTCAGGAACATGTTAATGTTCTACATACTTAAAACAAGAAAAAGTCAACAAAGATCAGGGTGGCAGGAGCCCTAAATGGAATGTAAACTGAAATAAGTGAACCTACCTGTATTTCAGATGAATAAAGTAACCACATTAAAGGGTGGGGGAGGAAGAGAAGGACTCCAGATAACTTTGAACATAACACTTACATCATATATACTCGGGCTAAAGACAGAAGAGCTGCATCCAGTACTGAACTCTACCTAGAAGACTTACTCTTTGTTTTTACAGTGACATGGGCTGGAAATTCTGAAATGAACTTCTCTGTACTGCTCAGTGTTGGAGAAGAGATTTACAAGTATGAAAAGGGAGAATATTAGAATGAATTCTAATATGTGGTAGCAGGGCACGGTGGCTCACACCTATAATCTCAGCAACTTTGGGAGGCCGAGGCAGGCAGATCACCTGAGGTCAGGAATTCGAGACCAGTCTAGCCAACATGGTGAAACCCCATCTCTGCTGAAAATACAAAAATTAGGCAGGTGTGGTGGCACATGCCTTTAATCCCAGCAGAGGTTGCAATGAGCTGAGACGGCGCCACTGCCACTGCACTCCAGCCTGGGTGACAAGAGTGAAACTCTGTCTCAAAAAATTAAATTAAATTAAAATTTAAAAATAATTAATTCTGTGGTGCTGGATTGAAATTGTTTTATAGATAGATCAATCAGTAGAAAAACAGAAAAATTGATGTTGGCATATATATGTATATGTGTGTGTGTGTATTTTATATATAGATATTATATATGTATTTTATATAAATGTATTTGTATTTACACATCCTGGTGTGTACGTGGGTGTGTTTCTTGGTTCCGTCTGCTGCAGAGGCCTGTAGCACTCCAGTAGCAATGAGTGCTCCTACGACTCAGATCTTGGTTTCTAAAAACCATCCCGCAGTAAAAGGAATCAAGGCTCCTTGGAGAAAACTGCCATTTCCAGGATACCACAAGGGATGTACAAGATGAACCAGGGCATCTGGTTGTGGCTTACTGATACTTGAGTAAGCAAGGAAGTGCTCAAATATGACAGGGATATCACAAAGGTCACAAATGAGCCACCTTGAAAAAGTGCCCAGGGCCAAATTGGACCAATTTGAGCATCAAAATAATAATTATTAACAGAGTGTTCATGGAATCAAGTAAATCCATGCCGATATACATTGAGAAATGAATAAACAAGTGGGAGAGAAGAAAAAGTTCTTCCATACAGCTGACCGCGAGTTAATAATCAAGGAAGGAGTGGAGTTACAAAATTACCATTTTACAACTATCATAGCAATCTCTTTGTAACTATCATAGAGAGGAACCATCAAAGGATGCTAAAAGTGGTGGGTAAAAGTTTGATGGGGAACAGGATATCCTCATAGTCTAAAGGTGACTCCCCACTAATTACTTAGGAATTAGGTTTAAGGGAAAATAGGTTCATAGTACAGAAACCTTAACCAAGTAATCAAAGTGAAAATAATCGATATTGGGAGTAATCGGCATCATGTGCCTCTCAGTACATTTGCTGCAGAAGCGACATCACTTCCGAGTTCTTCCTGCCAAAAATGCAGACTCTAATGGTAATCACGAGAAAACCATCAGACAAACCCCAACTGAGGGGCATTCTATAAAATAACCGGCCTGTATGGGCCAGGTGTGGTGGCTCATGCCTGTAATCACAGCACTTTGGGAGGCTGAGGTGGGTGGATCACGAGGTCAGGAGTTTGAGACCAGCATGACCAACATGGTGAAACCCCGTCTCTACTAAAAATACAAAAATCAGCCAGGCGTGGTAGCATGTGCCTGTAATCCCAGCTACTCAGGAGGCTGAGGCAGGAGAATTGCTTGAATCCAGGAGGCAGAGGTTACACTGAGCTGAGATTGTGCCACGGCACACCAGCCTGGGCAACAGAGCAAGACTCTGTCTCAAAAAAAATAAATAAACAAATAAAAAATAACTGGCCTGTATGCTCAAAAGACATCCAAGTCACTAAAGGTTGGAAAAGCCTGAAGAACTATCCCAGATCAAGGAAGACTAAGAATACTCTGCACCTTAATTACAATATGTGATCCTAGACTTGATTCAGGCATGGAAAAGAAGAAAAGGTACAAAGGATATTCTTGAAGAATTAGCAAAATCTGAAGATGGATTATGAATGAGATAATAGTGTTGTTTCAATACGAAATTTCCTTATTTTAATGGCGCAGTGGCTCACACCTGTAATCCCAGCACTTTGGGAGGTCAGAGCAGATCATGTGAGCCCAGGAGTTTGATACCAGCCTGGGCAATGTAGTGAGACCCCAGCTCTAGAAAAACCTTTAAAAATTAGCCGAGCATGGTGGTATGTGCCTATAGTCCCAGCTACATGGGAAGCTGAGGCAGGAGGATCATTTGAACCCAGGAGGTTGAGGCTGTAGTGAGTCATCATCACTCCAATGTACTCCAGCCTGGGTGACAGAGCAAGACGTCATCTCAAAAAATAAATAAATAAAAAATAAAGGTACTGTGGTTACGTAAGAGAAATTCATTGTCCTTAGCAATTTTCTATTAAATGAAAGAAAAGTTACATACCTGGCTTTCTTCCGGAGTAACTTCTGAGACTCAGGATAATGCACCAAAATCTCATTCAGGTCTTTCTTATCCAGGATGAAGAGGTTGGTAAACCCATGGGCCACCACGTTGGCCGTGCGCCGGTTCCCACCCCCAACAGCCAGCAAGCTGGGGCAGAAAAGGGAGGAGGGAGACCCTTCAGAGACTGTGATTTTGGTCACATTCAGATCTTTCTTTCCCATGTGTGGAGCACAGTGGTGGCCCCACACAGATGAGAGCCTTCCCCCACCCCCATCCCCACATACATCAGCAGGTGCCAGTGCTGCATCTGCCAAGCCATAGACACTCTCACTGCCCGCTGGCCGCCTCCTTTCCCAGCGCTTGCCACAGGCCCCTCACTTTACCCCAGCTGCCTCTGACCTTATTTCTCCAAACACAGATCCAGCTTTCAGCGTCACCAGCACAGATTTCCCATCAGGGCCGCCCAAGACCTGCACTTGCCCTGCCTGGATGATGTACATCTCACGGCCGATCTCCCCCTGAAACAGAGAAGGGACAAGTCCCTCTGTTCATCCTTCAATGTCACCAGAGAAGAGCCAGGGTTGGATCCAGAGGCTGGAGGTCCCGCAAGGAGGAACCTAGGCACTGGTGTCCAGCCCTGCCACCACAACTTGGCGTGTTGTATGGGGGCAGTCACTTCCCACTTGGGCCTCAGTCTCCTCATCTGTAGACTTGGAGGAGTGACTACCCTATGTCCTGCATAACTGATAGGGTTGCAGTGGGGGAGTTAGTGATGTCCTGGAATGGGAAGTGCCAGCTAACCTGGGAGGTGCAGGTATAATGGAATTCTGCAAATTTCCAGTTAGACTCACTGATGGAGGCAGGGTAAATCAGATAGCAGTTCCCACCATCAAATGATATCTACACCTGGCATATTTCAGGGTCTCAGGAAGCATTTGCTAACTGCAACAGGAATGGGAATAACAATAATGATAGTATTCAAATTGCCTTTTTTTTTTTTTTCTGAGATGGAATCACTCTGTCACCCAGGTTGGAGTGCAGTGGCATGATCTCAGCTCACTGCAACCTCCGCCTCCTGGGTTCAAGCAATTCTCGTGCTTCAGCCTCCCAAGTAGCTGTGATTACAGGCATCATACTTCGGCCTCCCAAGTAGCTGAGATTACAGGCATGTGCCACCGCGCTCAGCTAATTTTTGTATTTTTTAGTAGAGACAGGGTTTCGCCACGTTGGCCAGGCTGGTCTCGAACTCCTGGCCTCAAGTGATCTGCCTGCCTTAGCCTCCCAAAGTGCTGGGATTACAGGCGTGAGCCACCATGCCCAGCCCCAGATTGCTTTATGCGGTGTACTACTTAACCTCAACAACCCTCGGAGGTGAGAGCACTCTTTGCCCAAGAGCTGGGATCTGCACCCAGACAATCTGGTTCCAGGGTTCATGGTTGTTGTGGGTTGAATTCTGTACCCCTCCCAAATTCTATGTTGAAATCCTCATCCCCAGCGTCTCAGCATGTGACCTTATTTGGGAATAGGGTCATTGCAGATGTAATTCCTAAAGATGAGGTCCTTCTAGACCTAATCCAATAGGACTGGTGTCCTAATGGAAATGTGGACACAAAGACAGGCATAGAGACAAGAGGATGTGAGGAGCACACACACAAAAAAACCGAGATGGCCACCTACAAGCTGAGGAGAGAGGCCACCCAGCTTGTGGTGTTGTGCAGTGTCCCGTGGCAGCCTGGCAAATGCATACAATGGCCTTAATCCCAAGACAAACCAAATGCATGCATGAATGAATAGCTTGCTTTGGACTATAATTAGAAACACCTAGTCTGCCACGCGCCTTCCAATCCTCATGCCTTCACGGGCCTTGTCCTGGCCAGCTACCTGTGAGTCACATGTGTTTAAAAGGGGAAGAGGAGGTCTGTAGAAAATAATAATAATAATAATTAAGGGAGGCCGAGGCGGGCGGATCACAAGGTCAGGAAATCGAGACCACAGTGAAACCCCGTCTCTACTAAAAATACAAAAAATTAGCCGGGCGCGGTGGCGGGCGCCTGTAGTCCCAGCTACTCAGGAGGCTGAGGCAGGAGAATGGCGTAAACCCGGGAGGCGGAGCTTGCAGTGAGCCGAGGTCGCGCCACTGCACTCCAGCCTGGGCAACAGCGTGAGACTTCGTCTCAAAAAAATAAATAAATAAATAAATAAATAAATAATAAAAATAATAATAATTAAAAAGGGGGCCGGGTGTGGTGGCTCATGCCTGTAATCCCAGCACTTTGGGAGGCCGAGGTGGGCACATCACCTGAAGTCAGGAGTTCGAAACCAGCCTGGCCAACATGGTGAAACCCTGTCTTTACTAAAACTAAAAAAATGAGCCGGGTGTGGTGGCACATGCCTGTAATCCCAGCTACTTGGGAGGCTGAGGTAGGAGAATTGCTTGAACCCGGGAGGTAGAAGTTGCAGTGAGCTGAGACAGTGCCACTGCACTCCACCCTGGGCGAAAGAGTGGGACTTGGTCTCAAATAAACAAACAAACAAATAAATAAATAAGGGATCCGGGAAGTGACCAAGGGCAGTAACCGTCACACTTTTGACTTATTTGACAGAAAATTCCTGCGCATTTCACACATGCATGACCTCCTTAACAAAAAAGGAAGAGAGGCTTGCCTCCCTGTTTCTGTTTAGTTTGACAGGAGTGAAAGGGTGAGGGGACCTTCACCTCACTAACCAGCGCCCAGGGTGTCTCAGAGAGATCGCTGCAGAGCAAAACCAGACAGCAGAGGGCGCCCTTCACACGTGCTCACCAAGTGCTCAATTTAATTTGCAATCACAGACTTTAGATTCACTTTTTCTCATTTGAAGCAAACTCTGCATCACCCACGAAGATAACAGCAACAGCACTGGCACCTGCTGTGTGGCAGGCACAGTGTTAAGCTCTGTATGCACATCTTATTCAGCCCTCACAACCACCCCATGAGGGAGGTACTATCAACATCCCCCACTTTATCCACGAGATGAGCAGGACTCAGAGAGGGCAAGCCACTTGCCCAAGGCTGCACAGCCAGAAAGTGACTCCAATGTCAGGCAAGTCACTCTATTGTTCCCAGACCCCTCTTGGCCCCTAAGGTTGCAGCTTTAAATCCTCAGCCCTCTGAAGCATCCTTTTCCCCTCTTCACCCTGGCTCTCTGCTTCCAGAAATTTCACTGCTGCACAGCATATAACCTGGAGACAGGGACCTTCTTGGGGACAGGGGTGCCCAAGGCTTGCAGAGCCTGCTTGGGTAATGATTTCCCCCCTGTACGTACACCCAGGCTTATTAACAGCTCTGGGCAAGAGGACTGAAACCTGGGTTCCTGATCCTTCCCCTCACTCACCAAGTACCTTGATCTCACCTTGAACCCCAAGGACAGGGAGCAGAAAGGGCTCTAGACATTGTTAGGCCCCAGGATTCAACCCCAGACGTTTTCTGGGATCAGAGGGTGAAGCTGAGCAGGAAGGGGGTTCTAGGGTGGGGCAGTGGGGAGCGGTGGGAGCTGTGGCATCAGGAAGGGACACAATGTCCCCCTTTGGGGCAACCTTTCCTCCACCCCAGCTGGCTCTTGCCATTTGGGAAGTGGATCCAGTGCTGGCAGATTGTCTCTTTTCAGCCAGAAATCTGAATTTTTATATGAAATCTTCAAATTTTTAAAGGTTGGGGACCAATTCTACATTTTCTTAAAATTAGAAAGAAAAAAAAACCCACGGAATACCTGTGTGCTGGATCTTACCCAAAGGCCACCAGTTTGCAACCTCTGACCTAAGCCCACCCCTTCTCCTGCCCCATTTTCCTGATGGGAAGACGGAGACCGCAGAAGCAGTTCCAGCTACACAGTCAAGGCCCTGCCCCTCTTCAGGCTCCGCGGCTTCTCTTTCTGTAAGGTGCGGGGGTCTTTGTCCTGGACCTCATGGTCCTGTGTCAATGGAGCTGAGGAAATGCTTTGCAAAGCCAGAGGCACATGTGTGCTGATTGCATAGAACTGGCAAAGCCTCCTAATCCGCTCCTGCTCTTGGATCTGGTCAGGTCACTGCAGCACAAAGCCGCAGACACTCCTCTCCCTCCCCAGCAATCTCACTCTGCCCTGGGCTGGCAGGTTCCCCTCCAGCTCAGCTCCTTGAAAGCCAGGGGGATCGTGAACCCCAGATCCAGCAGTGGCTGCCGGGCCAGCTCACCTTCTTGCACACATAGTCATTGGGCAGGTAGACAACAGAGCGAAGCCTCTTCAGCATGTCAAAGATCATCTGCCGGTCACAGCCCTGTCCCAGTGAGGAAGGGAAAGGAACGCTGTTTAGAGAAGATTGGGTTTGGAGCCTCACACAGCCCTGAGGGTGAGGGCACCAAAGGGTGTACCTGAAAGAGTGCGACTTTGCTAACGATGTTGTAGTTCACGTCGATGGCGAGGTCCAGCCGCATCTTGTCTGGAAGCTGCACCATCAGCTCTGACTCATCTGTGAACAAGGCCTAGCAAGGGTTAGAGGCAAGGCCAGGCTCCACCCCAGGCACACATACGGGCCAAGTGCCCACCTACCGGCTTATCAGGGCACACCGTTGCCCTGCCGTACAGAACCACTCTAGATTTGTAGAGCGCCCTCTCTCAACTCCAGCCTTTGCCAATACCGTTTCCTCTGCCAGGAGCATCCCTGTGCATTTCCCAAACTCCTACTCATTCTTCAGAACCCAGCACTAATGTCACCTCCTCCTGGAAGCCTTCCCTTGACATCCCCCACTCAGTTACTATGTTAGTAGCCCCTGCACTGTTGCAATTATCGGTCACCTGTGTTCCCAGTGTCCTGTAAGGACAACATCAGCAAGAACTAAAGTCTCTGGAGCACTTCTATGAGCCAGTGAGCCAGGCACCTTTTTTTTTTTTTTTTTTTTTTAAGACAGAGTCTCTCTCTGTCGCCCAGGCTGGAGTACAGTGGCATGATCTCAGTTCACTACAACCTCCACCTCCCTAGTTCAAGCAATTCTCCTGCCTCAGCCTCCCAAGTTGCTGGGACTACAGGTGCCCACCACCAGGCTGGCTAATTTTTTGTATTTTTAGTAGAAACGGGGTTTCGCCAGGTTGGCCAGGCTGGTCTCCAACTCCTGACCTCAGGTGATCCACCCACCTGAGCCTCCCAAAGTGCTGGATTATAGGAGTGAGCCACCACACCCAGCCAAGCCAGGCACTTTTTAATAGAGTGTTTTATAAATATTATCTTAGTTTTTAGTTTTTATTAAAATAAAATGTTTTTAATACTTTGAACCCTGAGAAGCTAAAAAAATTTTTTTCTTTTAGAAACAAGGTCTCACTATGTACCTCAAGTTGGTCTAAAAACTCCTGGGCTCAAGCAATCCACCCACCTCAGCCTCCCAAAGCGCTGGGATTACAGGCATGAGCCACCGCACATGGACTTATTTTTATTTTTCTGAGACAGGGTCTTGTTCTGTCACTCAGGCTAGAGTGAGTACAGTGCAGTGGCACAGTCACAAGTCACTGCAGCCTCAACTTCCTCAGACTCAAGCGACCCTCCAGCCTCAGCCTCCTGAGTAGCTGGGACTACAGGGATACACCAACACGCCCAGCTAAATTTTTTGACTTTTTGTAGAGATGGGGTTTTGTCATGTAGCCCAGGCTGTTCTTGAACTCATGGGCTCAAGTGATCCTCCTGCCTCAGCCTCCCAAAGTGCTGGGATTAAAGGCAAAATTATTTTACTAAATCCCCTAGGCAACCCAAGAGTTGCCCCACTATAATCTCAACTTTACAGATGAGGAAATGGCAGTGACATGCCCGTAGTCTTGTAGCTCAGGGGATGAACTCAGGACCCCAACCTGGCTGTGTAGCTCTAGAGCTGCCCCAGGATATCCAGGGCTAAGCCTGCTGCGCCTGTCATGGGGCGTGCAATGTCCTTGAGAGAAAGAGAGGACAGAGGAGGAAGAGAGAGGGAGGGAGGGAGAGAGAGGAAGGGAGGGAGGAAGGGACAGAGAGTCCTTCTTCTTCTTCTTCTTCTTTTTTTTTAAAATTAAACTGCACTTCGGCCTCACACCTGTAATCCTAGCACTTTGGGAGCCTGAGGCTGGTGAATCACCTGAGATCAGGAGTTCGAGACCAGCCTGACCAACATGGTGAAAGCCCGTCTCTACTAATAATATAAAAATGAGCTGGGCATGGTGGCACATGCCTGTAATCCCAGCTACTTGGGAGGCTGAGATAGGAGAATCGCTTGAACCTGGGAGATGGAGGTTGCAGTGAGCCGAGATTGCTCCACTACACTCCAGCCTGGGTGACAGAATGAGACTCCATGTCAAATAAATAAATAAACACACACACACACACACACACACACACACACACACACACACTGCATTTCACTCTTTTTTTTTTTTTTTTTTTTGAGACGGAGTCTCGCTCTGTCACCCAGGCTGGAGTGCAGTGGCTGGATCTCAGCTCACTGCAAGCTCCGCCTCCCGGGTTTACGCCATTCTCCTGCCTCAGCCTCCTGAGTAGCTGGGACTACAGGCGCCCGCCACCTCGCCCAGCTAGTTTTTTGTATTTTTTAGTAGAGACAGGGTTTCACCGGGTTAGCCAGGATGGTCTCGATCTCCTGACCTCGTGATCCGCCCGTCTCGGCCTCCCAAAGTGTTGGGATTACAGGCTTGCGCCACCGCGCCCGGCCTGCATTTCACCCTTGCATGGGGATGCATTTCAAGGTGGGTGAAGCGAGGGGGGCAGGCACACAGAAGACAAGCCCCCCAAGTCTCCAGGGATCTCATGACAGCCCTGCTAGGGGACCCACTGGGCCCCTCTCACACCAAGGTTGGGGACACAGCCAAAAGAGGCCCCAGTACTCAGGGCCTCAGAGACACAGAGGACAAGGGAGGTGCCCCGAAGGCAGGGCACCGGGCACCAGGCAACAGGAGTTGGCTGGGAGCTGGTGGCTGTCAGGGTGTGACCATCTTACCCAGCATGCCTTGCGAGTGCCAGGTGTACTCGTACCAGGTCTTGACGCGGTTCTGCACGGACTTGGGGATCTTGTAGAAGTTCATGTACTTCACCGTGCTGTCCATGCAGCTGCGGTAGTAGGTCTGTCCCGCGGTGGCGGCCCCTACCACATCTCTCATCTAGGGGGAAAGGTTAGGGGAGGTCAAGGAAGCCACTGGGTCATGGGAGTGGGGACTATTCCATGGGTTTGGGATGTGTCACTTCACACAGACTAGGGGCATGTGCTCCTGGCGGGGCACTGGGAGCAGGGAAGGCAGATGTCCTCACACAGAGAAAGTTTTACTGATGGGAAGTTCTGCCTTCAGCATGGATGTGGGGAAGAGGAAGGGAGGGAGACTGCCAGCACCTTGGTGGCCTCAGGTCCCTGGGACCACACCAGTGGGGAAAGCTCCTTGGGCTGGGCTGATTCTGGTACAACACAGTCCCTCGGTGACGGCGGCCACTTTGACTCCATGTTGGAGGAAATAGGAAGCTAGTGTGCTGTTCCTCGGGGCGGGGCCCTTTAAAGGTAACGTTGAGGACCTCTGACTGTCACCTTGTGTCTCGACCACAATGTAAGATGCTGCCCCGGCACACACCAGCTACACCAGGGGTTTCTCCCTCAGTCTCTGTAGAAGACCATTCAGCCCAGTGCACCCAGAGGAACGGTCATTTCAAATGAGAGCAACCTCAGAGAGGGAATAGGGCCGAGTTCACCACCACCCCCTCCACCGCACAGAGCACAGTGCGCCAGGCCCCTGATTCTCAGTCCAGTGCTCTTTCCCAGGCTTAATCCAAAAGGAACGGCGCAGAGGGTGACATTTCTGGCAACAGTAGGAGGGGGCCCTGCAGTCAGGTGGGGTGGGACGCCGGGCTGGTGCCCCGATACCTGTCCAATCATGACAGAGAAAGCAAAGACGCCCGTGAAATAATTCAGCAGCTGGAAGACAATTTCAAAGAGTGTCTTGGGGTCAGGCAGCCCCCCGATGGTGATGAGGGTCTTCACAGCAAAGTAGTAACAGCGAATATAACTGGAGAGAGAGGAGAAAGGGAACATGGGTCATCATAGGCCCCACTCTGCCGCCCCTGAGTGGTCTGGCTCAGACGCCTCTGATAGATGCACGTTGTGCAAAAGACAGAAACCCTTTACAGCTCATCTATGCAAGAAAAACCACCTCCTGCACGCGTAGAGCACGTTGCCATTTGCAGAGCAGGTTCACAAATACTATTAGGTGCGGTTGTGTCTCTAGGGATATGTTGCCATCCCCATTTACAGATGTGGAAACTGAGGCTCTAGGGGATTGCCAGGAAGAGTTGGCAGGAGGCCAGACCAGGGTCTTCCAACTCCTAATGACTGCGCTCCCTTAATTTCCTTCAGTGTTCCTTCAATTTCCAGTCTTTTCGTTTGCTGTCACCTGCCATGTTGGCTTAGGAAAAGCAAAAGCAACATCAAGTTTGGAAGATATCTTGAGGATGACTTTTTCTGACCCACCCCTCCCCAGCCCATCCATTCTCCAGATAGTGAAACTGAGGCCCCCAAAGGGAAAGGGCACACCCATGGTCACTAGTTGGTAAGTGCAAGAGTTGGGCGCTGTCTGCTTCTCTGAGATGTCATCCACCAGCAGTTAACCCTCTGACACAGGTTTGTGAACCTTCTGGAAGGGAGGTATGGGGGAGGCGGTCCTACTGTGTGGCAAAAAGCATAGGAAATGCCCTGAGTGCTCTAGTCTGAATGTGTCCCCCGAAATTCAGGCACTGGAAACTTAATTCCCAGTGCAATGGTGTCGGGAGGTAGGGCCTTTGGGCGCTGTTTAGGCCTCGAGGGCTTTGCCCTCATGAATAGATTAAAGCTGTTACAAAAGGTTCTGGTGGAAGATTTCCACGTCCTTTGGCCCTTCTGCCTTCTGCCATATGAGGACAATGTTCCTCTCCTCTAGTGGACACTGTGGCATTCAAGACACTGTCTTAGAAGCAGAGAGCAGCCCTCACCAGACACCAGAACCTTGATCTTGGACTTCCCAGCTTCCAGAACAGTGAAAAGTAAGTTTCTGTTCTTTATAAGTTACCCAGTCTCATGTATTGTACTATAGCGGCTCAAAAGGCATGAAGCCACCAAGCTTGTGTGTGATTATCACAGAGCAGCAAGGGTCCCTCTGACACCTGTCCACCCCTCAGGCTGCGCCCTCCCCTGGGTCAGCAAAGGTGAGGTCAGAAGGGCCTAGAGACCAGGCAGTCCCCGCAGGCTTTCCTGCACCAGCTATTTATGCAGTGTCCTAGATAGAACACGGGCTCCGGACCAGGCTGGCTGGGCTCAGCCACCTTCTAGCTGCATAACTTGGACAAATTTCTCTCTCTCCAAGCCTCGGTCTCCTTCTCCATAAGATGGGGATGGCAATAGAATGTCCCTCACAGAAGACCATGAGGACAAAATGAGATGCTAGAAGACAGCCTGGCACATGGTGGACTCTCAGCAAGGGAGCTGTCAAAGCCTTCACAGCCACTGTTGTCTGCCGTACGCAACTGAACAGACTCGCCCATATCCTCAAGAAGCTCGTGGTCCACTGTGGGGACAGGCAGGTAACGTGCAATGCGTGCAGGAAGGAGGAAGCAGAGGTTGCTGGGGAGTGTGGTAGAGGCTCTGCCTGTGATAGCTGCGGGGCCTTGGGCAGGGCTGCGGGCCGCCCTGCATCTCCACATCACCTGTTGCCTGCAAGTTTCAGAACCCAAAACGGGCCGATCAAACCCCCGTCATACTGGTTCTGGCCATCAGAGGGCGCGCGAAGCAGCATTTAGCGGGACGGAGCAGCACCCCCAACTCTGCAGACCCCTGGGCTGTCCGGGAGCTGGGTACTTATGCCGCTGGGCCACCAACAGAGAGAGGACATAGGCGCGATGTCCACAAAACTCTGGCTTTACCCCAAACCGTTCCCGGCTGGAGGAATCTTCCAACGACATGGCACATAGTCTCCTTGTCTTCCACGCTGTTGGGTCTGTGGGGACCCTCTGTGCTTCAGGCTGGGCAAAACCGGGCAGGAGAGCACTAGGGCAGGTTGCAGGGCCTAGCATTTGTAGGAGCTCGGACCCGTGAGCCCCTGGCACCCAGCAAGCACTCTACAAATGCTCACTTTGTAAACGTTGTTATTCTTCATGCTACTGGAATTTCTAAGGAATCCTCCTTCATTACTCGTACTTGGCTCACATGTTGCGGTTCCCTGCAGGATGTCATTTGGGAAGGAGTATTGCTGCCAAGGAAGCGTGCCCTTCCCACTGCTGGGCAGCTCGAGCTCCTCCGGCAGAGGGCCCTGCAGAAGGAGGTCCCAGACAGCTGTCCCCCTGCCCCGCCCCCGCCCTGCTCTGCTTACCCTCCCTTCCCCAAGCTGCCCAGTGACGGATGTGCCAGTCTTAGCCCCAGGGAGTAAAGTTCTTAGTTTATTGGGGCACAAGCCCCTTTGAGAATCTAGAGAAAGCCAGCTCTGTTTCCCTAGAAAAGCCAACATATGCTCAAATTTTAGGTCCGATGTCTGGGGGGTTTGTGACCCCCTAAAAGCTCTATACCCCAGGTTATTAACTCCTTTCCTGCCATGCTAGCTTCCCCCCTAACAATAGCCATAGCTAGGCACAGGGGTCACTGACACCTGTTCAGGCCCAAGCTAGACATGCCACACATATTTATTTATTATTTCTCATAAGAAATCTGGATGTAAGATACCCGCATTGTGCCTGTGGGAACACTGGGTCTCAGAAAGGATAAGGTCACAGAGCTCAATTCCATGCAGAAATTGTGTTCTCCCCTTTGCAGAGAAAGAGCCTTCAAATCCCTCTCTGCCTCCTTGTGATGGGTTAAATGAATGAGGAAGTGAATGAATGCATGGCCTAGTCAAGGCTCAGGAGCGGAGCTGTGAATGGGAACGGGTAACAGGGCCACTGGTGACGTGGGGAAGCATTAGATCTTGACCCCATCCCTGATATTCTCCACCCCACAGTGGCTCTCAGGGACTCCCCTCCTGCCTGCCTGGGCTGCCCTGGCCTCTGGCACATCTCTTTCGAGACAGTCTCGCTCTGCCGCCCAGGCTGGAGTGCAGCGATCTCAGCTCACTGCAACCTCCAACTCCTGGGTTCGAGCGATCTTCCCATCTCAGCCTCTTGAGTAGCTGGAATTACAAGCATATACCACCATGCCCAGCTAACTTTTGTATTTTTTTGTAGAGGGGAAGTTTCGCCATATTGCCCAGGCTGGTCTCGAACTTGTGAGCTCAAGCAGTCTGCCTGCCTCAGCCTCCAAAAGTGCTGGGATTAGACATGAGCCACCAAAATCAGCCTGGGACATCTCTGTAAAGGTGTGGTTCCCCCTCAGGGCAGGGCTCACGGCAGAAGGCGACAGCTGTAGCCATGGTGGCTGAGGTTAGGGCATCTATACTGGGAGGAGACGTTCAGTACAATTAACCACTCTACGAAGCCGCCACCTTGAATGCAAGCGACCCACCTGTTCCCAACTGGGAGCAAGGGCCTGGGGGTGGACAGCTGGACCACGGGCATTTTGTGTCACTAGTGGGCACAGCCCAGGGTGAGGTGGGACACCCTTCGGTGAGTAACTCCCCACTGGAACTTTCCTTCTTCCACCTTCTCATCCTCACTGTGGCTGACTGAGCGCCCACCGTGCCCAGGCACTGGGGCAGGGGCTCAGAGGCATCTACTCCTCAGTCACCTCTTTAGGGTGGGACTCCCATTTGCAGCCCCATTTTGCAGGTGAGGAAACCGAGGCCCAGAAAAGAGAACTGGCCTGTCTCTGCTGCCAGGGGGCAGCTCTAGGAGTCACGCTTGGGACTCCTCATCCCTCATCCCTCAAGCCTCCCTTCTGACTCTGCAGGCCCAGCCCCCATCCTGTGCGCATCCCTCCTGCCCACATCCCTCCTGCCCACCCTGACCTCCGTCCCCTAGGTCAAGCCACCTGTTGGTCTGGAGGGTTTGCAGCTGTCTCTGACACAGCAGCGCCCCTTGCTGGCTGTCTGCTGCCTGCTCTCACTCCCGGTGCACTCTCCCATCAGCGCCAGGGTGGGCTTTCCAAGAACCCTCCCTCTGCTCACTCTCCTGCTTAAGGCTTTTGACAGGGCAGGGGGGAGAGTGTCATCTTTAACACCATCCAGCCTTAAAATGAGGCGCACACCTGTAACCCTAGCACTTCAGGAGGCCAATCGCAGGCAGATAGCTTGAACTCAGGAAGCCGAGACCAGCCTGGGCAACAATAGGTAGAACTCCATATATCCAAAAAATACAAAATTAGCTAGGTGCAGTGGCATGTGCCTGTGGTCCCAGCTACTCGGGAGGCTGAGGTGGGCGGATCACTTGAGCCCGGGAGGCGTAAGTTGCAATGAGCCGAGATCATGCCACTGCACTCCAGTCTGAGCAACAGAGAGCAGACCCTGTCTCAAAAAATAATAACAATAATAATAATGGAGGTGGCATATATGTGGGAACTGTCTACTTTCCAATGGACCTCTCTATAAACTTCAAGCCACTTTTTAAAAAATTAAGTCTGTTCATTAAAATAATTTTTAAACTTTTTTTTTTTTTTAAGACGGAGTCTTGCTCTCTGTTGCCCAGGCTGGAGTACAGTGACATAATTTTGGCTCACTGCAATCTCCCCGATCCAGGTTCCAGTGATTCTTCTCCTGCCTCAGCCTCCCAAGTAGCTGGGATTACAGGCGTGCACCACCATGCCTGCCTAATTTTTGTATTTTTAGTAGAAATGTGGTTTCGTCATGTCAACTAGGCTACTCTCAAATTCTTGGCCTCAAGTGATCTGCCCACCTCGGCCTCCCAAAGTGCTGAGATTACAGGCATGAGTCACTGTACCTGGCTAAAAAAACTTTTTTAAATGTTTGTAACTTTTGATGACTTTTGGTGAAATTGACAGTGCTCATGCCCACCTCCCCTGTTCCCTCTGGCCACCAGATTGGCACTTTTCCTTTTCATTGAGGCAGTTAGGACTCTGTGGCCATGACACCTGGGTTCAAATCCCAGCTCTGTAACTCATGAACCGTGTGACTCGCATCTGCTACCTCATCTGTAAAATGGGGATGGTGCAGTACCTATCTGATGTGATAGTTGTGAGTTACTGTGTTCAGTGCTTTAAACAGGGCTGGCACGAAATAGGTATCCTACAAGCCTTGCTGCTATTATCATCACTGCTATTATCATCATCATTGTCACTATCATCACCATTGTAAACCAAAAATAAATTATAAGGCCCCCAACCATCGGAACAGACCCCTCTTGGCCAAGGGCTTTCCAGAGTTATCTGAAAACCTAATTCAGGCCGTGAAGGAAGAGGGGGTCGGACATGCCTCATTATACTCCTCCAGCGTTAACATTAACACACACCTTAAGTCTGGTAAGAAACATTACAGTCTCTTTTCTCTAAAGCCCACTACTTAGAGGCTTCATCTGCATGAAAATACCTAGCTCACCACAACCCCTTATCATAACCCAGACATTTCTTTCTACTGATAACTCTTTCAACCAATTGCTAAGCAGGGAATTTTTATTTATTTTTTATTATTATTATTATTATTATTATTATTATTATTTTGAGACAGAGTCTTGCTCTGTCACCCAGGCTGGAGTGCAATGGTGCAATGTCATCTCACCACAACCTCCACCTCCCAGGTTCAAGCAATTCTTGTGCCTCCGCCTCCCGAGTAACTGAGACTACAGGTGCTGCTACAACGCCTGGCTAATTTTTGTATTTTTAGTAGAGATGGGATTTCGCTGTGTGGGCCAGGCTGGTCTCAAACTCTTGATCTCAGGTGATCTGCCTGCCTCAGCCTCCCAAAGTGTTGGGATTACAGGTGTGAGCCACCAAGCCCGGTCTTTTTTTGTTTGTTTGTTTTGTTTTGTTTTGTTTTTTCCAAGCAGAGACTTTTAAAATCTACGTATGCCCTGGAAGCCACTCCTCCCTTTGAGTTGTCCCCCTCTTCCAGATCTAACCAATATAAACCTTACATGTATTGATTGATGTATTCTGTCCCCCTAAAATGTATAAAAGCAAGCTGCACCCTGACCACCTTGGGCACATGTCATCAGGAACCGCTGAGGCTGTACCATGGGTGTGTCCTTAACTTTGGCAAAATACACTTTCTAAATTGATTGAAACTTGTGCCAGATACTTTTTGGTTCACACGTCATCATCTTCCCTTTGGCAAGTCTCATAATGGATGGCGGCTCTCTGATTGGCAAGTGGGTCTCACCTTGTTTGCCAGTGCCTCCATGGTAGCAGTGCCTGGGGAGCTGTGCTGGGGAGTATTCTCTGGCCTCGTTCCCTCTTGGCCGTGCCCAGGGAAGCAGGAGTAGATGCACACATACAATGTATTTGCACACCCTACTAGAATTTGGATGCGGAAAGGTTCTGTCTAGCAAGTCTTGTTCACACCAGTACCTCCGGTCTGACACATGTAGTTGCTCAGGAAATCTTAGCTTAGGGAAGACGTGGTGACCTGGCTTTTTCCGTTTGTTTGTTTATGGTTTTTTTTTTTTTTTTTTTTTTTTTTTTGAGACGGAGTTTTGCTTTTGTCGCTCAGGCTGGAATGCAATGGCACGATCTCGGCTCATTGCAACCTCCGCCTCCTGGGTTCAAGAGATTATCCTGCCTCAGCCTTCCCAGTAGCTGGGATTACAGGCATGCATCACCACGCCCAGCTAATTTTTGTATTTTTAGTAGAGATGGGGTTTTACCATGTTGGCCAGGCTGGTCTCTAACTCCTGGTATCAGGTGATCCACCTGCCTCAGCCTCCCAAAGTTTTGTGAGCCACCGCAACTGGCCCAAGACGTGGCTCTTGAGCCTTGTCGTGCCAGTGATTGCTTAGGAGCAAAGTGGCCTTGCCAATACAGCAGCAATAAGACTCCTTCCCGGAGTCTCTGTGCTGTGAATTATAAAGAACAGGAAGGTCCCCCAGGCGTGGCCCTTGGGGGATGACTGTGGCTCACCTGTTTCCCACGCCATCGTAAACCCAGTGAGTGGAACCCAGGCCCTCATAGGCCGATGCCCAGTAATAAAGACAGGAATTCAAGTGCAGGCTGTAGAGAAGGTAGGCTGTGGTCCTGATGACCCTGCAGAAGGAACGTAGCATGTTAACACAGTGGTGGAAGAGGGTGGTGAGGGATAGACACCTGGCCAGAGGAAGCCAACCCATGGGTGGGCTGGCCCGACTGGATGCTTTGTTGAGATTGTGCCAGTTAGGAAGGGTGGTGCTTGAATGGGGCGTTGTAACGACCTGGGGCTAGAATTGGCACAGAGGTAGCAGAGCTGACTGTGCACTGGGGGAGTGGAGGGGCCAGAGGGGAAATGTGTGTTGGGGGAGGGGCAGGGAGGGACTGATGTGTGCAGAGAAGTTGAGTTGAAGATGGGGCCATGTCGCCCCAGGAGAGATGTGGACTGGAGCCTTGCTCCCTAGCACGGCCTGGCTGGTCTTGCGCCTCATCCTCAGATGTCTGTGAAATAGCCACCGCCGCCTTACAGCTGTTCCCGTTCTGTTAGAGCTGGCTGCGGGCTCCAGTTCCCTGAGCTGAGGCCAAAATGAGGCCTAGCTCACTGCAGCGCTGGTAAGCCCCTCGTGCCAGCCGACGTGTGCCCTCATCACAATGAAGGGTATGGGATATGCCTGGTTCTCTAAATAACAAACATTTCTCTGGGAAAGAGGAGGCGGGACCAGAAAGATGCCTGGCTTCCAGTGGAGATGGGGGGCCTGGAGGTCAGTGGGGGTAGACAATGCCTTGCTGCCTGTTCTCTAGGTACAAACTTCCTCTGTTGTGTGTGTGTGTGTGCATTGTGTGTGTCATTTGTGTCGTGTGTGTGCATTGTGTGTGTTGTGTGTATGTGCACTGTATGTGTTGTCATGTATGTTGTTTGTGTTGTGTGTGTCATATATCTGTTGTGTGTGTGTTGTGTGTGTTGTGCGTGTATGTGTTGTGTGTTATGTGTATTGTGTGTGTGCATTGTGTGTTGTGTGTTTGTGTGTTGTGTGCCTGTGTGTGTTGTGTGTGTTGTTTATGTGTGTCATGTGTGTTGTGTTGTGTGTGTTGTGTGTGTCGTGTGTGCTGTCGTGTGTGGTGTGTGTATGTCGTGTGTGTTGTGTGTGTATTGTGTTGTGTGTTTGTGAGTGTTGTGTGTGTGTGCATGCACGCACACGCAGGGGGAGTCTCACCTGTACACGTAGGCTTTGCTGAGGATGGATTCCAGGCGGTTGTTAAACTCGAAGAAGGCCATGTACTGGAGGGAGAGCAGGGCATGAGAGCAGCCCACCGCCTGCGGGTAGCATGCTGCTCCCACGCCCACGGGCGCCGGGACTCAGGGCTCTTCCTGCAGCCCCCGGGAGGAGGGAACAGGACGGTGAGCATTCAAAATCAGAAATCCTCCGCCCCTTGACGGGTAGGGGCCAGAAACTCCATTAGGAATCTGAAGAAAGTCATAGCCCATCTTCCCTTGGAAATGACATGTAATCTTGTTCTCACAATTTGCATATAATTTCAGGGGACTCCCGGACGCTCTGAGCCCTATCATGAGACTTTTAGGGGTACATGCATCCAGGTTAAAGATGCTGTTTTTAATGTTTCTTATAAAGAAAACAATTTAATAAAGAGACAGCATCCCTAACACCCCACTCTTATATCCTTCAAAGGTTTATTTATAATAATAGAAGTATATTAATAACTACTTTTCTTTATTGAGCACCTACTATATGACTGGCATATGCCTTTTTTATTTTTTTATTTTTAGAGACAGAGTCTTACTCTGTCACTCAGGCTGGAGTGCAGTGGTGCGATCATAGATAACTGCAGCCTCGAACTTCTGGGCTCAAGCGATTTTTCGGCCTCAGCCTCCTAAGTAGCTGGGACTACAGGGCACACATCACCACTTTTGGGTAATTTTTAAATTTTTTGTAGAGACAGGGTCTCACTGTGTTACCCAGGTTGGTCTCAAATTTCTAGGCTCAAGTGATCCTCCTGCCTCAGCCTCCTAAAGTGCTGATATTATGAGCATGAGCCACCGCACCCAGCCAGCATATACATTTATATATATTACCTTATTCCTTATTTACATATGAAGGATGTATTATCATTCTCCTTTGACAGAAGTTGGTGCTCAGGGAAGTCCAATAACTTGTCCAAAGCACACAGCTGGTATGTGAGAGAGTCAGCATTCAAACCCAGGCCAGACTCAAAGCTGCAAGCTCTCTCCTTATGTTATACCACCTCTAGATCTTTGCATTTATTTTTTGATATTTGAAAACAGCATTTATGAAGATTCCCTAAGGGATATTCCAGTTATCATCCATGTGTTCATTCTAATTCCAGCCACAGTTTAAACTGGAGGCAGAAAGAACAGGGGCTTGGATGGCTCACTCAAAGAGTTTTGTCCACTGAGGGGTGTTCAATGTTAGGCCTGTGAGTTATGCCCCATCACTGGGGCCACCATGTGAACCAAGATATGGATCTCACCTCTACATCTGGGGTGAAACTTGGCCTGTGGACCCAACGTTCCTCACTCTGATGTTTGACTCTAAAGCAACCTCTGCAGTCCCTCGGAGGCTGGTATGTGTCAAATAAGAATGGTGCCACTTCCACTTTCCCTCTTCCTCTTGGCAGCCAGGAAGCTCAGAGGCAGCTTCCATGCTCGATTCCACATAGGTGTGCTTTCTTTTGATCAGGGCACTTGCATGCCCGCTAGTTTTCTCAGCCCTGTTTCTCTGGGTTGTTCATGGTATTGCATTTGCCTTTTTTGTAAATTCCTTCAGTACTGTTTTCAGAAAAAGGCACCAAGCATCATTTCAGGAGAGAGATGAATGTGATTGGTTGGCTACCAAAATCCATTTGGGGGATCCTGAATGTTCTGAGTGGCTATCCACCCTGGTCACATGACAGGACCATGGCCAGCTGTGGCAGCCAGACCATCCTGGAGACTTTGGCTCTGTCCAGTGAGTGGCAGAAGGAATGGCTGGAATGACACTGAGGCCTGGCCAATGATGAAACGGGTGTCTGGCTGTGCATTCAAATCCATCCCTGGCAGTTCCTTGCTCCTGCGACCTAGGGCAAGTGCCCCCGCCTCTCCAAGCACCAATGCCCCCATTTTTTAGACAGAGACCATCATAAAGCAGAAACCCCCTCTTGAGAGTGTCTATAATCACCGAGAGCATAAACAGTGGAGTCGGATGACCTGCATTCGAATTCGGGCTCCACTCCCTCCTGGCTCTGTGACTTTGGGCCAATTACTTAATCTCTCTGGGCCCCAGTCCCTTCATTTGCAAAACGCTGGCAATAACACTACCTAACATGCAGCACCACCAAGCACTAGCAATTGTAATGAACTTTCCACTGAGACACACATGGAATAAACACATCTCCCCTCAGGCCATCCCTCAAGGATGCTCCCTCCCCAGTGCTGCTGGGGGCAGACAGGAAGATGCCAGTGCCGGTGCAGAGCAGGGATGAGCTGAAGGCCTGGGGTGGGGGGCCCAGCAGTCCTACCTTTAAACAGCGGGGCAGGCGGAGGAGGGGGTTCACGCCGACTTTCAAATAGAGAAAATCCAAGGGCAGGAGGCTGAGCAGGTCCATCTGAAATCCCCATGGGACACCACGGGGGTAAAAACGGGTGACCCCAGGGTTGAGGGTGAGGGGAGAGGCGGAGTCTTTCCCTTCCATGGAAAGGTGAGGTTAGAATGCCCCAGGAGAGCTTCAAACTAGAGGGCAGAAGGTGTCCCACCAACAAGGCTTTGTTTGCTTCAAAGCCCATGTTGCCAGCCCCAAGGGCAGTTTCGTTATCCCCGATAGTGGCTGCTGTGCCATACAGTAGGAGCGGGAGTGGCACAGACACAATGAAAGGTGGCTTCTGGCCAGGTGCGATGGCTCATGCCTGTAATCCCAGCACTTTGGGAGGCCAAGGCGGGCAGATCACTTGACATCAGGAGTTTGAGACCAGACTGCCCAACACAGTGAAACTCTGTCTCTTCTAAAAATACAAAAATTAGCTGGGTGCGGTGGTGCACACCTGTAATCCCAGAAACTAGGGAGGCTGAGGCAGGAAGAGCGCTTGAACCAGGAGGCAGAGGTTGCAGTGAGCTGAGATCACACCACTGAACTCTAGCCTGGGAGACAGAGTTAGACTCTGTCTCAAAAAAAAAGAAAAAAAGAAAAAAGAAAGGTAGCTTCTGGGGGCCACCCAGCCCGTGCTGGTCTCCTGGGGCTTGTGGCTTGGAGGACACTCCCACAGGGACCAGCATCCCTCCGTGTGGCAGAAACCACATCTCATGAGCCCCCCAGGGCCCTCTGAGGCTCCCCCTTCTGAAACTTGCATTCCCGGCACTCACCTTGAAGCGGCGAGACTTCAGGTAGTTATTTCGCATGTCCTTTTTGTCCGTCTGAAAGAAAGGGAATAATGATGGTGAAATGGCCTTAGAGCTTAATCCCTCACCCTGTGGGGAGCAATTGTGAAATTTCCCGAAGAACCCCACCCTCAAATGAGCATAACAGCTCGAGGACCATCTGAGCCTTGGTGAAAGCCTTGAGTTTTATAGGTGGAGAGGCCCGGCCCTCAGGGAGGAGAGATTTGTTCTAGTCACCTAGCTAGATCCTGATTTCTTGGGTGGAAATCGAGGACATTAAGCTTATTCTCTCTGCCGACTGGTCTTACCTGGGCCATTTGCACATCTGTTTTCTGAGGAATTGGTAACCACTCTGATCAGGCCAGAAAAGAGGTTCTCCAAGGAAATCTCTTTACTTTTTACTTTACTCCCTTTAAATCTCTCCAAGGAAAATTGTTGAGAGGCAAAACCTCAGCTCGTCTGCACACAGCAAAACAGGCATTGCCGGGGTGGAATTTTGGAAAGTGACCCACACTGGGAGACAGGGACTGTGTCTCCTGTTCCTGAGAAGTCACAGTCAGGGCCTCAGTTTCCTCCCTGGTAAGGCGGGGGTGGTACGCGGGGCTGGACCAGAGGCCAGGGTCTCAAACTGGCCCAAGTAGGAGAGCATCAGTGTGTTCTTTGCAGGACCCTTGGGAGAAGTCAATTGCCAGCGGTTACCTGGGCTGAGCGCCCTGCATGCATCGTTTCAACCAATCCTCATGGCAACACTGGGAGGTGGAAGCTATTACTATCCCCATTCTACAGATGAGGAAACAGAGGCGATTCAGCTAGCTGTGGTGGAGGTGGGATTCAAACCAGGTACATCGTCACTAAAGACCATTCTCTGGACCACTTCTCTATCTTTGATTCCGTCAAGTGGTCCAGGAACTATTTCACCTATGAGCAATATGTGATGTGTGTAATTTGAACATATCAAAGGCATGCAAAATAAACAACCATGCTGTTGAACAAGCACTGCAGCCATTTTTGAGATTTCCTTACTCACTTATTTTGTCATCTACGACAGCATCAGGGGTCAGTGCCCTGAAGGCTCTGGCTGAGCGGTCTGCCCGCGGTCATCCCAACACCACCTGCCTGTGACTCACAATGATGTCCCCGCCTCTGACAAACTGCAGGCGTATCTGGAACACTGTGATGTCCAGGAAGTAGATGAGGTCACACAGGTAATCTATCAGCAGCCAGAGGTGGATGTTGTCCGGGGTCTGGTAGGGGAAGGCCCAGCGCACGGGAATCAGCCAACAGTTCCAATTCCAGGCCATCACCACGAAGAACAGCCACAGGATATACATCAGGTCTGTGGGGAAGATGGACGGGGCCGCTGGAGTATCAGCCAGGCAAGGCTCTTCACCAGTTGAATCAGGTGGGGCTTTGTTCTTTCTACATTTCCACACTTTCCGTCAACTACTACATGTGGCACTTTTGTAAGAGTGTGTGTATATATATGTGTGTATATATATACATGTATATATGTGTGTATATATGAATATATGTATATATGTGGGTATATATATGGGTGTATATATATATGTGTGTGTATATATATGTGCGTATATATATGTATATATAACTCTCTGCTTTAGGAGCCAGGCACAGTGGCTCATGCCTGTAATCCCAGCACTTTGGGAGGCCCAGGTGGGAGGATTGCTTGAGCCCAGGAGTTTAAGACCAGCCTGGACAACATAGCAAGACCCTATGTCTACTTTAAAAAAAGAAAACAACTATCTGCTTTAAAAATAAATCACTGATAAGCCCTAATAAATCAAATACTCTCAGGAGGGAATATGCTGGTATTATAAGATAATAGGCAGCCAACTAGAAAACTTTCATTCTTCTTTAATTGTTTTCATTCTCCTTTAATTTTTTTCCCAAAATGTATTTTCTGCCTTAGTAAATACAGAATAATAAATAATGCATGAAGGATGGACAGATAGATGGACAGACAGGTGAATGCATGCATGGATGGATGGGTATTCCAGATCATCTGGTTGGCTATTTGTTTATTTGTTTATTATTTTTGTAGAGATGAGGTCTCACTATGTTGCCCAGGCTGATCTTGAACTCCTGGGCTCAAGCAATTCTTTCACTACAGCCTCTCACAGTGCCAGGATTACAGGTTTGAGCCACTGCACGCAGCCCACCAGGTCATTTGAGAAATCCAGTGGACACCAGGGTTGAAGTCCTGTCCCCCAAATGTGTGACCTTGAGAAAGTCCCTCTCTGGCACCTGCCCTCTTCTGAGAAATCACAGGAAAAGGTCAGATAAGAAAGGCAGGGAGTCCGCTGTGAACTCTAAAGTGCTACGCACGTATGAAGTGGTGTTATTTCTGAGGAATATGAAGTGGGCTTAAAGGGAAGCAATAGGAATTCACACTCCTGCCCTTTTTCTGTTCAGAGCAGGAAAAGGCCAGCACGACCAGAGTGAAAAAAGGACTTGGCCAAGAGTCAGGAGTCCTGGGTCTGCACTAAGTAGTTGCATCTTTACCCTTGCTGACTTCTCTGTGCCTTAGTTTCCTCATCTGTAAGACAGGTGTGATCTTATGTTCCTATTCCAGGGACTTTTGTTGTTGTTGTTGTTTTTAAGACAGAGTCTCACTCTTTCACCTAGGTTGGAGTGCAATGGTGTGATCTTGGCTCAGTGCAATCTCCACCTCCTCGGTTCAAATGATTCTCCTGTTTCAGCCTCCTGAGTAGCTGGGATTACAGGTGTGCACCACCACACCCAGCTAATTTTTGTGTCTTTAATAGAGGCAGGGTTTCATCATGTTGGCCAGGCTGGGTTTATTTTGAGAATCAGGCAAGAAACTGTGGAATGGTTTTGAAAAGTATAAAAGGTCATGAACCCAGGTCATCTGTGACTTCCCATCCCACCTCTTGAATCCCCTGACCCTCTTCCTATCCCGCTCCCACTCTCCTGCCCTCTCATGTTACACAGTGGGAACACCCATTCCCCAGGACTCACTGGTCAGTGGGTCAATGCTCTGGGGAAACTGGTACTTCTTCCAGGGGCGGCGTTTGAACTTGCAGCAGAGCATGTCGCAATAGTGCTCCTCTTCCACTGGCTCGGCTTCTGCGGGCTTCGTGGCTGGAGCTGGCTCTGGGGCTTTCTTGGCTGGGGCTGTGGGATGACATTGGTGACTATCTGAACCAACCCTGAGGCCCACATAGAGGATGCAGAGAGAAGGGTCCCAACTGCAGATCCTGGATCCAGAGCTGAGAGGACCCTGGCACCATTATGCAAGCTGCTGCAAGCTCTGTGTACAGAATCCAAGTCGCTCTCCTGGAGTGAACTCCACAACTCCCTCCTCAACAGTAACAGCAACCCAGGTGCCCACCCAGAAACCCTTACCAACTACCAAGCTGGAACTGCTTCTCAGAAGCTGACCCAAACGAGTTGTTTCTGGGCCAGTTGGATGTTTCAGTGTCTGCTTGTGTGTCTATGCATAGACCCCCTTAGTTCCCTCTGATGAGATGGAGGCATTTTGTACCCAGTGTTTCCAGTACCCATGGTTGGAATGCTGAAGGGCCTAACAAAATCAGGGAAGTGTTGCTCCAGGTTTCTGAGATGGAATCTCAGCTCCTTCATCTCTAAAAACAGAGACCAGATGGGATCACAACAGCCTCCCTGTGTATCTATGATGATACTTTTGGTGACCCAGGGATTGGCTCTTATAGGTTCAATACGGCTATGTTTTCTAGCTTCAAGACTGTGACATCAGGCTCTGCATGGCCTGTTGTGGGCACCATGATTTCCAAGATACAGCCTTCCTCTAGAAAGATCTAAAAAATCTCCCTGACAAGAGATCATGTGTCTTACTTCCTCCCAATACCTTGAAAGAAAAGAAACATTCGGATAGCGTCAATAAGAACTTTCAAGGCACTGACATCTCTGAAAAATAAGACTGCCTAGTTCCAGAGCAGGCTATGCACACAATCTGAGTGTAAGACCATAAGATACAGTTTGGGCGGCACCACCCACCTATCAGTAGGAAAGGGATGGAAGGGTCAAGGAAGGCACTTCCCCGTGGGAGAGAGGGCCGAGTGCAAGTGGATTGTTGGCCAGAACTTTGATCTTCCCACTCTTGGGTACCTATCTCAACCTACGGACCCCAAATCCAGAGAGTGGGGATCTGGGCTTCTCTCATGGACCTCAACCATTTTCTTGGGGCCACCCTCGCCATGAGTTGACAGGGGATTTTGGAGGCCCCACCCCATCCCCGGCCAAGTAAGACCCCTCCAGCTCCAGACTCACAGGGCTTGGGGCTCTCCTCATCAGAGGTGACGTCAGGGTCGATGAGTTTCTCCTTCACTTTCTCTGTCCGCTCCTTGAAGAGCTTCACCAGCTCCTGGAGCCGGTCGTTGATGATGGCGCTATTTGTGCTGGCCGCGGAGGCCGCACGGTCCTGGCCGCTGTGGGAACATCACCCAAAGCTGAGCAGGCTGAGCCAGGAGGGACCCCTGCGCCCCCAGGCCAGAGCTGTGCAGCGTCTGTGTCCCACCTTCTGGCAGAGCCTGAAGGAGGTAAGTCCTGCCCCCGTCTGCTTCTGACATCAGAAACCACAGACCCACTGTAATCTCCTAGGAGGAAATTCAGTCCGGGAATAATGCCCAGGTGTTCTGGCCCAGCTTTTGGAAAATGTACCACGTAGGCTCTGATTCAGATGGACAGTTCTGGAAAACGCGTGACTCCACTTGTAATTTAGGAGGAAACTCTTGGAACTCAGTTTAGAGTTCAGCAAAATTGGGCTGTTCATCCCAGTGCAGGATTCACATGAGATACGTGTCCAGGGGCAGAACAGAGAGAGAGCAGGCCTACTTTTTTAGGCTTAGGATATAACTGCTGGAAAAAGCAGTGCAGATACATTCTATATCCCTTTAACTTACAGGAATTAAAGTTTCTGCACTGTCAGCAAGAGAGAGAGCGAGAAACAGAGAGAGACAGAGAACGAATGAGTCTGCCTAGCGTTCAACTCAGTGTGGGGTGTGTGCCCTGGGTGCATTGAAGCAGGCCTGTGAATGTGCTTTCTTTCCTCTGAGTGGCCTCACTGAGATCATCTTGCTGAGCTGAATATCTTTTTTATCTTTTTTTTTTTCATACATTAAGACACAGAAACTGCAGTTGACTACTCTTTTTGAGCTCAACTGAGGAAGCAGGGCTGCAGAAAACAAGTGTATGGCTCTTTTTTTTTTGAGATGAAGTTTCACTCTTGTCGCCCAGCTGGCGTGCAATGGTACGATCTCGGCTCATTCAACATTCACCTCCTGGGTTCAAGCAATTCTCTTTCCTCAACTCCCGAGTAGCTGGAATTACAGGCACAAGGCACCACCCCTGGCTAATTTTTGTAGTTTTAGTGGAGACGGGGTTTCACCATGTTGGCCAGGCTGGTCTCGAACTCCTGACCTCAGGTGATCCACCTGCCTCGGCCTCCCAAAGTGCTGGGATTACAGGCGTGAGCCACTGTACCCGGCCAAGTGTGAGACTCCTAATGAGAGCTGGCATACAGGTGTGGTGGGGACATGAGCTGCTCCCCTACACTCATTCTCTCCTGTGGTGCACACTCACTGGGATACAGCCACCCAGCCAGGGACCACGTGCCAGGCTCTCGCTATTGGAATGTCAGCTCTGAGGCACAATACATGCAACTAGGGGCCTCCTTGCTGAAGACAGGCCTGGAGTTCTCCCTTTCTAGTGGTGACCAGTGGGATATGGGAAGGTACATGGAGAAAGTGGCAGAGCACTGTCATCTGGGTCCCTAAATGATTGCATGGAGCAGAACCTTCTGCTGACCTGATGCATGCAACTAGTGAGATGACGATGGCATATATGATACATCGTGTTCCTTAAGCCACTGAGCCTTTGAGGTCCATTTGTTACAGCAGCCTAGCCTGCCTAGCTAATACATGGGTCTCCAAGTTGACCTCCTTAAGACTTTTCAAGGATAGGTTTTCTCATTATACCTCATTTCTGCCTTCGTTTCTGATATTAAACCCTACCTCTACCCCTACCCTACCTCATAAAATGTGAGTCCACTGCATGCTACAGTGGCCAACTGGACTGAGGTTGGGGTTGGGACTTCTTCTTGCTTATCTTTTCTAACTTTCCACAGCTCTGTTAAGCACAAACTGCATAAAATTGTGGATAGGAAAAAAGACTGGAAGGAGGAAGGAATGCCTGCTGTCTCCTGTGGCTCATCCAGGAGTCATGGCCAAGGACTGTGATCGGGATTCCAGGCAGAGCCCAGGGCTGGGGCATTCGCCATCCACCAGAGCTTCTCAGATCCTTCAGGAAGATACCTCCCACTGGCCCAGCCCTGGGGACAGTTCAATCTCTGAGACCCAGGTCCCAGTGCCATCGCAGTGGTTTCTGTCTTTCTTTATTTTTCTTTTTTTTTTTTTTTTTTTTTATGGAGTCTCGCTCTTGTCACCCAGGCTGGAGTGCAGAAGTGAGATCTCAACTCACTGCAACCTCTACCTCCTGGGTTCAAGCAATTCTCCTGTCTCAGCCTCCCAAGTAGCTGGGATTACAGGCACACGCCACCACACTCGGCTAATTTTTGCATTTTTAGTAGAGACAGGGTTTCACCATATTGGTCAGGCTGGTCTCGAACTCCTGACATCAGGTGATCTGCCCACCTCAGCCTCCCAAACTGCTGGGATTACAGGCGTGAGCCACTGTGCCCAGCCGTCATCATAGTGGTTTCTAAACATTGTTCTGCAGGCCAGCCGCACCACATCCCCTGGGGAGTTCGGCAAATGTGGACTCCCCAGGCCCACTGTCTGCAGCTCTGATCCAGTGCAGCCAGATAGGGCCAGGGAATCTTTTTTTTTTTTTTTTTCATTTTTCACAAACTCCCCAGGGCAGAACCCACTGGAGATCCTGGTGGTCCTCCCTGTCCCCACTGACCTTTCAGAAGTTCAGCAGCAGGAGCCCTGCTGGCAGCTCCCCTCAGCCTCTCATTCACAAGGGGACCTCTGCCTAGAGATCCCTCCCTCTCTGAGCGCTGCTGGCCATGGACACACCTGGGCCCAGAGGTTGAGCCCACTGGATTTTACAAGACTCCTGGGTCAGCCAGAAGCAGCCTGGGCAGGAGATCGATCCTGACTTACTGCCGGGAAGCCACTGGCAAAGTCTGCCTTATAGTGGAAGGTTCTAAAAGCATCCACACTAGCCCCCCCACATCCCTCCCCCTCCCCCAAGTCTTTCAACTTTCTGAGACCCCAGAGGGGTCTCACTCAGTGTCCTTCGGGGTGGTGGGGTCCGACCAGGCAACCACTGGGGACTCAGCTGGTGACAACGCCTTGAGTTCTTCAGCCTCATCATCCTCAGAGGGCAGCTTCTTTCTGCAAAGACACAGATGTGGAAGGGGCCTTCAGCAAGGGCAGAGGCCCCAGGGAGAAGTGTCATGACTTTGATCCCTAAAGATCACCTAGAGCCAATTCCCAGATAGAGGACGGGGCGGAGCATGAACTTCTGAGTCCTTATTTCCCTGGAGGGAGGGAAAAAGGCAGAAGAGAGGGGCAGAGCCACTCTCTAGACCTCAGTCTTCCCATCTGTTAAATGACTTGGCCTAAAGGTAATAGCATTGACTTCGTATTGCACCCCAGTCCTGCCTCTTACCAGTGTGTGGCCTCAGCAAATTACTAAAATACTCTGAGTTACCTCAGTTTCCTCCTCTGTAAAATGGGATTAAATCTACCTAAGTAAATGAGATTCTTATCACTTAGTTCTCAGCTTAAACTTCCTTCCCCCATCCTGCTCCCAGTCTAAAGTCACCCACCTCATTTCCCTCTACTCTCTATCACACCACCTTTTCAGCTATCAGAGAAGCCGTGGAATCCAGTCTCCAGCTTACGGTGTGACCTTGGGTAAGTCCCATCCCCTCCTGAGCCCCAGGCTCCCTATCTGAAGAATGAGGACTAAACGATCCCAGGGTCCTCCATCAGTCAGGAAGTCCAAGTCTGCCATGGAGTGCTGCATTCTGGAACCATTAGTGTCTTGGTTAATGGTGTCTAGATCTGTCCTGAATTTTAGAGACAAGAAGGTTCTCGCTCAACCTGCCTCTGGCCTGACATCAGCAGGTTTGAGCCTGGGCGTCTGACTAGGTGGAAGAGGTGCCTCTGATAATATTTTACATTGGCATCTTAGGGGCTAAGTCTCTGGATTTTCCCACCCTCTACCCCAGCAGTGAGAATGAATTGGTTTCCTGAGGAATGCGAAAGCCTGGGAAAGAGGAAAAAAGATCAAGAGAGACAAATTCCTTAATACCACCAAGAAAGCAAGCTCCACTGTTAGAGAAAGTATCCTGTTTAAGATAGAGTAGAACTAGCTGATGTAGAAACACAAAGATTGCGTCTGGAGGACGCTGCCCAGGCCAATATCTACCAATAGGAAGAGCATTTCATACGTCCATGAATGAAGTCCTGGTGGAGAAGAATGGTCATTCTTAATGACTTCCATTAGCATTTAAAACACAGAAGGCTAAGTGTTAGCACACAAAACCAAGAGTCTGGGGACATGGGTATGCATGTCACACATGAAAGCATATGTGTTGGCTCATCAGGATGAGCATCAGTCAGTCAGTAGCATGAAGATGAGAGTTCAGGACTTGATATGGTCTGGCTTTGTGACCCCACCAAATCTCATGTTGAATTGAAATCCCCAGTGTTGGAGGTGGGGCTTGGTGGAGGTGATTAGATCATGGGGGTGGAGTTCTCATGAATGGTTTAGCACCATCCCCTCTTGGTACTGTATAGGGAGTGAATTCTCACGAGATCTGATTGTTAAAAAGTGTGTGGCACCTCTCCACTCTCTCAGTCCTGCTTCTGCCATGTGAGAGCCTGTTCCTTTTGCCTTCCACCATGAGTGCAAGCTCCCTGAGGCCTCCCCAGAAGTAGATACTGCCATGCTGCCTGTACGCTCTGCGGAACAGTGAGCCAATTAAACCTCTTTTATTTATTTATTTATTTATTTACTTACTTACTTATTTATTTGAGACAGAGTCTCACTCTGTCAACCAGGCTGGAGTGCAGTGGTGCGATCTCGGCTCACTGCAACCTCCGCCTCTGCCTCCCGGGTTCAAGCAATTCTCCTGCCTCAGCCTCTCGAGTAGCTGAGATTACAGGCACGCACCACTATGCCCAGCTAATTTTGTATTTTTAGTAGAGACGGGGTTTCACCATGTTGGCCAGACTGGTCTCAAACTCCTGACCTCAGGTGATCCGCCTGCCTTGGCCTCCCAAACTGCTGGGATTACAGGCATGAGTTACTGCACCCGGCCATGATTACTTGACCAGGGCCTTCACTTCCGTGAGGTTTGATCAGAAATGGAATCCATAGGCAGGGAGCTTCACCTTGAGACCAAGCCTGACAAGGATCTTCAGTGATTAATCTGCAATTCCCAGCAGAAGCTGAAAACTCCAGCCAGTCCCCAAATTCCACCCTTTCCCCAGCTGGAGTCAGGGGAGGAGCCTCCCTCGGGTTCCTTCTCTGGGAACACAGCCTGGGGCCAAGCCCTGAGCTGCCCAAACCTGCTGACATCTGCACATCTTCCCAAGAAGCTCACGTCAGCAGAGGTTCCTACTCCAGCCCCTGAGGGCCAATCACAGAGTTGGGCAGGAGGACGCTGGGGGCAGGGGTCATCACCGTGCAGACGCAACACTCCACTGGGACCCAAACCTGAGTCTGCCAGGGTTCCAGGCCAGCGCTCTTCCCCAGCCTCACCACCTTGACTCCGGATTCCACCACTAGGGTTTCTAGGGGGATACAGAGGGAGGGATGTGTGGCATCCACCTTGATTCCAGAAGGCTCTGAAATGATCCTGTTGCTTTCTGCCAACTCACCTAGGATGGCAAAACTCATGGATTCACTTTTTCACACTGTAATTAACAAGAACAACCCCACACAAGAAGACTGGGGCCAAAAATCCCATTGCTGGGACCCAACGTCAGTCCTCCTGTGCCCAGCACAGAGCACTCTCCTGAGCCTAGAAAGTGCACACTGCCACCGGACACTGAGGCTCATGCCCGTAATCCCAACTTTGGGAGGCTGAGGCGGGCTGATCACTTGAGGTCAGGAGTTCAACACCAGCCTGCCCAACATGGTGAAACTCCGTCTCTACTAAAAATACAAAAATTAGCCAGGCATGGTGGCGGGCACCTATAATCCCGGCTACTTGGGAGGCTGAGGTAGGAGAATCTCTTAAATCCGGGAGTCAGAGATTGTAGTGAGCTGAGAACACGCCACTGCATTCCCGCCTGGGCAACAGGCAACAAGAGCGAAACTCCACCAAAAAAAACCACGAAAGTGCAAGCTGCCCCAGAGAAGCCAGAATGAGGGCCTAAGCTGACAGCCCCTGGCCCCCCAGCACTGCCTGTGTCTGGCCCTGTACTCAGTACCTTAGGGTGCAGTAGCTTGTTAAATTCTCACAATTCTAGTAACCAGGTGGTGTTTCTTTCCTCGTCTTACATGAGGAAAATGGAGGCCTAGGGAGGTTAAATGACCCGCCTTAAGACCCACATCTTACAAGTGGTGCTCTGGGATTCATCCCAAGCGATGGCCTGAAGCTGGAAGGAGGGCCTTGCCCAAGCTCCTCTGTGGCTTTTTGGCCCTCGTCAGTTGCTCCCAATGTTCATTCTGTCCCTGCTCAGAGTCAGCCCCACTGGCCTCGGCCTCCACAGAGAGGCAGGCCTCAGAACTCTCACCTCTCAGGGTTGGGCTCAGGCAGAGGTTTCCCACCCTGTTTCTCATAGTCACATTCAACCTGGCACTTGCTTGTTTATTTGGTTACTTGTTCATTGTCTATCTTGGCCCCTCTAGAATGTCAGCCCCATGAGGGCAGGCCCCTGCCAGGCTTCTCCCTCATGTATCCCCAGCATCCACGGCAGAGTTCAGCACATACAGATGTTCAGTACATGCTTGTGAATGCACGAATGACAGGGACAAGAGGAGCCTCACAGACTCAGCTCGCAAGCGGAAGTACAGAGGCTTGGATTTCAGCCCCACATGATCTTGGTTCCTTCTCTCCCCTAAATATGCCACCCCCTACCCAACCCAGCCTGCGTCGTTTCCCTGCCCATATAAAGGGAACAGGGGTAAATAGAGCAGACGTCTACAAGCGGAGCCATTTCTGGATTCCTTAATGGGCTTTGTACATAATTCAGTGAACTAAACATAAGAACTGATGAAGTTGTGAGCTGTACCCCCAGGCCCAGTGAAACTGTGTCTCTTTTCTCTACGTTAAGACCTCACAGCCCTCAGTTTGCTACACCTAGCCATCTCCATTCTGACAGCCTTCTGACCTCAGCTGAGCAATTACTCAGGAGTTCATGGATGAGAGCAAAAGTTAGCTAAGAAGAAAGAACCATCGCTCCATCCAGCCAGTGCAGAAGAGGCACAGACAGCTCCCCTTAGCTTAAAAATCACTGGCCTGTCCTTGGCAGTTTGCCTCCAGCTGCACACAGAGCCTTCTCCCAGGCACCTGGCTTGAGTTGTTCGAAAGCAGCTCTAACCACTCAGCAACAAATTTATCTGAAGAGGTGTCAAAATGTGGACCACCTTGACTAGGAGTGTCACTCTTGAGAAAGGAACCCAAGGGTAGAGAGCAGAAGACCAAACACGTGATCATCGTACCATTATGGATAGGGCCCAACAAGAGCAGATTTGTTAAGTTCATTCCAGCCCATGGAGCTGGAGGAATACCCAGCAGCCATCATAACTGAGCATTAAGGAGACAGCCCAGCAATATGGAAAAGGGTTCATGGAATGAGACAGCACCGTAAACTGGATCCCTCCTCCAATTAAAACCATTCAAGCCCATGAGCCTAACCAAGGCATAGAGGAGAATGCAGAGCAGTAAAAACACCATCTTGGGTGGTGGAATTTAGATGATTATTTTTCTAGTGTTCTGTGGTGTTTCCATTATACTATCTATTATCTTTTTTTTTTTTTTTTTCTTGAGACAGAGTCTCAATGGCATGATCTTGGCTCACTGCAACTGCTGCCTCCCAGGTTCAAGCAATTATCCTACCTCAGCCTCCTTAGTAGCTGGGACTACAGGCATGAGCCACCATGCCCAGTTAATTTTTGTATTTTTTAGTAGAGATGGGGTTTTGCCATGTTGACCAGGCTGGTCTCAAACTCCTGACCTCAGGTGATCCATCTGCCTCCGCCTCCCAAAGTGCTGGGATTATAGGCATGAGCCACTGTGCCTGGCCCACATTATGTTATCTAATAATACAATGGGTGGATGACACTGAAAGCACAGGTAACAAAAGCAAAACATAGACAAGTGGGATTATCTCCATCTAAAAAGCTTCTGCATAGAAGGAAACAACAGAGTGAAAAGAAAGCCTGCAGAATGGGAGAAAATCTTTGAAAATTATATATTTGATAAATAAAAGAAACTCCTACACCTTAATATGAAAACAAACACACACATTACCTAACTAAAAAATAGGCAAAGAACTCGAATAGACATTTCTCCAAAGAAGACACAAATGGCCAGCAGGAATATGAAAAGCTACTCAACATCACTAATCGTTGGGTGTATTAGTCCATTTTTACACTGCTACAAAGGACTACCTGAGCCTGGATAATTTACAAAGGAAAGAAGTTTAAGTGACTTATAGTTCCACGTGGCTGGGGAGGCCTCAGGAAACTTACAATCATGGAGGAAGGCAAAGGGGAAGCAAGGCACATCTTACACAGCAGTGAGAGAGAGAGAGAGAGAGAGAGAGAGAGAGGGAGAGAGAGAGAGAGAGACTTTTTCTTTTACATTTATAAAGAAAAGAGGTTTAATTGACTCACAGTACTGTAGGCTTAACAGGAAATATAACTGGGAGGCCTCAGGAAACAAACAATCATGGCAGAAGGCAGAGGGGAAACAGGTACATCTTCCCATGACAGAGCAGGAGAGAGAGAGCAAATAGGGAGGAGCCACACATTTTTAAATGCCAGAAGTGCCACAGTTTTAAACCATTGGATCTCGTGAGAACTCACTATCATGAGAACAGCATGGGGAAAACCATGCTGTTCAAGATCCATTCACCTCCCACCAGGTCCCTCCCTCGACACATGGGGATTACATTTCGAGAGGAGATTTGGGTGGGGACACAGAGCCAAACCATATAATCAGGGAAATACAAATTAAAACCATAATGAGATATCATCTCACATCTGTTAAGATATCCGTGATCCAAAAAAAAAAAAAGAAACCAGAAAATAACAAGCATTGGCGAGTATGTAGAGAAATAGGAAAAATAGTATAGTCACTGTAGAAAACAGTATGGTGGTTCCTCAAAATATCATAAATAGGACTGCCATATGATCCAGCAATCCCTCTTCTGGGTGTTTATCCAAAATAATCAAAATCAGGATCTCAAAGAGATATTTGCACTCCCATGTTCATTGTAACACTATTCACAATGGCCAAGAGATGGAAACAATATAAATGTCCATCAACAGATAAAGAAAGAAAATGTGGGCTGGGTTGTAATTCCAGCACTTTGGGAGGCTAAGGCAGGTGGATTGCTTGAGCTCAGGAGTTTGAGACCAGCCTTTGTCAACATACTAGGACCCCATCTCTACAAAAAATAAAAATTAGCTGGGTGGTGGCACGTGCCTGTAGTCCCAGCTACTTGAGAGGCTGAGAAGGGGGAAATGCTTGAGCCTAGGAGGTTGAGGCTGCAGTGGGCCAATATCATACCACTGCACTCCAACCTGGGTGACAGAGGGAGATCTTGTCTGAAAGGAAGAAAGCAGGGGACGGGAGGGAAGGGAGAGGAAGGGAGGGGAGGGGAGAGAGACGGGGAGGAGGAGGGGGAGGGGGAGGGGGAAGGAAGGAGAAAAGAAAAGAAGAAAGAAAAGAAAATGTGGTATATCCATACAATGGGATATTACTCAGCCTTAAAAAGGAAGAAAATCCTGTCACATGCTACAATGTGGATGAATCTTAAGGACATTGTGCCAAGAGAAATAAGCTAGTCCCAAAAAGATAAATACTGCATGATTCCACATATATGAGATATCTAAAGTAGTCAAGCTCATAGAAACAGAAAGTAAAATGAAAAAGTAGAATGGTGGCTGCCAGGGGCTGGGGCAGGGGTGAAGGGAAGAATGGGGAGTTGCTGTTCAATGGGTATAGAGTTTCAGTCATGCAAGATGAAAAATTCTAGAGATCTGCTGTAAAATAATGTGCATATAGGTAACAATACTGTACTGTACACTTAAAATTTAAGAGTTTTTTTTTTTAAAAAGACTTGGTGAGTTATAATCATATGCAAGTTTTAATAGCATCCTGTCGAAGATGAAATAAAATAAAATGAGGAGGTAGAAATCAATTCTGTAACATTTATTATATATTACTATGTTATTTATTTATTTAAAAAAATTTTTTTAATTATTTTTTGAGACAGATTCTTGCTGTGTTGCCCAGGCTGCAGTGCAATGGCACCATCCCAGTTCACTGCAACCTCTGCATCCCAGGCTCAAGCAATTCTCATGCCTCAGCCTCCCGAGTAGCTGGGATTACAAGAGTGTGCCACTATGCCTAGCTACTTTTTTTGCATTTTTAGGAAAGACAGGGTTTCGCTATGTTGGCCAGGCTGGTCTTAAACTCCTGGCCTCAAACAATCCTACCTCAGTCTCACAAAGTGCTGGCACTACAGGCAGGAGCCACCATGTCCCACTATTGCTATATTATTTATTATATTATTCTTTCTAACTTATAGCTGAGGGCATTTGGGACAGGGCCTCCCATGAGAGCTTTTATAAGAGCCCTAAGCCAGGAGTAAGGAAAACCAGGAAGGGGCATCATAGTCCCACTTCTGACACCAACTCGCTGTGTGTGATTTTAGTCCAGCTGCTTCTCCCTCTGGCCTCAGTCTCTTCATCTGCCAGATAAACAGGTGGCATAGTGCCAAGAAAAGCCCAAGAGAAGCATAAAAGGTAACCTGTGTGTCCCCAAGGCTGAGCTTGGGACTGCGAGGGTGTCGGATTTGGCAGGAGACGGTGGCGGCAACACGGGTGAGGGTGGATTCTTTTCTACCAAGAGGGGGCAGCTATCAGCATCCGTATCTTCCACCTGCACTTCCGGGTGCTCTTTCGTGGCAGGCACTGGGGGAGAGGAAGGAGAGGAGAAAGTCAGAGAGAGACAAAAGCCGGGTCCCAGTAGTCTGGCTGTGTTCTTGAAGAAAACCACAGAAAGCATGTTTGGAGGGGGCTCTGATAGCTTCACTTCCCAATGGGGCACACAGAAAAGCTCCATGCAGGGGGTACAAGAACATGGTACCTGGGGTCCTCTAAGGGTCACAGCCACCAGCCCAGGAGCCATGAAAGAAGCCACAGAAGCCATAGGAGCTCCCCTACACAGCCTGGAGCCCAGCTCTCCTAGCTCTCAAAGCCCAGTTTGGTTTCCCTGCACTTGAGCAAGCTCCAAGAGCTGAGGCAGTGGCAGCCTCCAGAGAGGGCATGGGGAGCCAGAGTCCTGGCACCTGGCCTAGCACAGCCTGAGTCAGCTGCTTCCCCCACTCTGAGCTTCAGTTTCCCCACCCCAAGTTAGGGTGACCATGCCTTCCCAGGCATGTGGGGAGGAGCCAGAAGGCACAAGTCCTCACATTCTTAAAGATTTTTTTTTTTTTTTTTTTTTTTGAGTCGGAGTCTTGCTCTGTCTCCCAGGCTGGAGTGCAGTGGCGCAATCTCAGTTCACTGCAAGCTCCGCCTCCCGAGTTCATGTCATTCTCCTGTCTCAGCCTCCCAAGTAGCTGGGCTCGGCTCACTGCAAGCTCCACCTCCCAGGTTCATGCCATTCTCCTGCCTCAGCCTCCTAAGTAGCTGGGAATACAGGCACATGCCACCACACCCAGCTAATTTTTTGTATTTTTAGTAGAGATGGGGTTTCATCATGTTAGCCAGGATGGTCTTGATCTCCTGACCTCTTGATCCGCCCACTTTGGCCCCTCAAAGTTGCTGGGATTACAGGCGTGAGCACCCAGCCAAGTCCTCAGATTCTTTTTAAAAATTATTTTATTTATTTGTTTGTTTTTGAGACAGGGGGTCTCACTCTGTCACCCAGGCTGGAGTGCAGTGGCACAATCGCAGCTCACTGCAACCTCTGTCTCCCAGGATCAAGTGATCCTCCCAGCAGCCTCCCAAGTAGCTGGGACCACAGACGCACACCACCATGCTCAGCTAATTTTTGTATTTTTTGTAGAGATGAGGTCTTACCATGTTGCCCAGGCTGGTCTCGAACTCCTGAGCTGAGGTGATCAGCTCAGGCTGGTCTCGAACTCCTGAGCTCTTCCTAAAGTGCTGGGATTATAGGCGCAAGTCACTGGGCCCAGCTGGCCTCACATTCTTGAAGAGCATCAAATGGAGACATTGACGGGGTCCCTCCAATCAAGGGTAACAGACTGCGTAGTGTGTGCTACTCCCTATTTGGGTACCTGCTTGGGTATGTCCTTGTTCTTGTACATGCCAGGGGCCCCCAAATTCATCAGCTAGCCTAACTCTGGACCTCTGAGAGGCCCTGTACTATGTCCCACATTCTGAGAATCGGGTCCTCTCCAGGGAGCCTGGACATGGCCCTACCTTGGGCTCCATCACCCACCTCAGGGACTTCAGGGACAGGTCTGCCCCACGTCCAAGGTCAGAGGATACTGAGAGCCTGGGCTGGTATTCCTCCTTCTCCCCCACATCTAGGGGGTCTACCCAGTAGCAGCCGGGCACAGGTGTGGGCATCAGCAAGGCAGGCAGGGATACAACCCCAAAAGAGGGAAGCGGGGGGATTTTGAAATAATTATATATGCGCTTTTTCTTTCTTTTCTTTTTTTTTTTCTGAGATAGAGTCTCACCCTGTCACCCAGGCTGGAGTACAGTGGTGTGATCTTGTCTCACTGCAACCTCTGCCTCCCAGGTTCAAGCCATTCTCCTTTCTCAGCCTCCTGAGTAGCTAGGATTACAGGCCCCTGCCACCACACCTGGCTAATTTTTGTATTTTTAGTAGAGACGGGGTTTCACTATGTTGGCCAGGCTGGTCTCGAACACCTGATGTCAGGAGATCTGCCAGCCTCGACCTCCCAAAGTGCTGGGATTACAGGCATGAGCCACCACACCCAGCCAATATGTGCTGTTTTTCAAATGGCCTTTATGAGAAAATACAGCACTCTGTTAAATTGCTTACACTTACTCTATAGTTTGATGGATCGAACCGTAAATCCTCTGGAGAAGAGGATGAGCAGGACTAGAGAAGTTGTTAAAAATGTAAGGGGAGCCAGGCACAGTTGCTCATGCCTGTAATCCCAGCACTTTGGAAGACTGAGGTGGAAGGGTCCCTTAAGTTCAAGAGCAGCCTGAGCAACATAGCAAAATCCCACCTCTACAAAAATACGAAACTCAGCTGGTCACAGTGTTCCACCTACTTGGGAGGCTGAGGTTGGAGGATAGCTTGAACCTGGGAGGTAGAGCATATAGTGAGTCAAGATCACGCCTACTACACTCCAGCCTCGGCGACAGAGCGAGACCCTGTCTCACAAAATAATAAAAAATAAAATAAAATGGAAGTAATGTTCTTACTACAGCTTCTTATTACCTTGTCTGTAGCATCTAGAATAATCATATGCTCTAGCACAGCTGGGTCAGCCCCCTGTGTCAACGCGTCCCCGGAAACATTTCCCCAAGTGTGGGGCTCCCAGAGACTGGGGAGGACAGGAGATGTTCTTTGACGGTACAGACAAAGCAAAAGATAACCTAGAATAAGAATGTTACTCCCAGTCAGGCGTGGCGGCTCACGCCTGTAATTCTAGCACTTTGGGAGGCTGAGGCAGGAGGATCACCTGAAGTCAGAAGTTCAAGGCCAGCTTGGCCAACATGGCAAAACTCCATCTCTACTAAAAATACAAAAATTCCCCAGGTGTGGTGGCATGTGCCTATAATCCCAGCTACTCGGGAAGCTGAGGCAGGAGAATGGTGTGAACCCAGGAGGTGGAGCTTGCAGTGAGCCAAGATTGCACCACTTCACTCCAGCCTGGGCAATAGAGCAAGACTTCGTCTCAAAAAAAAAAAAAAAGTTACCCCTCTTTTAGTGAATAGCCAGAGAGGAAGTCTCAGGTCGGTGCCTCTGTGGTCTCAGAACCTCTCTTACACAGCCTAATCCCACTTGCAGCTAAGAGAGCAGGCCCCAGATTTGCACCTTCAGTGGGCCCATCTGTCTCATTAGAAAACAGCAATACCATTGTGTTTTCATTGTATTTGAGGTTATTTTTATTTATGCCTCTGTTTATGGCAAGCAATGCTGGTTTTCCATTTGAATAGTAATAAGAAGTTTTCCTATTTAAATATACTTAGTTAAATAAAAAAGAGAATCCACTGAAAGAAAAATAGTAAGCAAATAAAATTAGAGTTGGGGGTGGGCACGGTGGCTCATGCCTGTAATCCCAGCACTTTGGGAGGCTGAGCCAGGCAAATCACCTGAGGTCAGGAGTTCAAGACCAGCCTGGCCAACATGGTGAAACCCTGTCTTTACTAAAACTACAAAAATTAGCCCGGCAAGGTGGCACACACCTGTGGTCCCAGCTACTCGGGAGGCAGAGGTTGCAGTGAGCTGAGATGGTACCACTGCACTCCAGCCCGAGCAACAGAGCAAGACTCCATCCCCCTCCCCCGTCCAAAAAAAATAATAGAATTGGTACAGATTTAGCAGTTATCAGGGAGTGGCCTGTGGAGGTGGGAACTGGGGGATGCTTTGAGGTCTTTTATTTTGTTTCCTTTCTTTTCTTCTTCTTTTTTTTCTTTTTTTTTTTTTGCAATTCAGTATCCTCAATGATAGGGGTAGGCTGCTTTGGCATAGTAGATTCAAGGCTTGCCTAGAAGGTGGAGGCCGGGGTGGCACCCCTTACTGTTGGATGATCTGTGTGCCATCTCACCTCCTCTCTGTGCCCACCTCAAGCCAGGGAGAGGAGAGAAGGACAACAGTGGATGTCTTCCCATGAAATGTTCTGTCCTGCCTGACTGGACTGATCTCAGAGGCAGCCCTGCACCGTGTCAACCACAGATAAACAAGCCAATCAAAAGGGAAAGCAGGCATGTCTGGCTTGGGTTAAGTCAGAAAGTGGCAGGAGTTAGTCCGGGGTGCCAGTATGTCCCTGAGTTCTTTGTCTTCAGGCAGTGAGCAGTGGCAGCCCAAAGGCCACTACGGGGACCTTGTCGCAATCAATGGATCCAGACAGCCCTCGCTCCACCCTAGCCTCTGAGGATGCCTGTCTGCACCTGGAGCTTCTTTCCTGAAATGGAATTTGCTGAGCAGCAAACTTAAGGTCAATGGGTTCTATCTGCAATCAGCACCCACATTACTCTTCTATTCCATTTCCCTCCTTTCATTCCCCTCCAGTCTGATCCCAGACTCCCTGTCCGAGCCTCTTGGCCTAGAGATCTGAGCAAGTGACTTGTTTAAACTAAGGTGTGAATGATTACCTATATAAAAATGATGTGCCTAAAGAAAGAAATGTATGTTTAACCCGAAAAAATGAATTGCTGGCCAGGCACGGTGGCTTATGCCTGTAATCCCAACACTTCGGGAGGCTGAGGTGGGCAGATCACTTGATATCAGGAGTTTGAGACCACCCTGGCCAACATGGCAAAACCCCGTCTCTACTAAAACACAAAAAGTAGCCAGGTGTGATGGCGTGTGCCTGTAATCCCAGCTACTCGGGAGGCTGAGGCACAAGAATTGCTAGGAGGCAGAGGTTGCAGTGAACTGAGATCACGTCACTGCACTCCAGCCTGGGTGACAGAGAGAGACTGTCTCAAAAAAAAAAAAAAGAAAAGAAAGAGAGAAAGAGGAAGAGAGAGAGAAAAAATAAATGAATTGCTAATTGTAGTGGAATTTTAGGCATGAAGAGAAGGGGGCTAAAACCTCTCAAGTCACTACCACAAAGCAGGATGAAGGTATTGATCGGCAGAGGAAGAGGAGATGGTTTTCCATAAGCACAACTAGTGGTCCACACCATGACCACAGCACCCAGGGAAGAAGACAGCCCCAGCCATGCAGAAGCACATGCCACAGATATGAGCATGCTGGGTGGGGCAGGATCGTGCTACCTAGTCGGCGGATGGAGTTCCTGGTCTCCTTGGCGAAGCTGGAGTTGGACAAGCTGGTTCTCCGGGAGGTGAGGACAGGGATGCGGGTGACTGGGACACGGTAGCTGGGCACATTAGGGAGATGCTCTACCAGGTTTTGGAGTGCAGAGGCAGGGGCCACCTGGCCAGGTAGCTGGTCCTGGACTAGGCGATTCAGCTCCATGTTCTGGCCTGGTGTAGCCATGGTGCTGGGGCCAGAGGGTCTCAGGCAGAGGTGCGACCCTGGGGACTGCAATTAGGAGCACAGAGTTGAGGGAGATGATATGTGGGGGTCCTCCCACCAGCCTAACACGACCAGCCTGGTGCCTACCTGCATTTTCAGCAGTGCTACCCAAAGCCAGAAGCATGACTCTTGTCCCTGGAGTTCAATGTCTAATGTGTCATCAGGTCCTATGGCTGGCCACCCAAGAGCACCAAGGGACAGCCCAGGAGGCCCCCAACTTCTCATGCCCCCTCCACTTACCAACCACCAGCAGCATTTCCCAAAAATATTAGAATCAAAGAACCCAGAACTCACAGACTCTCAGATTCCTAGACCCAAAGAACCCAGGACTCAAACATTCTTAGCCTGGTAGAATTTTCCAGTCCAAAACAGCCCTGGAGGTCAATTAATTTCACTTCCAACCAGAAGCAGTAACTCTTCCTATGGCCCTGGTTCCCCAGCTGGGCTATGCATTGGAATCACCTGGGAAGGTTTGACGATTTCTGTTACCCAGGCCCATTCCCAGAGATTCTGATTTAATGACTGGGATGAGGCCTGGCAGCAGGAATTGTTAAATCTCCCCAGGTGATTCCAATGGGCTGTCAGGTTTGAGAACCAGGGCTCAAGGCTATTGCCCCTCAAACACACATGTGCAGACAAATCACCAGATCTTATTCCCACGAGGAGTCTGATTCAGTAGGTCTGGACTGGGACCCAAGTTTCTCATTTCTAACCAGCACCCGGGTTACGCCAAAGCTGCTGGGTCTAGGTCCATACTTTTTTTTTTTTTTTTCCTTGAGATGGAGTCTCGCTCTGTCACACAGGCTGGAGTGCAGTGGCGCGATCTGGGCTCACTGCAAGCTCCGCCTCTTGGGTTCACACCATTCTCCTGCCTCAGCCTCCCAAGTAGCTGGCACTACAGGTGCCCACCAGCACACCCAGCTAATGTTTTCTGTATTTAGCAGAGATGGGGTTTCACCATGTTAGCCAGGATGGTCTCGATCTCCAGACTTTGTGATCCGCCCACCTCGGCCTCCCAAAGTGCTGGGACTACAGGTGTGAGCCACTGCGCCTGGCCAGGCCCATACTTTTCAGTGCAAATGGCTATGCCTCAGCGTTTCTCAGATGTGGGTCCCAGACCACCTGCTTCCAAATCACCTGGGGAAGGGGCAGAACCAGCCCCACCGAACCAAGCCTGCATCTGTTTGCTCCTGGTCTTTTTCATCCGTGTGGGGACCCAGCCCTAGGCCTGGACTTAGTAGGAATTCCTATAGATATGTGTTGAAGTTAACAAAGAACCCTTTTCAAAGACCAAGTAGGGAGCAAGCTCAGGACACCCAGGGTTAGGACACCCAGGGTTAGGACACCTGGGTCCAGTCCCATTTCAACCGCTCGCTGGCCGAGACACATCCTCGTCCCAATATTGACTCCTCCCTCAGTGCCAGCCACAGTTTGGGATGCCTTTGACACATTGTCTCCCCTACTCTGCCCAGCAACCTGTGACCTAGGTACTATTATTGCTCCATTTTTCTTGATTTGGAAGTCATGGTTCAGAGAGGTCACAGAACTGGCTCTGGGTCACACAGCAAGGAAGAGAGAGAGGAGCCAGGAGTGAAATGTAGGTCTGTGCCTTGACCTCTTGGCCAAATCCGCACACACAGAACCTCAGCTTTCTCATCTGTAAAATGGCCTGTCTGCCTCACAGAGCAGCTGAAGACCCACGGCGTGGGGAAGGTGGAGTGTAAGGCACGCAATACCCGCCGGCCTGGGGTTGGGGCCCGCCTGTCCCGGCTCCAGGGCCCAGCTGTTGCTGGACTCCTTGGGGCTTTTTCTCCGCCGTTGCTTGAGTTCTCAGGATTGAGGGCAGGGTGGTAAATCACAGCAAAATATATGTGCTGGGTACAGCTGGAGATCAGGAAAAGCTCAGAAAGAGACGTGGAGTCCAGGACACTCTGTTAGCAAGTTCTGGTTCCAGTTTTCACTCCATATGTGATGTCTGAGCCAAACCCTCACTGGGCAGTAGCCCAAGCGCTGCATCCTCATTGAGCAGAAATGGCAAGAGAGGCTGGCAGGAGGGACTGGCTGGGAGGGGCTGGTTAGGAGGGGCCTGCAGGAGGGGCTGGCAGAGAGAGGTTGGCAGGAAGGAGTTGGCTGGGATCGGGATTTCCCCGGCCCCACTGGGAGTCCTGGGCCTCAGTGCAATTCCTTAGAGCCTTTGAGATATATCAGTAGGCTCTGATAATGTGGCCCCAAGACACCAAGGATGGGATTTTCCTGAAGACAGGGTGGCTGAGGGGGCAATGGGGGGAAGGAGATGGAGGGAGAGGAGGAGGGGTTGACCCTGCACGGAGGCTGCCTCCAGCCTGAAAGGACCTCAGATATTCTTGTGCAAACCACCACCACCACCACCACACCTACCTCCTGAACTGGCAGCCTTGGCCTCAGCCTCAGGCTCCTCCTTGGTCTCCGCGTGGTCCTGGTGTTCCTTTTCAGTCTCCTCTTCAGCCTCCTCCTTGGCCTTCTCTTCAGCCTCCTTCTCGGCCTCCTCCCCAGCTTCCTCCCACAGCTTCTGCAAAGATAAAGTGGAAACAGGAACTGTAACCATCAGCCCCCAGCCCTAGTCTCAGCAGCTCCTGTTAGATCTGCCTTCAGGAGTCCACACGGGCCCAGTTCTGCTTCTTGCCCTGTCCAGCCAGTCAGGTCCTGCCAGCCCACCTTCTGGGCATCCCGGGAGTAGCCTACAACCTGTAGAGGGCAGTGCACCCAGGACCTACGGGTCCTAACAGCTGGACGTGTCACCTGTGATGAGGGACACTCTCTTGCAGCCTGGCACATGGGGGAACAAAGCATCCACAGCACCACACTTCACAGTGTGCGAGCCCTTTTGGGTCCTCCTACAGGGCCCAGGGAGGTGTCTGTAGCCCCCTCGCACACAGGTGGCCACTGGGACCCAGAGTGTGGAGGCGACTTGCCGCAAGCTAGACACCCACAGGAGGACTCGAGCCGGGTCCACCCGACTCCCAACCCACGGCCTAGGCCACTATCTGACCCCTGCCAAGAAGGGGTCTTGCAGGACCTGCCACCCTGCCCCCTCTGTCCTGTGGGCATCTTACCAGCCAAAACTCCCCCTGCAAGCAAAGTGGACAAGGTCCCCATCCTTCCACCGATGCCAAGCCAGGCCTCAGAGGTGCCGGTGCCTGGTGCTTCTCATACCTGGTCTGAAGCGCTCTGGGGCCAGGTCCTGTCTTCTTCGCTCTGGCCCACGCCCACCTGCGACGCCACACAGCTATCCAGCAGCACCCTGTGACCCGAGGTGGGGTGGGGGTAGGGGGCAGGAGAAAAGGACTGGGTTACGGGTATTAAAGGTTTCACCAGCCCTGCTGAGGACCACACTCTGCCAGGAGTGGAGGTCACAGAGATGCCCAAGAACAGGTCTCACCCTCAGGAACCTCCAGGGCAGTGTCCTGCTAACAATCTTCCCATCTGAGACGTGCACTCAGCAAGGCACTGTGAAGGACATGCCACAACTCTGCTAGGAAGGAGGGCTTCCTGGAAGAGGTGGCCTGTCACCTGAGCCTCCAGGATGATGATTTTACCACAGAGAATGGCGGGGAGGAAGAGGTTGTCCAGGAAACGGGAACAGCATGTGTGAGAAATGCATGGAAGACGGTTGGAGGAGCTGTCATCTGGGGTCTCCCAGTCTCCAGGCAGTCTTGATGATGGGTAGAGCATGACAAAAGTGAGGCCCAGAGAGGTGAAGTGACCTGGCGAAGTCACACAGGAAATTGTCCCAAACCACACAAATCTCAAACCCAAGCCCTGGTTCTTCTCATGCCATGAGATCAGAGCCACTGCAACTGCTGAAGATTTCATGGGTGCCGGGCCCAGGCAGCAGGCACATAGTGATAGGACCAGGGGTGAGGCTGCAGTGGGCAGGGAGGGCTGTGGCAAATTGGAGAACCCATGTCCATTTGAAGGCAGCAACCCCCACTCCACTGGAAAAGGGGGCCAGGTGGCCAGATCATTCACAGAGCCTGAAATATATGTTTCTAAGGTGAAGTTGTCTGATGTTTAGATGCTGATAATTCAAATTAATATATCTTTATTAATATGCTGTAGCCAAAAGAACCTGTCTCCTGGCTAAATTAGATGTCCGTGTGCAACCTCTGGGTTAAAATGATGACTCAGGACTAGGAACTAATGTGATTTTTGTAGTTAGGATTAGTTCCTGCTTCCTAACAGCCCCTCCCCACCCCTCAGACTCCTGTCATCCAGGGGTTCACAGAGGATGCTCTGGGTGTCTGCCACCCAGGAAACCTGAATGCATCATTCTCTACCCAGAGGGTCAAGTCTCAGCCCTCCCGAGCAAGGACGGTGGGGTAGGAAGGTGGGGACGGGATTGTTGCCTAGTCAGTCTGGAGCCAGCTGCTTGGCAGCAGAAATCAGTCGGTAATCACACTGCCACAGCGGCTCCTGGGCTGTGTGCCAGGCACTCTGCATGCAAAGTCTCCCCAGATCCTCCTCCAAATTACCCTGAGAAATCTATAAATGCGGTACACCACAGCAACAAAATCATATGATCATCTCAACAGATGCAGAAAAAGCAATTGACAAAATTCAGCATCGTTCCATGATCAAATCTTTCAACAAATTACGTATAGAAGGAATGGACTGCAATACAACAAAGGCCATGTATGACAGGCCCACAGCTGACATCATACTCAATGGTGAAAAGCTGAAAGCTTTTCCTTTAAGATCAAGAACAAGACAAGCATGCCTACTCCACCAGTTCTTTCTTTTTCTTTTTCTTTTTTTTTGTTTTGTTTTCTGTTTGTTTGTTTGTTTGTTTGTTTTTGAGACAGGGTCTTACTCTGTCATCAAGGCTGAAGTGCAGTGGCATGATCATGGCTCACTACAGCCTCAACCTCCCGGGCTCAAGTCATCCTCCTGCCTCAGTCTCCTGAGTAGCTGGGACTACAGGCATGCGCCACCACTCCTGGCTATTTTTGGTTTTGTCTTGTTTTGTTTTGGGTTTTTGGTATTTTTAGTAGAGACAGGGTCTTGCTACATTGCCCAGGCTGGTGTCAAACTCCTGGCCTCAAGTGATCCTCCCGCCTTGGTCTCCCAAAGTGCTGGGATTATAGATGTGACCCACCACACCTGACCCACTCTCACTTCTATTCAATGTAGTATAAGAGGTCCTGGCTAGTGCAATTAGGCAAGAAGAAGAAATTAAAGGCATCCAAATTGGAAGGGAAGAAATTAAATTGTTCCTCTTTGCAGATAACTTGATCTTATATATAAAAAAAACCCTAAAGATTCCACCACAAAAACTATTAGAACTGATAAACCAATTCAGTAAAGTTGCAGGACATAAAATCAACATAGAAAATTCAGTAGCATTTCAATATGCTAACAATGAACTATCTGAAAAAGAAATGAAACAACGCTATTTACAATAGCTATAAAGTAAAATAAAAAGCTTAGGAATAAATTTAATCAAGAAGGTGACAGAACCGTATGCTGAAAACTATAAAACATCAATGAAAGAAACTCAAGAAGATTGCTGGGTGTGGTGGCTCATGCCTGTAATCTCAGCATTTTGGGAGGCTGAGACAGGAGGATTGCTTGAGCTCAGGAGTTCGAGACCAACCTGAACAGCAAGGCAAAATCCTATCTCTATAAGATACAAAAACTAGCTGGGTGTGGTGGCATGTGCCTGTGGTCTAAGCTACTTGGAAAGCTGAGGTGGGAGGATTGCTTAAGCCTGGGAGGTGGAGGCTGCAATGAGCTGTGATTGCACCACTGTACTCCAGCCTGGGCAACACAGCAAGACCCTGTCTCAAAAAAAAAAACAAAAAACACAACAACAACAACAACAAAAAAAAAACCCTACCCACATTGATTGAACAATACTTAAACATAAAATCTGAAACTATAAAACCACTTGAAGAAAATATAGGGGAAAAGCTCTATGACATCGGTCTAAGCAGTGATTTTTAAAAATATGAACCCAAGAGCACAGGCAATGAAATCAAAAATATACAAAATGGGATTACATCAAACTAAAAAGCTTCTGCACAGCCAAGGAAACCATCAACAGACTGAAGAGACAACCTACAGAACAGGAGAAAATACTTGCGAACCATAAGTTGAATAAGGGGTTAATATCCAAAATATATAAGAAATTCAACTCAATTGTAAGAAAAAACTGATTTAAAAAAATGGGCAGAGAATCTGAATAGACATGTCTCGGTGTCTCAAAAGATGACATACAAATGGCCAACAGGTATATGAAAAGATGCTTAACATCATGAATCATCAGAGAAATGCAAATCAAAACCACAATGAAATATCAACTTCTCACCTGTTAGAATGGCAATTATCAAAAAGACAAGATAGGCCGGGTGCAGTGGCTCACACCTGTAATCCAAGCACTTTGGGAGGCTGAGGCGGGCAGATCATGAGGTCAGGAGTTCGAGACCAGCCTGGCCAACATAGTGAAACCCTGTCTCTACTAAAAATACAAAAATTATGCAGGCGTGGCAGCACGCTCCTGTAATCCCAGCTACTTGGGAGGCTGAGGCAGGAGAATTGCTTGAACCCAGGACGCGGAGGTTACAGTGAACTGAGATTGCGCCATTGTACTCCAGCTGGGGCAACACAGTGAGACTCTGTCCCCCGCCCCTGCCCAAAAAAAGACAAGCTAGCAAGTGTTGGTGAGGATGCAGTGGAAAGGGAACACTTATACGCTGTTGGTGGGATTGTAAATTAACACAAGCATTATAGAAAAGAATACGAAGTTCCTCAAAAAGTTAAAAATGGAACTACCATATGATTCAGCTGTTGGGTACAGATCCAAGGGAAATGAAAACAGTATGTTGAAGAGATGTCTGCACTCCTATCATTGCAGCATTAATTTTTTTTTTTTTTCAAGACAGAGTCTCGCTGTGTCGCCCAGGCTGCAGTGCAATGATGCGATCTCGGCTCACTGCAACCTCAGCCTCCGGGTTCAAGTGATTCTTCTGCCTCAGCCTCCCTAGTAGCTGGGAGTACAGGCCCATGCTACCACACCCGGCTAATTTTTGTATTTTTAGTAGAGTCAGGGTTTCACCATGTTGGCCAGGCTGGTCTCGAACTCCTGACCTCAAGTGATCCACCTGCCTCGGCCTCCCAAGTGTCTATCAACAGATGAGTGGATCAAGGAAATGTCCTATATATACACAAAAGAATTCAGCCTTTAAGATGAAGGAAACTTTGTCATTTGTGAACCTTGAGGACATTATGTTAAGTGAAATAAGCTAAACACAGAAAGACACATACCATATGATCTCACTTATATGTGTAGTGTAAAAAGGTTGAACCCACAGAAGGAGATAATAAAATGGTAGTTACCGGGGCTGTGGAGGGGTGAGGGTTGGAGAGATGTTGGTTAAAGGGTACAAAGGTTCTGCTAGATAGAAAGCATAAATGTGAGAGATCTATTATACAGCATGTGACTCTAGTTAATAGCAATGTATTGTATTTGTAAAAATTGCTAAGAGTAGATCTAAACTGTTCTCACCACAAAAAATGATGAACATATGAGGAAATCTGTATGTTAATTAGCTCGATTTAGCCATTCCACAATGTATACATATTTTAAAACAACAATTATACACAAAAATATATACAATTTTTGTCAATTGAAAAAATAATTAGGCTGGACACGGTGGCTCATGCCTGTGATCCCAGCACTTTGGGAGGCCGAGGCGGGCAGATCACTTGAGGTCAGGAGTTTGAGACCAGCCTGGCCAATATGGTGAAACCCGCCTCTATTAAAAATACAAAAATTAGCCAGGCGTGGTGGTGCATGCCTGTAATCCCAGCTACTCGGGAGACTGAGGTAGTAGAATCGTTTGAACCCAGGAGGCAGAGATTGCAGTGAGCCAGGATTGTGCCACTTGACTCCCTGGGCAACAGAGCGAGACTCTGTCTTTAAAAAAAAATAAGCAAGAAAAGAAAAAATAATTAACTTTTTAAAAGAGCCTAGGAAAAAAAAAAAAACAACAACCAAATCTCACATAACCCTGACAGATCGGAACTGTTACTGCTCACATGCAAGCTGAGAAAACAGAGGCTCAGAGAGTTTGGATGGCCGATCCACGGTCATACCGCCTGTGCAAGCTGGGCCTAGATAAGATACGGCATCCCTGACCCCAAGGCCACGTGCTTAATGCTCTGCTTCACTGCCCGCCTCTGAAGTATTTTGGAGACTGTGCCTTCTACACTAAGAAGTCAGCCTTGCACAAATGGGTTAAAGACAGGTCTCTGGCTGCAAGGGGGATGACTGGATGACTTTCCTGAAATAGATACAGGGTCTGTCTCGGCTCTCTGCCTACAGCACAAAGGCTCAGAAAATGAACTGCCCACAGGCCCAGCCAGAGGCTTCCTGGGGTCCTGCTTATTCCAGTATCAGACCAGAAGCCACTGTATGGCCTTGGGCAAGTCACCTCGAAGCCCTTGGGCTGCCTCTGTCTGCTCATCTGTCAAACGGGTAGGATTTGCCTGGCCTGTGCAGCCTGACTTATTTGAGTAAGATCAGAAGGGCCAATGAGAATCTCATAGAAAAGTCAAAAAAAGGACTGCCAGGTGTTGTTCTGGTGATTCTTCCGGATTTGTCATCACTAAACATTGGGAGCAGCTTTCCTTGTAATGCCAAGAATCCCAGCTCTACACTTCAGAGACAGGGCCCTGTCTCTGAACCTCAGTTCTCTCACCTGTGAAATGGGATGAGAGAATAATAGAATCTGCCATTCAGGCTGCCTTAGCCATGAGTCGCATGGAAAAAAATTGTAAGTCAAATGGAAGCCATTATTATTGTTCTTGTCATTATTATTACTAATGCCAGAGGAGGCAGCGATCTGCAGGGTTATGAAATCACCCACGTGGACTGAGGAACCTTTTGCACAAACATCTCCAGCTATGAAAACACCTAAACAGCCCAGTAGTGGCGCTGTCAGCATCACCAGGGGCTGTCTAGGGACGATATACCAAAGCCACATGGCCCCTGCTTGACAGGGTGCCCAGTGCCTGCCAAGGTCCCCTCTTGCACAGCCCAGAAGCAGCAAGCCATCAACTTCCAGAAAGTTCCCAAGTCCCAGGGATTTCCAAGCAGAGAAACAGACAGATTGGTTGAGGTGGGCTTCCTGGAGGCCGCCCCCCGCCCACACTTTCCAAGTTTAAGATCCAGGGAGCAGCAGTGGCAGCCAGCTCTCAAAAGCTTCCTGTCCACTCCTCCTCCCCTGTGCCATCCCGCAGGTCGTGCCCCAACATTACGGTCCTCACTGTCACCTTCAGCAGACTCTCCACCTGAAATCCCAGCCCCAAAAGCAGGAAGGAGGGAAGACTTAGGGAGGGGCAGCCACCTACTTGGGTCTCTCGGTCAGGGTCAGTCAGGATGCCCATGGTGCAGGGGTTCAGCTGAGGGCTGTGACGTTCATCCCAAGCCTGGGTGGGTGCATGCAAGTGGGAGCCCAGCTCCTGAGCCAGTGCGGCTCCAGTGGCAGAGGAGCCAGCAATCCTTCCTGCTTCTAATCAGATTGAGGAGATGTGCAGGGAACGGCAGAAGCATCCCCAGGGAGGCCAGGTGGAACCAAAAGGCCGTGGTTGCTAGGGAAAGCTGAGCTGTTGCCTGTAGAGACCGGGTCTCTAGGCGACCGGGTCTCATCTGCCCGTTACCGGGCCCTCATGTCATCAGTAACCTGTGTCTCTGCAAAGCTGGCCAAGAGCATCCTTCCCCAGCCAGTGACAGCCCAGTTTTGTTTGCCCTGGGCCTCACACCCTCTGACCCTGGCCCTGTGATCACCCACTCTGTCACTCCCTTGCCCCTCCCTGGGCCTGGAGCCCAAAAGTTTCCCGAGTTCAAAACTCTGGGTGAACATTTGTATGAAGACGTGCACGTCCGCAGCATCTCGGGTGACTCCGATGCATGTGCATGTGTGCAAGGCTGTCGCGTGCATGTGTGGAAGTGTGTACATGTGTGCCTGTGTGCACACACATGTATGAACATGTATGAGTGTGCTGCCTGTGCTTGTGCATATATGCAGGATGTGTGTGGGTATAAATGTATGCATGCCTGTACCTGTAAGTGTGTGCATAACCCAGCATATATGTCTGTGTCGGTGTGCTGGTGTATACGGGTATAGTGCAGATATGTGTGTGTGTGCCCATGTGTACTGCATTCTGAGAACATATGTATAGTTAGTGCTCGTGTGCACATGCATGTATGTGAGCATAGTTGATCACTGGCCTTCAAAGGGTGTCTCAGATCCAGAGCAGTGGCAAATACAGGGGTTTTCCAGCCTGGGTGTTAGGTGTGTAAGTTCAGCAAAGGAGCCACTTAGCTATGCACTCCACACAGAAGCATAGCTCCATAGAAGGCAGAGGGCAAAGAAGCTGCTCTAATGAAACCAGGCAGCAGCTAAGTTCTTCACCTTGCTGGGACTGCAGGGTGGCTCAGAAGGCAGAATTAGGACAAGTCAGGAAGGGATAGAAGCCACAGGAAAGCAGGCTTAGTTTTGGTGTAAGAAATAATTTCACAAGTCAGAGGGGAATATAGATGTAATGGACAGCCTTTGAGAGGTTGTGAGTTTCCCGTCACTGATGGTAAGCAAGTCGAGGCTGTGTGGCCTCCTGTCAAGGATGGAAAGAGTCTATGTGAACTGAGTAAGGATGGACTAAAAGCAGATGACACTGAACAGGCCTCCAGCTCTGAAATCCTGTTTAACTATTTCCTGACTAGAACAAAAAGAGGCCATCAGCGGGGACGAGAACAACATTGGCCACCGATGGGGCACTTACTCCAGGCCTGGTCCTACCACTTCCATCATCACCACTGGCCCTGATGACCCCCTGCAGGAGGCTTGTATTATCCCCCATTTTACAGATGTGGAGACAGAAGCTCTGAGCGGGTACACCACTGGCCCTGGTCATTTCACTAACAGAAGCAAAGTGGTATTGGTGTTTCGGATGCCAAAGCCTGTGCTCCTAACACTCACAGTGCTATCATGTCTCAGGCCGTGGCCAGAGAGACAGGTCAGGGAGAAAGGATGCGGGTCATGAGGTACCTACGGTGGGCAGAGAGACAGGGACATAATGCCAGGGGACTGGAGCAAGGACAGAGTAACTTACTATCACCTGGCCCACCATAACAGTCTCCTCATCGTTCTCCCTGCCTCAATCTTTCTCCAACACAGCTGCCGGATCATGCTAGTCTCCTGCTTATGAACCTTCAATGGCTCCCTATTGCCTTTGGAAAAACTAGTTCAAGGCTTTTCAACCTGCTTTTGAGGCAGTTCTTCTTTCTTCTTCTTTCTTCTTCTTCTTTTTTTTTTCTTTTTTTTTTTCTTTTTTTTTAGTAGAGATGGGGTTTTGCTACATTGGCTAGGCTGGTCTTGAACTCCTGGGTTCAAGTGATCCACCCGCCTCGGCCTCCCAGAGTGCTGGGATTACAGGTGTGAGCCACCATGACTGGCCGACCTTCTTGAAACACTAACTTGGCTTCTAGGCCCCACACTCTTCTTGTCTCTTCCCTGCTCACGGGTGCCTCCTCCTCAGTCCTTTTTGGTTCCTCATCTCCCCAACCTCTGGTCTTGTCCATGAGCCTCTCCTCTATCCACACTTGCTCCCTGGGCATTTCCTTGAACCCCATAGCTTTCAATGCCACTCACATGCCCAGAATCCCAATGTCACATCTCCAGCCCCACCTCTCCCGCTCCTAACTCCAGGCACAGGTGTCCAACTGCCTGCTCTTCCCCATGGGTATCCCCCTGTCCAGCCATTCTTCCACTCACCCTCCATAGTGTTTCCTGATCTCCAGTGTTTAACTTTTATTTTAACTGAGCTCTTCTGTGTGTTTAGCGTTGAAATCTATGGATGTGGGTGGACGATCGACCATTACTGGGCAGTAGAGTAGAACCCAGGACAGCCCTAGAAGGCATCAAAGGCAACCAAGGCGGGTGGATATGGAGGGGAGGCAGACTTGGCTTTGTGAATAATGGAAGAACTGGGAGTCCACTGCATATGCCCTTGCAGTCAACTAACATTTATTTGGTGCCCACTGTGTACCAGGCACCGTTCTAGGCTCTAGGGACATGGCAATGAAAGCAACAGATAAAAGTCCCAGCCCTCTTGGAGGCTGCATTCTAGTGTGTGTGGAGAGGGATGTGGAGTGGTGGGTAATATGATTCCCAGGTCATGATAAGCACAGCAGGGGAACCCCAGCTTCTCCCAGCCTCTCTGGTCAAAGCCCAGCCTCACACAGCACAGAACAAGAGAAAGGAGCTCCCATGAGCAGCAAAGAGTGCCCAGACCCCAGGAGCTCAGCCAACCCCAGCCCCAGGACCATCCCCAGCCAGGTGAGCAAACGACTTACTCAGTCACCTCCTCCTCCTCTTCCTCCTCCTCCTCTTCCTCTTCCTCCTCCTCATCTTCTTTCTCCTCTTCAATCCTAGACAGCTCTCTAAGTTGGGGTTAGAGGCAGGAGATGAGTCCCCCCTGAAGCTGCCCCGCTGAGTCTACCTCTTGCCCCCATTTTCTGTAGGATGTCCCATGACTCCTGAGCCCAGACCTGGACTTTCCAGCCAAGGCTCAACCTGGGGAGCCCCACCTGAGCAACTCTGAACTCTCTCTGGCAACAAACCCTCTCCTCTGCATGAGAGGACCGTCCCAGCCACTGTCCTGGTGGTGACCCTAGGTCAGCCTCCGATCCTCTCTGGGCCTCAGTTTCCCCATCTTAGCTATGTAAGTTATGGACTTCAGAACCCGAGACCTCCCGCTGTCACCAAGCATCTCTAGTAGGAACAAAGATTGCGACATCCCTATGGAAAGCGACTTGGTGGTCATGACCACAAATCCACATTCTCACGACCAATGACCCACAATTCCCCTCTAGAAATCTCCTGCAGATGTATTCACACATGTGCAAAGACATGCATATAAGAGTGCCTGTTGCAGAATCGTTCATAATAACAAAAATTTGGAACCAACCTAAATGTCCATCAATAGTGAATAATAAATTATGGTACAGCCATATGATGGAATACTATGCAGCAGTGAAAAATGAAGATGCTCTCTATATCCTGAATGTGGAAAGACCTCAAGGTATGTCACTGAATAAATATAGCAAGGTGCAGATAGGTACGTGTGCTATGCTACCTTCTGTACAGAAAGAAAAAAGGAGGGAGATGTTAGCTTGCATATGCCCAGACTGTCTCTAGAGAGGCACATAAGAACCTGGTAGCCATTATACCCATGGGAGAAGGATGGCTGTATGAAGGCAGGGGGAAGCAGGTTTGGTTCCTGCTCTGTGCCTTTTTATACCTTTGGGATAAGGTACTGCATGTTTGGTACCTTCTCAAACAATAACTAATCTTTTAGGGTCTTCTCAGACTCCCCACCTCGGCATCTTTTCCACGGCTTTGTTCTCCTCTTCATAAGCTGGAACCAACTCTGTACCCTGCGAGCTGGCACTGACATCCTGGTGGGCATCCTCCCAGTGCGGTTCAACCTCTTCTAGGACGAGGTCAGGCTCCACCTGCCCTCCAGGAAGGATGCTGACTGCAGGGGACACAGGAAGAGCCATTTATGGGATGTGCAGGGGAGTGGGCTTGGGCCTCCGAGTCCCAGGGACCCCGCAGGGAGCCCTGGCTGTGGCCAGCAGTGCCTCAGTGCTTAGTCAGGCAGTGGGGAAATGGCACTTTCCATTTTCAGCGGGACCAGATTGGTGTTCCGGTGATGGGCTGGAGCCTGTGCTCATTCACTCTGTCTCCATCATCTTCCCCCCTTTTCCTCTTGAGACAGAGCTTTGATTATGGTTGAACCTGTTTCTCACTGGGGCCTCCTTCTTAAAGGTTTGTGCAGAGGCAGAAACAATGTTTCCAGTCACAGCATCACAGGGATGCTAAAAGGCCCAGGTTCAGGGTCCACCTGGCCACGTCCAGGTGCAGGTAGCCTGGATTGTCCTGAGGGATGCAGAGAGAGCTTCCTGCTCTGTAGATGTCACCCCCTGGTGACAGCAAGCCCATATGCTCAGCATTTGCTTCTGAGAGTCCTTCCCTCCCTCCTGGGTCTAGAGGCTCCACCCTCCAGGGAAACTCCACTTCCTCATGGGGGTGGTCCCGCCTTCAGATGGGAGTCTAATTTTCAACATTTCTTCATCTATCCTGGTCCTTGACAACGAAAACACCCTGGGCCTGTGAGCTTGGCAGATGCTCAAAGGGAGTGCAGAGCAGTCCATCAGGAACCTACGCCTATCCCCAGGCTGGTGTCAGCGACAAAGGACAACGCCTGGACGCCAGGTGTCCCCCAAAAGCTCCAGGGATCTTGGTGGCCCTCAGCTAAACATAAATTAGTAATAGTGACTTTTTTGTGGTTGAGACAGGGTCTTGCTCTGTCGCTCAGGCTGGAGTGCATGAGTGCAATTATGGCTCACTGCAGCCTCGACCTCCTGGGCTTTAGCATTCCTCCCACCTCAGCCTTCTGAGTAACTGGGACTACAGGCATGAACCACCATACCCGGGTAGTAGTAACGATGACTTTAAATGGAAGCTGGCCTCAAGTCTTATCCTGAGACTTTGGCTGTTATTGTTCATAATGTTGCATAACAACAATAATAGTAAGAGCAGCTGCATTTTTGAGCACTTCCTATGTGCCAGGACCTGTGCTGAGTGGTTTACGTGGAATAACTCGATTAGTCCTCACATCAACATTTCGAGATTATAATTAGCATCCCCATTTAATTTTCCCTCGTTTATATTTTTCTCCCCATTTTACAGATGAGCAAACTGAGACAGAGATAAACACCTTATTTTATGGGGTGCTTCCTATTGCCAGGCATGTAGCTCCCCACTTCTAGGTACAGATATTAGCCCTATCTCACAGATGAGGTGCTGCCTGCCCTCTAGGGAAGCCCCAAGCGCATCCCGAACTAGCTGTTTCCAGGTTGCTTCCGGCTCCTCTGGCCCTGCAAATGCCACTGGGGTTTGGTCAGGGAGGCTCCTCCAAGTGTGACCCTGAATCCGGTGGTGGGACGCGTTGTCCAGGTTAGTCTATGCTGCTGTCCAGTAATGGTGCAGTGTCTCCACTCTAAGCAGCCCCTTGGGGTGCCAGTTCCTGCCTGGGCATAGCGGGGAACATGCAGGGAACAGAACATCTTGCCTGACAGCACGTGAGCTTTCACAGCAGCCCCAAAGGGCAGGAACGGCACTTTCCCCCTTTTAAAGAGAGCCAGCTCAGAGAGGCTGAGTGTCTTGTCCCAGGCTACACAGGAAGGTGGAGGCAGAGCCAGGTGCCCTGACTCCCGTTTTCCCAGTACACTATCCCAGGTGACAAATGTGTCCCATGAGCGCCTCATGGCATCAGCGGCCACTCCTTAAGGGGTGCCGTCCTTAAGAATTGATGCCGTCCTTGCTTCCACACTGCCTTTCCTTTCCATTAACCTTTTCTTTTTAGGTCCTATTTAGTGCATGGGTGTTTTATAAGCATTTCTTTTTTTTTTTTTTTTTTTTTTTTTTTGAGACAGAGTCTCACTGTGACACCCAGGCTTGAGCGCAGTGGTGCGATCTCGGCTCACTGCAACCTCCACCTCCCATTCAAGCGATTCTCATGCCTCAGCCTCCTGAGTAGCTGGGATTACGGGCTCTTGTAACCACATCTGGCTAATTTTTGTATTTTTAGTAGAGACAGGGTTTCACCATATTGGCCAGACTGGTCTCGAACTCCTGACCTCAGGTGATCCACCCACGTTGACCTCCCAAAGTGCTGGGATTACAGGCAAGAGCCACTGTGCTCGGCCTCATTTCCTCCTCTCATCTCTGCAGCAGGCCTGCAAGACATGTCCTATACTGTTCCCATTTTACAGCTAAAGATTCTGCAGCTCTGAGAGGAGGACAGTACCCAAGATTACCAATCTGGAAGGGGAGGGATGGGGTATGCTACTACACAGCCCCCAGGGCAGGCCCCCAGAAGGCCTGGTGCAGGAGCTCCTGGCCCACCCCTGGAACTCTGACCACCCCTCTCTACAGGTGTCTGAGTCATAGCTCGCCCAGCTTCTCTGCAGCCCTACCGAGGTGTTCAGGAGCTATGAGTGCAACAGTTCCCATAGAAACTGCCACTCCACCCTGGCATGCCACCTCTTGGTCAGTGGCCTCTCTGCCCTCAGGGCCGTCAAATGAGGTTCTGACCCTGGCCAGTGAAAGTCAACAGTCTTGGTCGGACGCAGTGGCTCACGCCTGTAATCCCAGCACTTTGGGAGGCTGAGACGGGCAGATCATGAGGTCGAGAGATCAAGACCATCCTGGCCAACACGGTGAAACCCCTTCTCTACTAAAAATGCAAAAATTAGCCGGGCGTCGTGGCTTGCGCCTGTAGTCCTAGCTACTCGGGAGGCTGAGGCAGGAGCATTGCTTGAACCCGGGAGGTGGAGGTTTCAGTGAGCCGAGATCGCACCACTGCACTCCAGCCTGGTGACAGAGCAAGACTCCATCTCAAAAAAAAAAAGAACGAAAGTCAACAGCTTCATGTGGGAAGGAGCGCCTGCTTCCAGGATCAGCAGGCAGGAACCTGGTCACATGAATTCTAGGCTAAGGCACCCACCTGGACCCCTGGGTCTCTGTCAAAGCCTGAGCCCTAACTCCAAACCTCCACCCTTTCTGGCAGGCCTGGGTCATGATACCTCCTTCCTCTGCCTCTCCCTGGCCCAGGCTCACATCTCCTCCCACCTGGCCCCAAAGCACTAACCTCTCACTGGGTGTTTCTCAAAGTATGGTCCCAGCCTCTCCCCGTCATCAGAATCATCTGAGAAAGCAGGTGCTTCTCAATAAAGCAGATTCTTCCATAAAGATTACTTGGTCATGAAAGAGGAGAGGAGAGGGGAGGGGAGGGAAGGGGACGGGAGGAGAGGAAAGAGGAGGGGAGGAGAGGAGAAGGGAGGGGAGGAGAAAAGAAGGGAGGGGAGGGGAGGGGAGGGAAAAAAACAGAACCAGATTCCCAGTTCCCAGTACTCTTTAATCACAAAGTCTGGGGTAAGACGTTCTTCATAGTTGGCCCCAGGTGCCTTGGAAGGGTCCCTGCTTTGATTGCTTTCCCTGTCTTCAAAGCTTGTTCAGCCTCAGAGTAACCTTTCTGAAGTTACTCCCCTGCTCAATCACCTTCAATGGCTCCCCATTGCCTACAGCCTAGTCTCCTAGAGTCAGGCTCCAACTTCTCTAGTTTTATCTTCTGCATTAAGGATGCTGGGCTCCACATTAGCTGAAGTCCCACTACTCTCCTGTATACCACACTTTATTTCCTCTACTGGGATTGCCCCACCTCATCACCAGTTTGAGACCTCAGGGATCTCGAATCCAAAGACCTGCCCAGCCAGTGTGGTGATGTATACAAATGAAGGGGCAGGTGCCACCTGCCTTCAGGTGCCAGCAGCTGCCCAGACTGTCCTCACAAGCACCGTGTGGGCCCATTACAGCCAGGTCTACCCAGTTTTCGAGAGAAGCCGGATTTTTTCATGTAAAGCTACCTGATTTTTAAATGTTGGCAATCAATTCTAATTTTTAAAATCACTCCATGGCCCAAACAGACACGTGTGGGCCAGCTGGGAGCCAGGACCCCCGGGTCAGGACCCCTGGCTAATTCCTCCCCTCCTGCAACTCAATACCCCAAGCCCAGGGCTATTCAGTCCACCCACTTTTAAAATCTAAACCCTTCTTTTAGCTTTATCCTAAGCAATAATATCATGCAATCACAGGTTTGATGTGCTCATTTACGCTCTTTTAATGTTAATGAAAACGTTTGTTGCTGCTCACTGGCGTCCCCAAGCCTTGGAAGGAGAGAGTGTGGCCAGGCCTAGGGAGAACCTCTTCTGGAAAAAACTGTATCTTGTCGAGGTGCTGACTGTGCCAGGTACCACACTGGGAGCTGTGCACGCATCCTCTTAAAGAGATGCTCAATACTGAGTCATCCATCCATGGGGCTTTCTAATTTATTAATTAAAAAAAGGTTTTTTAGAGACAGGGTCTCAGTGTGTTGCCCACGGTGGTCTCGAACTTCCGGGCTCAAGCAATCCTCCTGCCTCAGCCTCCCAAAGTGCTGGGATTACAGGCGTGAGCCACCACGCCCGGCTATGGGGCTTTTCCACAGCCCTCTGGGGGTAAGTCCTGCTGTCTAGCCTAAATCTTGCAGGCTGCGCATGGCTGGCCTTCCCCTTGTTCTGGTCTGGGAGGCTCTGGGGCTGGTGCAGGTGACGCTGGCTCCCCTTGTCCTGCCTGGGAGTGTGTGGACAGGGAGGGGTTCGCTGTTCAAATAGGGTGGGGTGTCAGTGGCCACCTCCCCCCGGAAGGTCTTCTCTTCAGGGCATCCTTCTTTCCTTCCATCCGTGTGTCCATCTGAGCTCTCCCAGATTCCCTTCTCCCTTATTTCAGAGACCTCCAGCTCCCATCACCCCTGAAACAAAGGAGAAGACAGGGTGGGTGGCTGGGTGGACAGGCGGAAGGAATGAGTGAGTGAGTGAGTGAGTGAGTGAGTGAGTGAGTGAATGAGTGAATGAATGGGGAGGGTAGGGGACAGATAACCCCCAGCCCCTCAGAGTCTCCCCATGACATGGGACGTGAGTGGAATAGTGTCTCCCAAAAAGATAATTCCGAGTCCTAACCCCATTACCTGTGAATGTGACCTTATTTGGAAATAGCTTCTTTGCAGGTGTGATTAAGTTAAGGATCTCAAAGTGAGATCATCCCGGATTTAGGGTGGGCCCTAAATCCAATGACTGATGTCCTTTTAAAAGAACGGAGAGGGAGGCTTGACACACACAGACACAGAGGTAAAGGCTGTGTAGAGACGGAGGCAGGGACTGGAGGACAGCCAGAAGCCAAGGTTCGCCAAGGACCACGAGTGGCCAGCAGGAGCAAGGAGAGCGGCACGGGCATGTCTCGCTCAGAGTCCCAGGAGGAGCCGACCCTGCCAAAGCCTTGACCCTGGACTTCTGGCTCCTGCACTGTGGGAGAATCAGTGTCTGTTGTTCTAAGCTGCCCAGTGTGTGCACATCTGTTATGGCAGCCCTAGAAAAGGAAACCAAGCCAGCTCCCCACCCTGTCCCCATGAGCCTGCCCACATGGCCACCCAGCATCCACCCATAACCCACATGCTCCAGACATTGCAGGGAGGCCCTGGCCACAGCTGGCGGAGAATCCCGCCTCCTTCCAGAGGGGAAGAGAAGAGGGTTCTGGTTCCTCAGATGCAGACCCTCTGGAGGCTCTCTGCCCCCAAGGAAATGTTTTTAGTTCCTTTAAGCGGAGGCTGCCAGGCCAGGTGGACTCGATTTGCTCTGTGACCTTGGGCAGGTGCTTTTGGTTCTCTGAGCTCTGCCCCCTGCGTGCCCCAACAGCCATGAGGGTCTCTGCTCTGTTGCCCCAGGTTGGCCACGAGCTTTCATGAAAGACTGCGTATGCCCTGCTTTGAGACAGGCCAGCTCTCCTCATGTCATCGCCATGATTACCATCAACCCTAACGCCCCCCATGCCTCTCCATCAGACCTGAGCTCCACAGTGCACTGGCCAGTGTGTGCTCCAGGCCACAGCGGCCACCCCCAGCTTCAGGGCACTCATGGAGACCACCATCGGCATAGTGGGGCTGGGGCTGGACACAGCCTTGCAGACACAGGGCAGAACTCAGAGCCCTGGGACACCCTGAGGCCTGTGGTTGAAGGGCTTGTGTCCAGGATGGAACAGGGGACACCACCACCCACAGCCCCTGAGCTCTGCTCACAACTAGAACCCATCACAGGCCTGGCACATAGTAGGCTATCCTTAACTATGTACTGAATGAATGAATGGATGGATGGATGGATGAATGCCTGTTCACCGCATGCCTCTCTGGAGGCCATGAAGTGAAGAAAGAACAGATCCTGCCTCCAGCCCCTTCCTGGTCTCAGTCCTCTGTCCCCGATTCCTGGCTCGGGACTGGTCTCAGTCCTCTGTCCCCGATTCCTGGCTCGGGACTGGTCTCAGTCCTCTGTCCCCGATTCCTGGCTCAGGGCTGGGATAAAGGGCATCACATGCCTCCCCAACCCAGCCGCAGGTGACAGGGACCCCTCCAGCTCAAGGGAGCTGGAGGCTGTGGGGCCTGATTCCTCCAGTGAGACCCCCACCCCTCTCCATTCAGCTTGGCCAAACCCATTTGCCCAGCTGCCAGGGGATGGGAGCTCTCTGGGCATTACCAGCAGGAAGGAGAGCTCATCTGACTTAGCCCTGGGACTGTTTGCTCCGGAGAGAAGCTGGACATCAGGCTCCCGGGGCCTCCAGCCACCATCTGGCTCTGGGCCAGGCTCTGGCTACCTGGCCAGGCTGAACAGAGGTAGGGCCTGCAGAGCACAGGGCTCTCTCAGCTCCAGCTCAGGAGACCCTAACTGCCCCCTGTGTGAGTCCAGGTCTGGCCAGGGACAGCCCCCTTGCCCACATACAGTCAGACCCAAGGACACCAAGCAACCCTTCCTAATATGCACATGGGGACCCAGTAATGTGTCACTTACTGGTCTGCACATCACATATCCCAGGGGAGTCAGGCTCCTGCATGGAGAGAGAAAAAAGGGAAAATCCTGCCATGGCCTCTTCACCAGCCTCCCCGTTTCGGCCACCCCTTCCAGCACATGACCTTGACCCACGTCTCCAGGCCTTAGTTGTCCCACGGGATGGAGAAGACAGTCCCTCTGTGCCCAGGGCCAGTGAAGGATTTGAGGTGGGGGGAGGGGGCTTTGAGAGCTCGAGCCTTGGCTCAAGTGAATCAAGGTGAGGGCGACCCCAGACAGCCACAGCAGCGGGCACCTGCTCAGAAGAGCCAGGCCGAGCCCTTCAGTGACACAAAGACCCAGGACCTGGCCAGGCCTTCCTGTCTCTGGGGCCTAGACAGCTTTGTTTACAGAACCGTTTACCTCCATTCTCACAGCCCTGGGTATGAAAATGCAGGTAAAGGGTTCTGTAAACAACTGACCATTGGTCAGCTGGGACAACTGAGGTTCTGAGAGGGGCCAGGGCTGAGGCCACACAGCCAGGAGAGAGATTAAGCTTCCCACTTCCCAGTTCCAGGTGCTTCTATAAAGACGTTCAATTGCACCCAAGAAAAAAGGGCCAGGTTCCTGGTTCATGAGGAAGGAGAGGAACGGGTGACGGGGTGCATGAGTGCTCTCCCTGGCCACTCATGTTGGAGCCCTAGGCTATCAGGAGTGCACATAGGGCCTGCCGGCTCCTGTGAGCCTTACTTCTTCCCAGAATCTGTGTATCTCCGGACCTTTGCAAATGCTTGGAGGCCACCTCCACTGGGAAGCCTTCCTTGATGCTCCCAGGAGGCTCCATTTCTGTGCCCCATGTCCTCTCTGCTCCCCCATGGAAGGACCTCCCCCACTGACTGTGAACCCCTGGCAGGAGGGGCTGGGCCACCACGTCTCAGGCCTGTGGCCACTGTGCCTCAGAGCGGGTGGAATGAGCGTGGGCCATGCAGACAGGAAGGCTGGGGGAGCTGGGCTCCTACCCAGGGTCCCTTCTTCCTGCTGTGCCTTCACACCCCAGGGACACAGGCCAACCATCCTGCTCCTTACCCGAGTTCCCAAGACCCCTCCTACCACCACCAAGGCCCCCACTTCATGCGCCCAGCACTGACCTGTTCCCCTATCTTCCCATGTAGCACTGGCTGCGGCAAAGCCATCTCCAGCCTGTGCAGGACCCACGCCACCAGCCTGCGGGTGGAAGAGAGTGTGCTGTGTCCAGGTGGGAAGGGTCGTGGGGAAACTGAGGCCAAAGTCAACTCATTCACAAGGCAGAAAACAAGCCTGCCAAAAGGCAGAGCCTGCCAGGAGCCAGAGCCCAGGTTTCCAGCCTGAAAACCATTTCCCCCACCCTCCACCCTCCCTAAGTGAGCTTCTGGCTACTGTTCAGGCCCTAGCAGGTAGCTCAGGCTCCCCCAACCCTCCCACCCATCCCCAGAAGGGAGTGCATTTTGGGCATCTCACACATGGAAAGTGGCAACACCTGTCCTGATTTCCTTCCCTCCTTCCTTCCTTCCCTTCTCTTTTTCTTCCTTCTTTCTTTCTTGACTTGGTGGCCCAGGCTGGTGTGATCATAGCTCACTCCCATCTCAGCCTCCTGAGCAGCTGGGACTACAGGCACATGCCATCATGCCCGGCTGTTTTTTGTTTTTGTTTTTGTTTTTGTTTTAATTTTTTTGTAGAGATGGAGTCTTGCTATGCTGCCCAGGCTGGTCTCAAACTCCTGCTCCCACAGCTTCCCAAAGTACTCAGATTACAGGCATGAGCCACTGCACCCAGCCTGTATCCCATTTTAAATACATGTATCCTCTGGCCCAGGAACTCCATTTCCACTGATTTATCCTCCAGATTTACTTGTGTGTGAACCCAGTGATGCATGCACGGGCTATTGATTGTGGCAAAACAGTGAAAACAAATGTAAATGTCCACTGAGTAGTTAAATAAAAACTGGTGCATCCATTTAATGCAGCTGTCAAAGAAAGAATGCAGTAAGACCTGTGTGGATAAAACAGCTTCTAAGACACATTTTTCAAGTTAAGAAAAAAAAAGAAGCAAGCCAGACGGGGTGGCTCATGCCTGTAATCTCAGCACTTTGGGAGGCCGAGGTGGTCAGACTGCTTGAGGTCCGGAGTTCTAGACCAGCCTGGCCAACACAGTGAAACCCCCATCTCTACTAAAAATACAAAAGTTAGCCGGGCGTGGTGGCCTGCACCTGTAATCCCAGCTACTCAGGAGGCTGAGGCAGGAGAATCGCTTGAACCTGGGAGGCAGAAGTTGCAGTGAGCCGAGATTGTGCCACTGCATTCCAGCCTGGGAGACAGAGCAAGACTCTGTCTCAAAAAAAAAAAGTAAAGTGCAGAAGAGTAGGTATAGTTTGCTCCTGTCAGGTGTGTGTTGAAGAAAAAATAAAAAATAAAAAAAACACGTACCCAACGCTTGAAAGCTTGGACATGCATAGAAACGTGGGAAAGGGCACGAAGCTGATGTGGCTGCCTTGGGAAGGGGTCTGCACACATCCAGTAGAATTTTCTTCCAGGTTTCCTGGAGGTTAGGTGTTGGGCAGGGACTAGGTACTCATCCTGCTCCCTGGTGGGAGGCGTAGCATTGAGGGTGGCTCACCTGGCAGTGTCCCTGGGTGGTGGCAGGGAGGAGGCCTGGGCCTGGGAGCTAGGCTGGGGCTCTGGAGCTGGCACCTCCTTGGGTTCCTCCTTGGGCTGCAGGGGGATGGCAGTGGGCAGGGGGGCGCTCTCCCGGGCCTGCAGCTTGGGCCCTGTTTCCTGGGGGCGTCCTGGAGGCACTAAACAGCGGGGAAAGCAGGAGCTAGAGACGCCGTCCCTTGAGGGCTTCCTCCAACCCCTCAAGGGCACAGGGGCCAGATTCAGGCACTAACAGGACTGAATGGGGAGCCCTTTGGGACCACTTCACCCATTCCTATCCTCAAACAGACCAGACAGACAAGGGAACTGAGGCCCAGGGAGGGGAAGGGACTTATCCAAGGCCCACACGTCTCTTCCAGGACTCTGGCTTCCCAGTCTGGACTGGGGAGGGGATTCTGGTGTCGCCTACAGCAGCCTGCTCCTGGCAAGCCCTGAACCCCATCCTAGTCTGGGTGGGGGCTAAGGGCCTCCAGGGGATTCTCCAGGGCCCAGTTGACCCCCGAGCCCAGCCCGTGACCATCCCAGGCAGCCCCCTCCTGAGCTCCCCTCCCTGTACCTGGGTCCGAGGCAGCACCTGTAGCAACTGCAGGCTCATCTCTCCAGACCTGGGTGACAAACAGGGCACAATGTCATGGGCCATAGCAAGCTCTGTGCACTTCCCCAACCCCCACTACCAGCTGTGCACTGGCCCAAGGCTGGTGAGTGGGGGGCTTGGGGGGTCTCTCCTTCTGAATCCCCGCCACCTCTCGCAGTCACTCCTCCCCATCAAGGACTCTCCAAGGGGGGCATCGCCCTCTCCTGAGTTCCAGGGGGGTGGGGACAGCCTGCTGGAGGAGGCAGGCCCTCCTGGGGCCCCAGAAACCCCCCCCATATACTCAACTCCCTGCCCCTCCCTTCCTTGGCTCACCTCGGAGGATCTGGGGGGCTGAGGAAGCACTCTCTCCAGATTCTGCTCCAGCCACAGGAGCAGCCGTGACCCGGGCCTGCAGAGGGGCCAGTGGTCAGCAGAGCGCCCTGAGGGAACAGGTCAGTGCACTACCTAACAGCCCACCACGGGGCCCGCCCCGGACCAGCCCTTCCATGGCCTCCACCACTGCTCTGCGTAGTGGCGGCCTTGTCCTGGAAACTCTCAAAGGGCCCCAAGGCGGTGGGGAAATCCTGCCAGACTCCAATTCTGAGCCAGGGCTGGACCAGGCTCTGGAACCACAGCCGTGGCTTCCTGAGGCATCAGAGGAGAGGCAAGAGCCGCTTGAGGACCTGAGTGCAGCCCTGGGGGCTCCCTGTGCTGGAACAGACAGGGCTGGCTGGCTGCACGGGAGTGTGACCTGTGCCATCACACAAGGCCTTAGACTTAGAAGGACCTGGTTTTGGTTTCATACTCTGCTGTCACAGTCTGAAAACATTTTTAAAAAAATTTTAAGGGGCCTGCATTTGCATTTGCCTGGGGCCCCGCAAATTAATTATGTGGCTGGTCCTAAGGTCAAGCATTGGATCCCAAATCCATCTGGCCTCTGGGAAGCCCCACTCTCTTCAGGGAGGCACCATGTTCCCAGGACAACCGGTTCCCCCAAGTATGGCCCAAAAGAAGGCTGGTGAGTCCTCTAGGTGCCCTCATCCTAAATTGCTTTCATGGTCTCAGGAATCAGCAGCGCACGTCTCAGAAGGAAGTAGGGGACCAAAAGACACAGAGAGCAAGCTGCAGCAAGGAATGAATGAATGAATGAATGAATGAAGTGTGTGATTATATACAAGTATGTTCATTCATGCATGCATTTGTCCTGTGTGTGCTGAGTCCTCACTCTGGTAGGTGCTGTGCCGGGCACCAAGGGTTCAGTAGTGACCAGGACAAAAGCCCCTGCCCTCAAGGAGCCAGCAGTCTAATGAATGAATGAGTGAAGGAATGAATGAATGGGGTGAATGGGGTGAATGGAGATGAATGCATGTCTCTGGATTTCCAGCAGAAATTACAAACTGGGAGCTTCAAGCTTACTTTGGAAGTCTACAGTGTCCTGAAAACTTCTTGATTAAAATTTGAGGGTTTTACATAAAAAGCTAGATTTCTAGCTTCTCTTGAAAACCGGGAGGACCTGGCCACACAGGGCCTAAACACCTGCAAGGAAGAGGCAGTTGAAACTGAGCAGGGCCCCTTCTCGGAGCTCCCTGGCTCCCCTCTTTGCCAGAGTCCCCCCGCCAGCCTGCCACCCTTACTGATGGGGCAGCCACCCCTCCCTGAGTCAGCTCTGAGAGGTCAGACACTGAGGCCAGCCTGGGCACCCTGATGTCCCCCACAGTGAGCCAAGCCCTGCTTCCAGGCTCCACACGGAGCCTACTTACATGAAGCCCACCTGTGAGGAGCTCATCCCTGCCCCTCCCCATTCTCAGAGGGTGGCCCCACCCAGGGGCCTCTCAGTCATCCCTGGGTGCACCCAGGGACCTTCTGCCACAAACTATGAGCAGCACACGGTCCACTGTCCCCATTCTATGGCTGGAAACAGGCATAGAGGAGACGGGAGGCACATCCAAGGTCATACCCTGAGGTGGTAACAGACCCTGCTCCTGAACCCAAGGCCCTGTTACTCCTACCACATACATACAGATGACAGTGACACTCAGGGACAGGGACTCACCTCATGTATTGGGCCTTGAGGGCCTCATTGGGTTCATCTGTGCACCCTGCAGGGTCAGAAAATACAGAAAGGCAGTCAGTAGCAGACCTGCCCCAGCCCCCTGGGCAGCCTGGAGTGGGCACCGAGAGCCCAACTCAATCCCAGGCTCGAACTCAGGGTCGATCAGATGAGAAGATCTGGCCTGGGCAGAGGCTCCCAAGGGGCAGGGCCCATCCCAGCAACCCCTCAGCCTCTCAGCCCTGCCGCTGAAAAGCTATCCTGCCGCTTGGTCTTACCTGTGTCCCCAGTGCTGCCGTGCCCCAGGATCTGCCAGGGACAGATAGATAGACATGGGCGGGGAGCCCAAGGGCAGCCTCCCCACAGCCCCTCTCCGACCCAGCCCCTTCAGCCTCCAGCCCCAGCAGTACCTGAGCCGGGTCCTCTGTGACGCTATGGACAGGCTGTGGGATCACCTTCTCCACGCCCTTCATGAGCCAGGTCAGCACCCTGCGGCTGGGACTGCGATGGACAGAGACACCAGCCTGCCGCCAACTTCCCCTAGCTCAATGAGGCCCTCGAGGCCCAAGACACTAGGTGAGTCCCCGTCCCTGAGTGTCACTGTCATCTGTATGTGTGTGGTGTGGTTATTGGAAAGTACCTACATGTACCACTGGCCCAAGGCAAGTCCAGTGTCCGAAAGAACTTGGCTTGAATCCTAAACCACTGTCTCCCCACTGGGAGATTCAGACCCATCTCCTCCCCAAGAAACTCCATGTGCTTCTCTGGAAAATGGGGGATGCTGCTGCTTCGTGAGGCCAGGCAGACCGGGTGCCATTCGGAGTCCACCCCCATGGATGCTTAGGACAGAGCAGCTGACTTTCCTCTCCTCCTGCCTCCCACTGTCCTGCTCTGAGCACACATCATGCTCCCAAAGGGCCAAGGTTTGCTGCCGGTGTAATGCTGTGGCAGAGGCTGAGCAGCCTAAATGTGAAGGTCACAGCCTCCCTGCCTGAGGCCAGCCCAGCCCCAGCCATGCTCAGGCCCCAAGCACCATGGTGTGAAATGTCTGAACCAACTGGGAGATTCCATGCAAAAGCCTGGATTTCTGGCTTCTCTGGGAAAAGCAGAAGTTCTGACCCCATTGGGCCTGCATCTCACCCGAGCACTGAGAAACATCCGGCCCCCTGTACAGGGGCGCTCACTAGGCAGCTCTGACCCACTGTTTCTTTTGGTCACATTGCCCTGCCCTCAAGGAGCCAGCAGTCTAATGAATGAATGAGTGAAGGAATGAATGAATGGGGTGAATGGAGATGAATGCATGACTCTGGATTTCCAGCAGAAATTACAAACTGGGAGCTTCAGGCTTACTGTGGGAGAGCCCACCATCCACCTGAAGCTCACTTCAGCCAATTCCCAGGATGTCCCAGGGCTTTCCCCAGAATGACAGCAGAGCTGAGGGCAGTACTCATCCACCCCCCATCCCTAGGGCTCCCTAGCTAGGAGGGGAGTCGGGGGCAGGTTGGCCCTGGAGAGAGGGGAGGGTGGTAAAGTACCTGTTCATTTCAGAACTCTCAGCACCCTGGGCCTGGAGAGATATGGCAGAAGTAAGGGCAGCCTCCTTGGTCTCTGGAAAAGAATCTCTCATCCTTCAGATCTAGGGCCTCAGAGAGGCCCATTTCTACCCTGCTTGGGGAGATCAAGTCAGGGAAGCAGAGAGAGCCCCCAAGGGGTCAGAAAGCCAGGCTCCAGCTCAGATCAACTGAAGTCTCCGGGAGCCCACCCTTAGCTTCTCTGAGCCTCAGTTTCCTTATCTGCGAAATGGGTCTGCCAACCTCGTGGGCTCTGCGAGGCTCCAGGGGGAGAATGCCGGCCCTCCTGCCCTGCCAGCCTGGGCTTCCGCACTCTCACTCACCCTGAGGACTTGGGTCCGCCACAGCCACTTCCTCCTCCTTGAGTGACTCTTCGGGGGGCTAGAGGGTTCGAACACGGCCAGGTAAGCCCTAGGTGAGACCAGCCTGGTTTGGACAGGGGCAGCCCCTGATTCTCCCTCAAGGGATCCCTGCCCCACAAAAGACCCGAACAGCTCTTTCCTCAGCATCGTCTCTGTAAATCCTGGTGGCCTTACCTTCCACCTGGGATACTCCCTTCCTCCTAGCCCCAGGGACCCCTCATCTGGGGCTGGGGGCCCTCACAGCCCCCAAGGTCCAAGGTGGCCTCCCAGCCTCCCAGGCCTAAAATATCCCCAGGAGGCTGCCCCACTTTAGTGGCCTGAGAAGGGAGAGGACCATTTAGAGATAGTTATGAAGTCTTGAGGCAGGCTGAGGGGAAGAGGGAGATGGGAGGAGTCCACGCCCCTCATCCCCCACCAGGGCGCTCCCTCTCCTTCTGGCCCAAACTTTCCATTCCTCCCTAGTAGCCAGCTGGAGTTTGGCCTCTGCTATCTGCCTTTCACCTGCCTCTGCAGCTACACCTCCTGCTACGACATGCACATATGTGTATGTACAAACAAACATACATGCACACACATACACACAAATGTGTGCATACTCACTCTCATTCACATACATACATGAACAGACATACAATATGAGCGTATGTACACATACATATGCATACATACAGTGACACACAAATATCAACATGCATATATACACACATGTGCAGACACAAAAATAAGTGCATGTGCACACATGTACAGGCAAAACCATATGTACATATACATGTGTATGTACATATGCATACATGCCCCAACACACATATATGTGCATACAGTCATATGCAAACGTGCATATACACACATGCATGCATACAGATACACACATGCATATGCCTGCCGGTGTAGAGACACACAACATGCACATATGCATAGGTACATTGCATATGATTACAAGTGCAGAAATATGTGTATACACACATATGCTCAGTCACACACTTGCATATTTGCAAATACACACAAGCATGTGCATATGGATATGCACATACACACAGATTTCTGCATCTAAACATACATGAACATCCATGCACAGACACAAAATGTGTATATATACACATGTGGAGACAACTATGTGTATATACACATACACATGACACAGTCACAGACACACAAACATGCATACACATAGAAATACATGAGTACACTAACATAGTCAGAAATATGTAGACACATACACATACACACTAGCATGTCACACAAACACATGGAACCACAGACATACTAATACATGTGCACATAAACATATGTGCAAACACATACACATGCATTCATGTACATATATGCTCACATACATTGTCATGCACACCCAATTTGCAAATACATATGTGCAGACACAGACATACCAAGAGCACACTACACATATATGACATATACGTGTATATACATGCAACATATACACATGCATACACACACGCTATACCTGTTTCCTAAACACACCCTGCCCTTCTCTAGTAACAGCCTTTCCTCTGCCAGGAATGCCCAGCATCACCATCTCCCTGGGTTAAAATTCTGCTCCATCCTCTGCGTCTAAAAAGCTCTCCCCCATCAGCCGCCAATCTCCAAAGTGAAGATGACTGTCCCTCTTCTGAGCTCCCACTGTTTGATCTGACACACTTTTCTGGCTCCCCAAGAAGGGGAGAGCTGAGGCCAATGTTGGGGCTCACCACATTCCCTCCTCCCCACCTGTGTCTCTTGGCAGAATGAACTGGCTGGGCTCTTGTCTGCTGACCCCCCGGGGCAAGGCCTATTCATCTTTATGCTTTCAGCAGTGACCACAGGGCCTGGCATCAATTAGAAGCTCAATCACATCTGTCGAATTGAGCTGCTGAATTAGTTGTCATCCACCTCCTGAATGGATGGGTTGCAGAGGAAAAGTTCTGGAGAAATACTCCACAGTGTGGCCTATGGATCCATGCCAGTCTGCAAATTGTTAATGGTCCATGATGATTAAGCAGTTTGCACCAGAATGTTTATCAATGCACTGCTTCCTTCATTGAGAAAGTCTTGGTACAAAATAAATAGCAACTAAACTAATCGGTGTACTTAGCTACAGAGTAGATTTACATTCTGGTACAAACTGCTTAACCATCATGGACTAGTAATAAACAGTTCATGGACTGGCTCCTGTGAGTAGCTCTGTTCTGAACTCCAGAGGTTAGCAAAATACGGCCTGTGGGCCAAATCTAGGCTATTGCTCGTTTTTATAAATAAAATTGTATTGGAACCCAGCTATGCTCATTCATTCATGCACTACCTATAACTGTTTTCACACTATAATCGCAGAATTGAGTAATTAACAGAGATAGCATCACCCACAAAGCCTAAAATATTTACTATCTAGCCTTTTACAGAAAATATTAGTCTTGGGCCAGCCCTATCCACTGTCTGAACCTGAGTTTTCTCATTTGAACAAGTGTGGGACCCTGTGACCCTCACTTTTCCTTCTGATGCTAACCTTTTCCACTGTAGAAGGTCCCTGGAGAGCAGGTGGCCCAAACTGGGAAGACCCTGAGCAGCAAGGCCGGCCTGCCCCTCCTCCCCCTCCACCTCTCACCATGGACTCGGACTCTGTCTCAGCCTCCTCAGGGTTTGGCTCTGGTTCCACCTCTGCCTCCAGCTCTGGCTCTGGTTCCACTTTCTCTTCCTCCTGCATCTTGGTCTTCCGAGGGGTTCCTGGGGGCTGAGGCAGCACCCTCTGGACCCAGCCCAACATCCTGACACCTGTAGGAGACAGTGTCCTTAGCCCTCCCTGGAGCACTCACAGTTGCTCCCGCCACTTATGGACCACTCTTGTGAGTTGTACATTTCCTTTTCCTTCATCAACTTTAAAAATATTTCGACTGTGTGCGGTGGCTCACACCTGTAATCCCAGCAATGTGGGAGGCTGAGGTGGACCGATTGCTTGAACCCAGGAGTTTGAGATCAGCCTGGGCAAGATAGCGAGACCCTCGTCTCTACAAAATATTTTTTAAATTAGCCAGGTGTAGTGGCTCACTCCTGTAGTCCCAGCTACTCAGGAGGCTGAGGTGAGAGGATCATTTGAGCCTAGGAGGTCGAGGCAGCAGTGAGTCATAATGCACCACTGTACTCCAGCCTGCGCAACAGAGTGAGACCCGTCTCAAAAAATATATAATATATATACACACATATATATTTGATATACATATACACAGATATATGTGTGCATATATATTTCTGCAATTTTATCTCTAGGTATTTACCTTATAGAATTACTCAAGGCCATAAATATATGTGTACAAAGAAGCTGGTTGTTATAGCAAAAATGAAAAACACCCAAATATTCATCAAGAGGCGATTGGTTATTGGAAAGTACTTACATGTACCTAAATGTTCATCTGTAAGAGAGGCATGTATTAAGTAAGTTACACTATATCCAATAATGGACTATTATGGGGGCATTAAAAAGAAAGAAGCAGTCTAACCGAGCTAGCAAGAAGATGTGCCTGCTCTGAAGTCAAGTCATGAGCAGATCACTTAATGTCTCTGTGCCTCAGTTTGCTTGTCGGTAAAATAGGGATATTAATAGTACCTACCTCATGGGTTAATTGTGAGGATAAAATGAATTGATAAGTGTAACATACTTAGGCCAAGCGCAGTGGCTCACGCCTATAATCCCAGCACTTTGGGAGGCCGAAGTGGGCGGATCACTTGTGGCCAGGAGTTCCAGACCAGCTTAGCCAACATGGGGAAGCCTCATGTCTACTAAAAATACAAAAATTAGTTGGGCATGATGGCGGGCACCTGTAATCCCAGCTACTCAGTAGGCGGAGGCACAAGAATCACTTGAACCCAGGAGGTGGAGGTTGCAGTGAGCCAAGATCGTGCCACTGCACTCCAGCCCGGGTGACAGAGTGAGATCCTGTCTCAATAATAATAATAATAATAAGTGGAACATACTCAGAACAGTGATTGGCACATGCCAAGGGCTTAATAAATGTTGGCTATGACTATTACATGGTATCAAATGAAAACATTAATTGTGTAATATGCATGTACTGCATAATTTCATAAGTAAAAATATTCATTATGAGTAATACATGAGTGGAAAATCTGTTTTAAGATAAAATTAACCTATGTTCATCATTTTTAAAATTTTTAAGGTAAAATGGGCTGGGTGCAGTGGCTTATGCCTGTGATCCCAGCACTTTGGCAGGCCAAGATGAGAGGATCACTTGAGCTCAGGAGCTCAAGACCACCGTGGGCAACATAGCAAGACCCTATCTCTATTTAAAAAAAAAAAAAAAAAATCTTGCTGTGGTGGTGTGCACCTGTAGTCCCAGCTACTCAGGAGGCTGAGGCAGGGGGTCGAGGCTTCAGTGACCATGCCACTGCACTTCTGCCTGGGTGACAAAGCAAGATCCTGTCTCAAAAAAAAAAAGAAAAAAAAAAGTGGGCCTGGCATGGTGGCTCACTCCTGTAATCCCAGAACTTTGGGAGGCCAAGGCAGGCAGATCACCTGAGGTCAGGAGTTTGAGACCAGCCTAGTCAACATGGTGAAACCCAATCTCCACGAAAAATACAAAAATTAGCTGGGTACAGTGGTGCGTGCCTGTAATCCCAGCTACTCCGGAGGCTGAGGCAGGAGAATCGCTTGAACCCGGGAGGTAGAGGTTGCAGTGAGCAGAGATTGCGCCACTGCACTCCAGCCTGGGTGACAGAGTGAGACTCCTCCAAAAAAAGAAAAAGGTTGGGCGTGGTGACACACACCTGTAATCCCAGCACTTTAGGAGACTGAGGCAGGCGGATGGCTTGAGCTCAGGAGTTCAAGACCAGCCTGGGCAACATGATGAAATCCTGTCTCTACCAAAAATACAAAAAGTTAGCCCAGCATGGTGGCACACGCCTGTAGTACCAGTTACTCATGAGGCTGAGGCACGAGAATCACTGGAGCCCAAAAACTGGAGGTTGCAGTCAGCCAAGATCTCGCCATTGCACTCCAGCCTGGCCGACAGAGTGAGACCCTGTCTCAAAAATAAAATAAAATGCTTATAGTGCTATATTTTAAAAAAAGAAAGAAAAAGATAAAACGCCAGGTAAGCCTTTTTTCATGGTTTACTGTGTTATTTCAGTCCTACCTTATACAGGTTGTTTCTGGTTGATTTCTCTTTGGGGAATGGGGAGCCCCAGCCCTTATGACTGAACCCCTGCAGGATGGCCTGGCCAGTGGGCAGTGTGCAGGTCAGTGTGTGCTAACTCCTAGCCCTAGATGTGCTCTTGTCCCACATGAGTGTGCCCCACCCCTCTCCCAGCCATGGGCAACCCAGGCTTTGGCAGAGTGTCTGTATGCCCCTTTCTGCCAGGGACCCTGGCCCCAGCTGAAGAGGGCAGCCCAGGCCAAGCCCAGCTCCCCAGAGCCCGCGGCTATGCTGCCTGCGCTCTACTTACAGCCCTGACCTCTGTTCCCGCTCTGGCATCAGCAGCGCAGCCTCTCCCATGAGAGGCTGTGGTGGGAACAGAGCTCTAAGTGTCAGATCCCTGGCTGAGCCTCCCAAAAAGTGAACTTGGGGCAGACATGACCCCTCCGGTCTTCCATTTCCCTGAAGGTGGGGCGCAGACACAATATTTTCCCAAGTCTGGACTGCCAGAGCTCACAGGTTGGGATGGCAGATTTCACTGACCCCAGCCAGCCACAGGCAGCCCCGAGAGCCAGGGCTGAGCTAAGTGCATTCTACTCACGATCATACTCATCCTCGCTCTCACCACCACGCCCCACCCCTGCACTCAGTAAAATAAGAATTTTCATTATGCAGCACAGAAAGGTCAACAGAATCGCCTGAAGCAGCACAGCCAGCAGTGGCCAAGCTGAGTTTACACTCAGGTCTGCCCGATTCCAGCTGCCCCACATCTATTCCCAGGTGGTCGTGGCGTTTGCCGAGTGTTGGCCTCCTCTGCGGGCCAGGCCTGTAGACCCTTCCCAGCAGGCAGCAACTGTGGCTTGCATTTCTAAACCTTCTGGAAATGACTAAGGAAGCCTCCCTGATCCCCCATTTTTCTTTTTCCTCCTAAATGAGAATTTTTACAGGTCCCTCCCATCTTTCTCCCGTGTCCCTGCTGACCGCACTTTGATGAGGGAGGCTCAGGAGGGAAGGGGGCCCACGAGTGGCAGCTTGGGGAGCTATGGTGTTGCACCACCAGTATTTCCAGAATCTTCTGGAGAGCTGATGAAAATACAGATTCCTAGGTCCCTCAAGCCCTCCTGGGGGACCTAGGAATTTGCATTGCACAAGCTGTCCTGAAAATTCTGCTGCACGCTAAAGTCTGAGCTCCACCAGAGAGAGGGAAGCCGCAGGTTTCCCACCATGCCAGTTTGGTCCTGCCTAAATGCCTTTCTAGAGGGAGAACATGGGGATCCCCTCGGGGTCCCACCGAGCCTCCCCCTCATCCTGAGTTACCTGCTCAGATGCCAACCGCCAGCCAGGAATTGCCTTCTCGCTGCCACTAGTAGCTGGCCCCTCAGACACAAGGAAGATTAATTGGCAGTAGCTGGGCCGTGTGCAAAGGATTAGCGGGCGCTGAATGGGGGCAGGGGAGAAAAGAGGCTGTTGATGCCCAGGAAACCAGCAGCACCCTCCAACTCCCAGGGTCCAGCAAGGATGTGGGCCCCAGGGAAGGGCCCCTGCATGGCCCAGGTTTGGAGCACCATGGGTTGCCAGGGGACCTGCCCGGGTTACCAGGGGCCTGGCTTCCCACACACCTTGGCCAAGACACAGAGTGGCTGATGGGAGAATAACAGCTTGGAGTTCCCATGTGATGCTTGGAGACTCTTCAAGGTGGCAGGGGCTTGTCAGCTTCCACTCAGCCGTGGCAAGAGGCGTATCCCAACTCTCCAGTCCCCAGGCCAGGACGCAGGCAGATTCTTTCTGGCTCCCCTGCCTTGGGCTCTGCCAGAAAGGCTGTGTCCCAGGGCTAGGCCTTGAGGATGAATCCAAGGCCTGGCAGATGACTGAGGCATCTGACCTGCACTGTGAACTGAGGCTGGACACCAGAAGGGATACAGAGATCTAGGAGGAGAGGGCACAAGGGGACAGGGCCCAAGGAAGAGGGGCTCAGTGTGGAGGCTCTGAGGGATATTTGGCAAAGGCGCAGGACTTGATTTAATTACCTGAACCATTTCTAGAGTTCCTCCTTTCCTTTCTTTCTTCTTTTTTTTTTTTTTTTTTTTTTGAGACGGAGTCTCGCTCTGTCGCCCAGGCTGGAGTGCAGTGGCCGGATCTCAGCTCACTGCAAGCTCCGCCTCCCGGGTTCATGCCATTCTCCTGCCTCAGCCTCCCCAGTAGCTGGGACTACAGGCGCCCGCCACCTCGCCCGGCTAGTTTTTTGTATTTTTTTAGTAGAGACGGGGTTTCACCGTGTTAGCCAGGATGGTCTCGATCTCCCGACCTCGTGATCTGCCCGTCTCAGCCTCCCAAAGTGCGGGGATTACAGGCGTGAGCCACCGCGCCCGGCCTCTTCTTCTTCTTCTTCTTTTTTTTTTTTTTTTTAAGCCACGGTCTCTCTCTGTCACTCAGGCTAAGTGCAGTGGTGGGATCATGGCTCATTGCAGTCTCAACGTCTCAGGCTTAAGTGATCCTCCCATCTCAGCCTCCTGAGTAGCAGACGACTCATGTGTGCTGCCATGCCAGGCTAATTTCTATTTTTTTTAGAGACAAGGGTCTCGCTATGTTGCCCAGGCTGGTCTCAAACTCCTGAATGCAAGCAAT